GTCCGGCCTTTCGCCGGGAAACATCTTGACGTTGTTCAGCTGGTTGAGCAGGCAACACGAATCTGTTGCCATGTGGCAAGTGCGCAGGTGTTCCCAGGATTGCTACTCGTTTTTGAAGGGGCGAATACTCAGCTGTTCTTCGGGCGACAGGTTCCGGATCAGGACGGTGAAGGCCAGGAGTGATTCGTTGTAGTACTGCGTTTTCTCCTGAGGTGAGCCGTTGGTTGGGAAGGGATACGAACCGTCGTAATACATCCAGATTTGAGCGCCCTGAGCTAGTGGCTCGAATTCAAAGCTCCAGGTATAGAAATCTTGCCCGTCGAAGGGCTTGGTTGTCCTCAGCTTCGATGTTGAAAGGAACTTGCTCTGCATTGATGCCATAGCCTCGTAATGTGTTTGTTGAGCTTGAGAAGATCCTTGAGCTCCGCAGTTGTCAAAGGTGAAGGATCGCTCAGATCCAACTCCTTGAGTATCGGGAGGTTTGCGGGCGTAGCTGGAGCCGTCAATGCTCATCGGCTGATGGCTCTCTAGTGCGCTGATGTGGGAGATCAGCTGCTCGAGGAGCACTGTGTCCATAGTCGTCGTGGTAGAGGCGACATTGTTGGAGGGTTGCACTGGATTTTCTCCAGCCTCCTCGCAGTCTGCGCTTGGCATGTTGATGCCCTTGATGTTGTTGATATTGCGATTAATTTATAAAGAAGCTTTTGTTGGAAGCCCTTTTAGCAGATCCTATCATCCAAACTGGCTCTCATACCATTGTCAGAATGTTGTATTCGTCTAGCCTACAGTGGGGTACTCTATAGCGAGTACAGCCCAATTTAGGGTTTCCTATATGTACTCAACTGCTTGCTAGTGCAATCCCTTCTTCCATTTCTCCTACGTGTACCCCAAAACCTAGCCATGGCTTCTTAGCCTTAGCTGAGAAGAAACGAGAATGGATGAACTATGAATGAAGTGGGTACAAGTACTAACCCTAATTGGGTTGTACCCCCTATGGGATACCACACTACAGCCTACACAAAAAAAAAAGCTATAATGTTCTGACACACCCCCATATGCAAAGTGAGGGAGAACAATGGGTCACAAGACCAGTCAAGCAAAGCAAGCTCAGCGTGGATCACAACGTCACCACACATTCCGAGCACAAGTTCAAGGCCACAAGGCCAGTTCACATGCAGGAGTACATATATATATAAGGCTAGACAAGCAAGAGCAGGTATATATATATGTAACAGTACAAGCAAGGTCAAGAGGTGAGCACGTGAGGCAAGACAGGGACAAGACCCAGCTGAGTGCAGAAGCGCTGATGATCACAAGGCGAAAGTGCCTTGGTGAAAACATCAGCAGTGTTGGCCTCAGAGGCCACGTACGCAAGCCGCAACTGACCACGCTGCTGTAGCTCACGAGCAAGGAAGTAGCGAAGAGCAATGTGCTTTGTTCTGTGCTCCAGTCTCTGCTATCGACACAAGGCCAGCATGGCCTTGTTGTCTACGTACATGACTGGAGGAGAACGAGGCGGCTCTCCAAGGTTGGTCAGCAGGTAGGTGAGCCAGCGAAGCTCCTGTGCAGCCATGGCCCCGGCGTAGATCTCAGCCTCACAACTGGAGCCGAGAACAGAAGACGAGCGAGTAGCCCGCCACGAAACAGAGCCGGAACCAAGGCTGAAGGTGTAACCCTGTAACGACCGCTGCGTAGCCTAATCGTCAACCCAAGAAGCGTCCGCGTGCCCAGTGAGGACCACTGGACTCCGCCCTCCAAGCACTAGCCCCATGCCCGACGTACTGCACAAGTAGCGCAACACCCTCTTCGCTGCAGCCATGTGCTCTGGTCGGTGTCTCCCAGGAGCAACATAGCGTGCAAGAATGCTAAGCGGGTATGCAAGGTCAGGTCGTGTGCAGGTCATCAGGTACATGAGGCAACCAACAAGCTCTGGATATGGGCCACTCGACTCTACGGACTCATCCGAAGGCAGAGCTGAGAGCGAGTGGCGAGTAGGTAGAGGAGTGGCCTGAGGCGAGGAGTACGTGAAGCCGAAGCGCTGAAGGACCTGCTGCACCATGTGTGACTGAGTCAGGGTAATGGTGCGGCGTGCTCTGTCCCGGGTGATCTGCAAGCCAAGGTAGCTGCGCAGTTCACCCAGGTCTGTGCACGTGTGTCTCTTCTGCAGCTCGGACTTCACGTAGGCGAGTCCAGCAGTGTCAGCTGTGGCAAAGACCAATTCGTCGACATACACGAGGATATAGAACGGCGGCAGAGAGGTGTCGGTGCGCAGAAACAGCGACGGGTCGGCAGTAGAAGGTGCAAACCCAAGAGCTGCAAGCGTAGTCCTCGGTGTGTCGTGCCACTCACGTGGTGCCTGGCGGAGACCGTAGACTGGACGCCGGAGACTCCACTGGGTACCAGGAGGGAAAGACCCAGTGAAGCCAGGTGGGCGGCGCAGCCAGATCTCCTCGTGCAGGCATGCCCTGCAAGAAAGCTGTGCTGAAGTCGAGAGAGTGCAGCTCGTAGTCACGGTGAGCAGCAGTACCCGAAGAGTGGTCATCTTCGGGGTGGGGGAGAGAAGGTATGAAAGTAGTCAACTCCCTGCCGCTGACTGAAGCCACGAGCCACGTAACGCGCCTTGAAGACAGGCGGAGAACCCGGCGGCCGCTTCACCCTGAAGATCCACATGCCACTGACGATGTTCGCCCCAGGAGGGGGGACAGCGTCAACGTAGGTGCCTGTGGACTTCCAGGAAGCCATCTCTGCACCCATAGCTGCCTGCCACTGAGAGGAGTAGGGACCCTCTATCGCCTCCGCGTAAGAGCGCGGAGTCGGGATGTCAAGTGCATCTGGGTCTCCCTCAGGGGTAAGTAGTACGGACACAAGATGAGGTGAAGCAGCAGCCAAGCACTGGAACTCCTCCTGCCTGTCCTCAAGGATGTCCGTGCCAAGGGCACACTCACCCCCAGCGGACGGAGGACAGACAGACTCAGACTCAGCGTCAAGACTAGCAGCGTAGTCTAGGCGACAGCGAGCAGCAAAGTCGACGAGCTCAGCAACTAGGGCAGACGCAGCAGTGGACTCAAAAGAAGGGTCAGTGACGGCAGTAGCCAGGAGACGTGTGACAATAGGACTGGCAGCACGAAGAGAGTCCGACTCCGGGTCGGCAAAAGCAGGAAGAGAGGACTCAGGAGGAGAAGGCAAAGGGGCACGCAGAGGAGCAGTGGACGGACGCAGAGACATCATGTGCGTGTCAGGGACAGGAGGAGGACGCTGACGCAAACCACGACCACTATCGCGAGTAGCACGGACAGGCGACGCAGGGCGAGACGCAGGCTCACGACGCTCAGTAAGACCTCCAGTAGGACCAGTGTAGGGAGAAGGAGCAGGCAAAGGGGAGGTAGGCTGCAACTGTAACTGGGACGGGACTGGCTTTGGACACTCTAAAGGAGGAGGAGGACCAGTAGAAGGCGGAAGACCAAGAACCTGCTGCAGGAGTGGAACGAAGTACGGTCCAGGCCGCGCGGCGACGCCAGAAGCAGCAGGGACAGCACCAGTACCCCAGCAGGAGCACCCGCTCCAGCTGCACCTCCAGCAGCGCAAGAGCCTCCAGCAGCACCACGAGTACCCGCAGCAGGACCGCCAGCAGTAGTCTCAGCTCCAACACCCTCAGCAGCACCAGCTCCAGACGCACCCGCAGGCCTAGCAGCTCCAGTACTCCCAGTACGAGCACCTCCGGGACCCGCGAAAGAAGCACCCTCAGTAGCTGAAGAACCTCCAACACCATCGGCACGGCTCCAGCGCCGGGCAAACCACTCGCGCAGCTCCTGTGGAGAGAGTGGCTCCCGCAGAGACGAAGCACCCAGAGAACCTCCATGCGGAGAACCTCCAAGCTCAGCACCCCCAGGCTCAGCACACCCAGGCTCAGCACCTCCAGGCTCAGCACCCCCAGGCTCAGCACCCCCAGGCTCAGCACCCCCAGTCTCAGCACCCCCAGTCTTAGCACCCCCAGGCTCAGCACCCCCAGGCTCACCACCCCCAGAGTCAGCACCCCAGGCTCAGCACCCTCAGCAGCACCAGAGTCACCAGTGACCTCGACAGGCTCGACTACGTCTACCTGGGACACACCTGAAGGGGACGGACCCTGATGGGGGAGGGGGTCTACTGGAGGGGGACCTGGTACAAGGAAGAGCGGGGGCGGGGGGAGGGACGGAGTGCGGTAGGGGAAGAGGCGGTAGTAGGGGACCGACTCGTCAAACGTGACGTCCTGGGAGGACAGAACACGGCGAGAGGTGGGGTGGTAGAACTGCCACCCAGGCGCGTCAGGGGGGAACCCTAGGAAGACGCAAGGAACAGCACGAGGGGACAGCTTGTCCGCAGACAAGTCGCGGACAAACGCCCGAGATCCCCAGACCCGGAACGCTGACGCATTGCCAACCTTCCCCGTCCACAGCAAGGCTGGGGAGGTCTCCGGCCTGGAGACCCTGGGGTGTAGGTTGAACTGATGCGCCGCGTACCTCACCGCAAACGGCCACAGAAAATGGGGAGCAGCCGCATGCATCATAGACGTACGAGCGACGTCCATGACCATGCCAATGCTGCGCTCAGCAATCCCATTTTGCTGCGGGGAGTCCAGAAGCGTGAAGGTCTGTCGGATTCCTCGTGCGCGACAGTAGGCTCTCAGAAGGCCAGAAGAAAACTCTCCGCCTCTGTCCGAGTGCAGACGCAGAACAGGAAAGTCCGAGCAAAAGCTCTGCCTGAGCTGGAGACGAGCTGCGCGGATCCAGTCGATCAGCACCTCAGTGACATCACTCTTGCTGCGCAAGGGGAAGACTGCGGTGTAACGCGAGTAGTCGTCAACAACGAGCAGGAAGTAGCGCTCGTGACCCTGTCCACGGACGCGGGCTGGGCCCCACACGTCCATGTGAAGCGTCTGCAACGGGGCCTCTGTCGGAGGAAAGTGGGAGGAGTGAGGGGCAGCACGCTGGCGCCCCTCGACACAGGGGACACAGGTAGGGCTAGGGCCCTGAGGAAGGGGAGGGAGGGACCGGGGGAGACCAGAAACAAGAGGACGGGAGGCCATGCCTCTGAGCCGAAGAAGAGAGGGGTGACCAAGGCGGTGGTGCCAGAGGAGAGTCTCGTGAGACAGGAGACGACACGAACAGCGGGCAGACTCAGGACCAGACCTGGACGCTGCAGCAAACACCTGACCCGACGCAGCTACCCTACCAGACTCAACAACTGGAGGAGGCGCAGTGGTCAGTGTGTACAGGCTTGACTCCGGCTGACGGGTAAACGTAGCCAGGTGTCGGCCTGTGCTAGCCTCTGTGCAGTGCGTCACCCGCTGACGCGCAGGAGTGAACTGGTGTACTCCCCCATCCTGTAGGTCAGAACCACTCACCAATTTCGTAGAGAACGAGGGGAGGTAGAGACCAGACAGGGTGCCAAAGGAAGCCGCCGGACACGGGAGGACTGTTGAGAAGTGAGACAGGACAGGACCCCCAGAGTGGTCAGTGAGAGCGCCGACTCACTAGTACCTGAGGACGCAGACGCACTAGCACCTAGAGCAGCAGCGTTGCAAGCACCTAGGGCAGCCGCCTCACTCGTACCTAGAGCAGCAGTCTGAATGCCCGGATCGGGCGGGAAACACCGGTAACAGTCACCCTCATCACCAATAGACACAACAAAAATGGCAGAAAGAATAGCATCAAAATCAAGATCATAGATGGCAACACCCGCCCTAGACAGCTCGCCCCAGCGAGGGATCTCTGTGGCCTCCGGGAACTGGTGACGCCACGCGTCCGTCAGGTGGCCAAAGCAGCGCTGGGTGGGGTGCGCACCCCCACACTGCTCACCCGCACGGTCGCCGGTGCGCAGGACGTAGGTGCACGGACCAAAACCCTCACCCCGCTGGCGTGCAGTGTACCACTCACGGAGCTGCTGAGGGGACAGGGTCTCACGGCCGCGCTGCTGCTGCTGGCGCGGACCACCACCGGAGCTACTCCTCTGCCTAGACTTTCGACCAGTCCCACCTCCACCCCCGCCGCCTGCACCGCCTCCGCCGCCTCCGCTACTACCGCCGCCTCCGCCGCCTCCTCCACCGCCGCCACCTCCGCCACCTCCGCTCCCACTGCCACCGCCGCCGCCGCCTCCGCCTCCACTGCTGCCACCGACACCTCCACCCCCACCACCACTCCCACCGCCACCCCCACTCCCCCCGCCGCCTCCACCTCCACCTCCACCGCCCCCGCTCGCTCCTCCAGCGCCCCTGCCCCCCTTGCCCTTGCAAGAGCGGCGTCTCCCGCTAGGGGCAGACGCCGCACCGACCGGCTCAAGACCAAGGAGGTCGGCCGCAGCAGCAGAGGCAACAGAGGGCAGAAGGGGGGAGGGGGAACACCCCTCAAAGATGGGGGTGCGCGGGTCACCACGAGAGGCCCCTACAACGACTATGCTCTTCTCGACCGCTAGGAGGGACTTCTCGAGGAGGTCAACTGTGAGAGTGGTGGGACAGACTGAGAGGAAGTGGTCCCTGACTACGCGAAGGGAGTCAGGGAGGCGAGTGACTTTGTAGTAGAGAGTGATGTACATGGGGGGGGGGGGGTTCTTGGCGCAGATGTCAGCAGGAAGCGTAGCGCGGTAGCGAGTGTCACTAGTGCGGAGGTGCGTAATGAGGTCAGCGACTGTGAGAAAGGCAGCAAGGTCAGGGAAGAGGTACGGTAGCATGAGACGGCTCAGTGCAGCAGTGGCAGGGGAGGAGTAGCGTGCAACTACAGCGTCGTACAAGGTCTGAGCACTCTTGTACTGACTAAAGTGCGCACGCTCGGAGGTAGGGAGGTGGCGACGCACAGCAAGACGAGCAGCAGCATCGCGCGTGGCCCACTGGGAGCGAACAGTGGCGTTAGCATCAGCAGCAGGAGCAGGAGAGGCACCAGAGGTGAGGTCAAAGAGGGAGAGACCGTCTGCCCTATCGCACTGTAGGAAAAGCTGCAGGTCATCTACCCAGACGTCAAAGTCAATGGCCCGACCCTCAGCGTCAAAGGCGAGGACACTAGGGGTAGCCATGACAGTAGTAGACTAGCAGCGCAAACAGTAGGGTAGGGGCAGTGCAGTGAGAGAAGCGCCGCACTTACCGGACAAGGCTGCTCGGGCGGCTCGGAAGGGCAGATGACTCGGCGGCTCGGCTGCGGGCGGCTCGGCGGCTCGGCTGGTGGGCGGCTCGGCTGCTCGGCGGTTCGGCTGCTGGGCGGCTCGGCGGCTTGGCGGCTCGACTGCTGGGCGGCTCGGCTGCTCGGCGGCTTGACTGCTGGGTGGCACGGCTGCTCAGCGGCTCGGATGCTGGGAGACTAGCGGCTCGGCGGTTCGGCAGCTGCGGCTCTTGCCTCCGTGTCGACGGCCTGAGGGGCCAGGTGGAGCGGCGGCTCGAGGGTAGGTGGGGCGGCCGCGGGATTGGAGGAGGAGGCGCCGGGGCCGGGAGGGTGGCCGCAAGGGTGGCAGGCTGAGCCGATGGGCGGCGACGGGCCGGGAAGGGCGGCAACGGGCCGCGTAAGGGTGGCGACGGGCCACTGAAGGGCGGCGACGGGCCGGAACGGGCGGCGACAAGCCGGGTAAGGGCGGCGACGGGCCGAGTAGGGCGGCATCGGGCCGCAAACGGGCGGCGACGGGCCGAGTAAGGGGCGGCGACGGGCCGCGTAGGGCGGCGACGGGCCGCGTAAGGGCGGCGACGGGCCGCGTAGGGCGGCGACTGGCCGCGTAGGGCGGCGACGGGCCGAGTAGGGCGGCACCGGGCCGCAAACAGGCGGCGACGGGCCGAGTAAGGGGCGGCGACGGGCCGCGTACGGTGGCGACGGGCCGCGTAAGGGCGGCGACGGGTCGCGTAGGGCGGCTCCGGGCCGCGAAGGGCGGCGACTGGCTGAGTAGGGCGGCGAAGGGCCGAGTGGCTCGAGGGAGGCCGCTAGGGGCGACGCGACGGGGCCGAAGGAGGCCTAGGAAGGCGCGACGGTAGAGAGGGAACACAGGGCGCGACTCGGGCCTAGGCGGAGCGCGCTCCGGGCAGGAAAAAAAAAATACGACTTGGTGGGCCCTAGGAACAGTTCCCACGAGGGAACCTGCTCGATACCATGAGAAGAAACGAGAATGGATGAACTATGAATGAAGTGGGTACAAGTACTAACCCTAATTGGGTTGTACCCCCTATGGGATACCCCACTACAGCCTACACAAAAGTATAAGCTATAATGTTCTGACATTAGCTACTATTGTAACATGGTTTCAGAGCAGGTCCACCCTCCCTGGTCGATCCTGTGGATGGGCCCACCTAATGCTTCCGCTGCTGTACTGCCTGTCGCGCGCCCCGGGCGTCCCTCCCTGTCGCCCGTCGCGCCGCCCCCGGAGAACCGTGCGTCCCACCCGTCGATCGTCGCGTCGCCCCTGGGGACCCGCGCGCGCCCCCTGCGATCCCGTTGCGCCGCTCTAGTGTACCCGCGCGTCTTTATGCGGCCCCCCTCCCCGCACACCTGAGTTCGCTTACCGCACACCCGAGTTCGCTTCCCGCGCACTTGTGCACGCTTCACACACACCTGAGCCCGCTTACCGCACACTCAGGGTATGGGGGTGACGGGTATGGGTGTGGCGGGTGTGTGAGCCGTCCCCTGCTCCTCCTCCTCCTCCGTCTCCCACTGCTGCAGTTGCCGCTGAGGGGGGTGTGTTGGAGTCGTCGGAGTGGTACGAGGGGGGTGGCGTGTGAGCAGTGCTAGAGGTACAGCAGGGGGTGTGAAAATGGGGGGTGGGACAGTTGGGGGAGGTTGAGCGGAGACTGTCGTCTTGTCGTCCGCAGCGCCAGTAGTCCGGAGCCTGTCTTGCTCTCGGTAGCCCAGCAAGTCTGCTGTGCCTGTCGCCCGTGGGTCCGTTGCTCCTGCCGCTCGTCGTAGCTGCGGAGCCAGTTACTCCTGTAGTCCGGAGCCGTCGTGCTCTCGATAGCCACTGTGCCGGCCGCTCCTGTCGCCCGTGTGTCTGCAGCTTCAGCTGTCGCCTCCCATCTTCTTGCCCCCACAGTCCCTCCTCCTCCTCTCTAGCCCTCTGTGATAGCCTCTAGCTTTGCTTATATTTGTGAACTATAAACTCCTGCTTGTTGTACTGATTACACCCCACTTTGGCTATGGGGGTGTGTCAGAATTGTCAGATGATTATATTGCTGATGCATATATTTAGGCTGTAGTGGGGTAGCCCATAGGGGGTACAACCCAATTAGGGTTGGTACTTGTACTCGTTTCATTTCATAGTGCACCATTCTCTCTCTCTAATCTCAACAAGAATGTTGTATTTGTCTAGCGTGCAATGGGGTACTCTATAGCGAGTACAACCCAATTTAGGGTTTCCTATATGTACTCAACTGCTTGCTAGTGCAACCCTTTCTTCCATTTCTCTTTCGTGTACCCTAAAACCTAGCCATGGCTTCTTAGCCTTAGCTACTATTGTAACAACCATGTTGGAGTGAGGATCTTGGATAGGATAGGAATGCTTTGGAAAAGGTTGGTAGTGGAAGTCTTGTTGTAAAAACTCAGATCATAGTGAATGTAGATGACCAAGTTGGTTCAAAGATATAATACTAAGTATATAATTAGTCTTACTGTCATCGCCCGAATATAAGAAAGTGTTGAATAGTAGACAGGGGTTGTCTATTATACGGGTGCCTCTTAAAAATAGGTCAGCCTTTCTATACGACACCTATTTGTGTGTACGAGATAAGACATATGTGTCTTTTAATCGAAACTGCAATGTATTATAGTGAAAATTGAAATACCGCGTACAAATACCGCGACACGCGAAATCTGCCATGTGCTGACTCACATACTACCAAATTTGACTCTGCAAATATTCGGGATGACGTGGCGTCCCGAACAATGGTTGCCGAAGTGGCACCTTCGCAACATCGACACTCTTAGGGCATGTTCCTACTGTCAGAACATTATAGTTTATACTTTTGTGTAGGCTGTAGTGGGGTATCCCATAGGGGGTACAACCCAATTAGGGTTAGTACTTGTACCCACTTCATTCATAGTTCATTCATTCTCGTTTCTTCTCATGGTATCGAGCAGGTTCCCTCGTGGGAACTGTTCTTAGGGCCCACCAAAATCGAAATTTTTTTTCCTGCCCGGAGCGCGCCTCGCTTAGGCCTCCTTCGGCCCCGTCGCGTCGCCCCTAGCGACCTCCCTTCCGCCGCCCTTGCTCGGCCGTCGCCGCCCTTACCGGCCCGTCGCCACCCTACGCGGCCCGGCGCCACCCTTTCTCCACCTGTCCCGGCCCGTCGACGCCCGTGCGCCGCCCGTCCCGGCCCCGCGCTGCTATCCCGGCCCGTCGCCACCCGTGCGCTGCCCGCCCCGGCCCATCGCCGCCCGTCCCGGCTCATCGCCGCCCGTGCGCCGCCTGTCCTGGCCCGGCGCCGCCCGTACCGGCCCGTGCGCCGCCTATCCCGGCCCGTCGCCCCCCGGCCCGTCGCCGCCCGTACCGGCTCGTCGCCGCCTTCGCGGCGTCACGTGCCGCTCCTACCCGCGGCTCTGCCACCTTACCTGCGGCCCCGCCACCCTACCCGTGGCTCCGCCGCCTTACCCTACCTGTGGCCCCACCGCCCTACCTGCGGCCCCACCACCTTACCTGTGGCCCCGCCACCTTACCTGCGGCCCGGCCACCCTATCAGCGGCCCCGCCACCCTACCTGCGGCCCCGCCGCCTTACTCTCGGCCCCGTCACCTGCTGCAACGCCGCCCGCCACCCGAGCCGCCCGAGCCGTCTCACCCGGCCGAGCAGCCGCCGCCGCGCCGCCCTACGGCAGCAAACCGAGCCGCCCAGCGGCAAAGCAGCCGAGCCGCCCAGCAGTCGAACCGCCCAGCAGCCGAGATGCCCAGCAGCCGAGCCGCCCAGCAGCAGAGCCGCCGAGCCGCCCAGCAGCCGAGCCGCCCAGCAGCCGAGCCGCCGAGCCGCCCTACTTCCGGGCCGCCCGAGCTGCCCAGTCTAGTGAGCACAGCGCCTCTTTCACTGCACTCCCCTCACCCTACTGTTTGCAATGCTAGTCGTCTGTGGTCATGGCTACCCCTAGTGTCCTCGCCTTTGACGCTGAGGGTGGAGCCATTGACTTTGAGGTCTGGGTAGATGACCTGCAGCTGTTCTTACAGTGCGATAGGGCAGACGGCCTCTCTCTCTTTGACCTCACCTCTGGCGCTTCCCCTGCCCCTGCTGCTGATGCTGACGCCACTGTTCGCTCCCAGTGGGCCACGCGCGACGCTGCTGCACGTCTTGCTGTGCGTCGCCACCTCCCTACCTCCAAGCGTGCGCACTTTAGTCAGTACAAGAGTGCTCAGACCTTGTACGACGCTGTAGTTGCGCGCTACTCCTCCCCTGCCACTGCTGCACTGAGCCGTCTCATGCTACCGTACCTCTTTCCTGACCTTGCTGCCTTTCCCACAGTAGCTGACCTCATTACGCACCTCCGCACTAGTGACACTCGCTACCGCGCTGCAGTTCCTGCTGACTTCTGCGCCAAGAACCCCCCCCCCATGTACATCACTCTCTACTACATAGTCACTCGCCTCCCTGACTCCCTTCGTGTAGTAAGGGCCCACTTCCTCTCAGTCTGTCCCACCACTCTCACTGTTGACCTCCTCGAGAAGGCCCTCCTAGCGATAGAGAAGAGCATAGTCGCTGTAGGAGCCTCTCGAGGTGACCCGCGCACCCCCATCTTTGAGGGGTGTTCCCCCTGCCCCCTTCTCCCTCTGTTGCCTCTGCTGCTGCGGCCGACCTCCTTGGTCTTGAGTCGATCGGTGCGGCGTCTGCCCCTAGCGGGAGATACCGCCCTGGCAAGGGCAAGGGGGGCAGAGGCGCTGGAGGAGCAAGCGGGGGCGGTGGAGGTGGAGGTGGCGGTGGTGGGGGGAGTGGGAATGGCGGTGGGAGTGGAGGTGGGAGTGGAGGGGTCGGTGGCGGCAGTGGAGGCGGAGGCGGCGGCGGCGGTAGCGGTGGGAGCGGAGGTGGCGGAGGTGGCGGCGGTGGAGGAGGCGGCGGAGGCGGCGGCAGTAGCGGAGGCGGCGGAGGCGGCGGGGGTGGCGGTGGAGCTGGTTGCAGGTCTTCGTAGAGGGATGGCTCCGGTGGTGGCTCGCGCCAGCAGCAGTAGCGCGGTCGTGAGACCCTGTCCCCTCAGCAGCTCCGTGAGTGGTACACTTCACGCAAGCGGGGTGGGGGTTTTGGTCCGTGCACCTACGTCCTGCGCACCGGCGACCGAGCGGGTGAGCAGTGTGGGGGTGCGCACCCCACCCAGTGCCGCTTTGGCCGCCTGACGGACGCGTGGCGTCACCAGTTCCCGGAGGCCTCAGAGATCCCTCGCTGGGGCGAGCTGTCTAGGGCGGGTGTTGCCAACTATGATCTTGACATTGATGCTATTCTCTCTGCCATGTATGCTGTGTCTATTAGTGATGAGGGTGACTGTTACCGGTGTTTCCGCCCGATCCGGGCATTGAGACTACTGCTCTAGGTAATGGTGCGGCTGCTGCTCTAGGTGCTTGCGACGCTGCTGCTCCAGGTGCTAGTGCGTCCGCGTCCTCAGGTACTGGTGAGTCTGCGCTCTCAGGTACTACGTTGGCTTCGGCATCCCTCACCTTCACCCTTGACTCTGGGGCTTCTCGCTCCTTCTTTTGGGACCGTACCACACTCACGCCACTTAGTCGGCCGGTTGCGGTGTCTCTGGCTGACCCCTCTGGGGGTCCTGTCCTGTCTCGCTTCTCCACAGTCCTCCCGTGTCCGGCGGCTCCCTCTGGCACCCTGTCTGGTCTCTACCTCCTCTTGTTCTCTACGAACTTGGTGAGTGGTGCTGACCTACAGGACGCGGGAGTACACCAGTTCACTCCTGCGAGTCAGCGGGTGACGCACTGCACAGAGGCGAGCACAGGCCGACACCTGGCTACGTTTACCCGTCAGCCGGGGTCGAGCCTGTACACACTGACCACTGCGTCTCCTCCCGTTACTTAGTCTGGTAGGGTCGCTGCGTCGGGCCAGGTTTTTTGCTGCAGCGTCCAGGTCTGGTCCTGAGTCTGCCTCCTCTTCGTGTCGTCTCCTGTCTCACGAGACTCTCCTCTGGCACCACCGCCTTGGTCACCCCTCTCTGCTTCGGCTCAGAGGCATGGCCTCCCGTCTTCTTGTGTCTGGTCTCCCCCGGTCCGTCCCTCCCCTTCCTCAGGGCCCTGGCCCTACCTATGTCCCCTGTGTCGAGGGGCGCCAGCGTGCTGCCCCTCACTCCTCCCACTTTCCTCCGACAGAGGCCCCGTTGCAGACGCTTCACATGGACGTGTGGGGCCCAGCCCGCGTCCGTGGACAGGGTCACGAGCGCTACTTCCTGCTCGTTGTTGACGACTACTCGTGTTACACCGCAGTCTTCCCCTTACGCAGCAAGGGTGATGTCACTGAGGTGCTGATCGACTGGATCCGCGCAGCTCGACTCCAGCTCAAGCAGAGCTTTGGCTCAGACTTTCCTGTTCTGCGTCTGCACTCGGACAGAGGCGGAGAGTTCTCCTCTGGCCTTCTGCGAGCCTACTGTTGTGCACGAGGCATCCGCCAGACCTTCACGCTTCTGGACTCTCCGCAGCAAAATGGGAATGCTGAGCGCCGCATTCGCATGGTCATGGACGTCGCTCGTACGTCTATGATGCATGCGGCCGCCCCCCAATTTCTGTGGTCGTTTGCGGTGAGGTACGTGGCGCATCAGATCAACCTTCACCCCAGGGTCTCCAGGCTGGAGACCTCCCCAGCCTTGCTGTGGACGGGGAAGGTTGGCAATGCGTCGGCGTTCCGGGTCTGGGGATCTTGGGCTTTTGTCTTCGACTTGTCTGCGGACAAGCTGTCCCCTCGTGCTGCTCCTTGCGTCTTCCTGGGGTTCCCCCCTGACGCGCCTGGGTGGCAGTTCTACCACCCCACCTCTCGCCGTGTTCTGTCCTCCCAGGACGTCATGTTTGACGAGTCGGTCCCCTACTACCGCCTCTTCCCCTACCGCACTCCGTCCCTCCCCCCGCCCCCGCTCTTCCTTGTATTAGGTCCCCCCAAGGTAGACCCCCTCCCCCCTCAGGGTCTCGCCCCTTCAGGTGTGTCCCAGGTAGACGCAGTCGAGCCTGTCGAGGTCACTGGTGACTCTGGTGCTGCTGAGGGTGCTGAGCCTGGGGGTGCTGACTCTGGGGGTGGTGAGCCTGGGGGTGCTGAGCCTGGGGGTGCTGGGCCTGGGGGTGCAGAACCTAGGGGTGCTGAGCCTGGGGGTGCTGAGCTTGGGGGTGTTACGCCTGGGGGTGCTGAGCCTGAGGGTGCTGAGCCTGGGGGTGTTGAGCCTGGAGGTGCTCCGCCTGGAGGTTCTCCGGGTGCTTCGTCTCGCCGGGAGCCACTCTCTCCACAGGAGCTGCGCGAGTGGTTTGCCCGGCGCTGGCGCCATACTTCTGGTAAAAGAGGTTCTTCGGCTGCTGAGGGTGCTACTATCTCGGGTCTTGGGGGTTCTCCTGGTGCTGCTGGAGGTTTTGGAGCTTCTGGAGGTGCTGTTGGAGCGGGTGCTCCTACTGGGGGTACTGGTGCTGTCCCTGCTGCTTCTGGCGTCGCCGGAAGGCCTCGACCGTACTTCGTTCCACTCCTGCAGCAGGTTCTTGGTCTTCCACCTTCTACTGGTCCTCCTCCTCCCTTAGAGTGTCCACAGCCTGTCCCGTCACAGTTACAGTTGCAGCCTACCTCCCCTTTGCCTGCTCCTTCTCCCTACACTAGTCCTACTGGAGGTCTTGCTGAGCGTTGTGAGCCTGCGTCTCGCCCTACGTCGCATGTCCGTCCTGCTCGCGCTAGTGGTCGTGGTTCGCGTCCGCGTCCTCCTCCTGTCCATGGCACGCACATGATGTCTCTGCGTCCGTCCACTGCTCCTCTGCGTGCCCCTTTGCCTTCTCCTCCTGAGTCCTCTCTTCCTGCTTTTGCCGATGCGGAGTCGGACTCTCTTCGTGCTGCCAGTCCTACTGTCATGCGTCTCCTTGCTACTGTCGTCACTGACCCTTCTTTCGAGTCCACTGCTGCGTCTGCCCTAGTTGCTGAGCTCGTCGACTTTGTTGCTCGCTGTTCCCTAGACTACGCTGCTAGTCTTGTCGTTGAGTCTGAGTCTGTCTGTCCTCCGTCCGTCGGGGGTGAGTGTGCCCTTGGCACGGACGTCCTTGAGGACAGGCAGGAGGAGTTCCAGTGTCTGGCAGCTGCTTCACCTCATCTCGTGTCCATACTGCTTACCCCTGAGGGAGACCCGGATGCACTTGACATCCCGACTCCGCGCTCTTACGCGGAGGCGATAGAGGGTCCCTACTCCTCTCAGTGGCAGGCAGCTATGGATGCAGAGATGGCTTCCTGGAAGTCCACAGGCACCTACGTTGACGCTGTCCCCCCTCCTGGGGCGAACATCATCAGTGGCATGTGGATCTTCAGGGTGAAGCGGCCGCCAGGTTCTCCGCCTGTCTTCAAGGCGCGTTACGTGGCTCGTGGCTTCAGTCAGCGGCAGGGAGTTGACTACTTTCACACCTTCTCCCCCACCCCGAAGATGACCACTCTTCGGGTACTGCTGCACGTTGCTGCTCACCGTGACTACGAGCTGCACTCTCTCGACTTCAGCACAGCTTTCTTGCAGGGCAGCCTGCACGAGGAGATCTGGCTGCGCCGCCCACCTGGCTTCACTGGGTCGTTCCCTCTTGGTACCCAGTGGAGTCTCCGGCGTCCAGTCTACGGTCTCCGCCAGGCGCCACGTGAGTGGCACGACACACTGAGGACTACACTTGCGGCACTTGGGTTTGCTCCTTCTACTGCCGACCCGTCGCTGTTTCTGCGCACCGACACCTCTCTGCCGCCCTTCTACATCCTCGTGTACGTCGACGACTTGGTCTTTGCCATAGCTGACACTGCTGGACTCGCCTACGTGAAGTCCGAGCAGCAGAAGAGACACAAGTGCACTGACCTGGGTGAACTGCGCAGCTACCTTGGCTTGCATATCACCCGGGACAGAGCACGCCGCACCATTACCCTAACTCAGTCACACATGGTGCAGCAGGTCCTTCAGCGCTTCGGCTTCACGTACTCCTCGCCTCAGACCACTCCTCTGCCTACTCGCCACTCACTCTCAGCTCTGCCTTCGGATGAGTCCGTAGAGTCGAGTGGCCCGTATCCAGAGCTTGTTGGCTGCCTCATGTACCTGATGACCTGCACACGACCTGACCTTGCATACCCTCTGAGCATTCTTGCACGCTTTGTTGCTCCTGGGAGACACCGACCAGAGCACATGGCTGCAGCGAAGAGGGTGTTGCGCTACTTGTGCAGTACGTCGGGCATGGGGCTAGTGCTTGGAGGGCGGAGTCCAGTGGTCCTCACTGGGCACGCGGACGCTTCTTGGGCTGACGACCAGGCTACGCAGCGGTCGTCACAGGGTTACACCTTCAGCCTTGGTTCCGGCTCTGTTTCGTGGCGGGCTACTCGCTCGTCTTCTGTTCTCGGCTCCAGTTGTGAGGCTGAGCTCTACGCCGGGGCTATGGCTGCTCAGGAGCTTCGCTGGCTTACCTACCTGCTGACCGACCTTGGAGAGCCGCCTCGTTCTCCTCCACTCCTGTACGTAGACAACAAGGCCATGCTGGCCTTGTGTCGAGAGCAGAGACTGGAGCACAGAACAAAGCACATTGCTCTCCGCTACTTCCTTGCTCGTGAGCTACAGCAGCGTGGTCAGTTGCGGCTTGCGTACGTGGCCTCTGAGGCCAACACTGCTGATGTTATCACCAAGGCACTTGCGCCTTGTGATCATCAGCTCTTCTGCACTCAGTTGGGTCTTGTCCGTGTCTTGCCTCACTTGCTCACCCCTTGACCTTGCTTGTACTGTTACATATATATATACCTGCTCTTGCTTGTCTAGCCTTATATATATATATGTACTCCTGCATGTGAACTGGCCTTGTGGCCTTTGAACTTGTGCTCAGAATGTGTGGTGACGTTGTGATCCACCCTGAGCTTGCTTTGCTTTGCGTTGCCTGACCGGTCTTGTGACCCCTTGATCTCCCCCATTTTGCCTATGGGAGTGTGTCAGAACATTATAGCTTATACTTTTGTGTAGGCTATAGTGGGGTATCCCATAGGGGGTACAACCCAATTAGGGTTAGTACTTGTACCCACTTCATTCATAGTTCATTCATTCTCGTTTCTTCTCACCTACGGCCCCTTATCAGGGCCGCCTCTTATCAGCCTCGCTAAATTCACCTGTAATTCGGCTGGAGCGAGAAACCTCTTGTCAGATAAACTTGCCGGTTTGCAGTTGTGTGCGAACTTGAAAGTTGGATGATGTGGCACAGTGACGCGAAACCGTGGGCATCAAATTGTGACTTCCCATGAGAACCGCGATCCGTTCAATATGCGACATTGCCACATCAGCGTAAAACGCATTGCATAAAATACAAACCCAACAACCCACGTAGTCTCAACCAAGCAACAATCGTTCACAGATAAAAGCACGCACAAACCATCAAAAGAAATAACAACTTTGGGAATCTAGCACACGTAGATTAGACCGGGGAGGCACTATGACCGATGTTCCGTTCCTCCCACGCCTGCTAATAGTATGGCATGCGTTTTACTTCAGCTCCTTCTTAGACTGTGCCACGAAGGCCTGCATTCAACTGCTAGAGCACATCGACGCCGCGGAGCAGGAAGAGACATGTGTAGAGTCCCGAAGTGACCTTCGCACGCGGAACTGCCAACTACGGCGGCGGAGACTAGACGTGTGGGAGGATGAGATGGCATCGATGTCGGACGAGACGTTTACTGACCTGTTCCGCATAAACCGGGCCATATTGGACCACAAATGCGAGGGAATGCACCCTGTATTGCACCCACTCATACATAGGCACGCACTGCCTATCCTCTCAGAATCCCAACCACTAGACCATTGGGATAAAAGGGCTTGTTTCAGTAGCGAGTCAGTGCGCCCATATCCCCCCAGGCAAACGCGCCTGTAACCCCCCCTAGGATCGATCGGGGATCTCACAGTGTAGCTCTACTGACACCCCCCCACACTGGGAGGCCCAGGATGAGCACAGTGGCAACGGCCAACATGTGCATACACCGGGGTTCGAACTCGAGACCGCTCTGATACCATCTCAGAATCTCAACCACTAGACCATTGGGATAAAAGGGCTTGTTTCAGCAGCGGATCAGTGCGCCCATAACCCCCCAGGCAAACGCGCCTGTAACCACCCCTAGGATCGATCGGGGATCTCACAGTGTAGATCTACTGACATATCCGAGTAGCTATTCTGATCCCAATAAAATACTTTGCAAGCGCCATGGCGTACATCGATCTTGCTTTCTGGTTCGGGGTCCCTAAAACGCTATGTCATAGGCTTGTTGATATGTTTTTGCAGAATTTCCCGTGCGTTTTTAAGAAGGCCTGGGTCGGATTTCCAACGCAAGACGAGATGCGGGTCATGGTGGAGGAATTTAAAAGCATCAAAGTGTCTGAGGTCCACTGGTGATCCCCGATTGATCTTAAGGAAGGGTTACAGGCACGGTTGCCTGGGAGGTTATGGGCGCACTGACCCGCTACTTAAACAAGCCCTTTTATCCCAATGGTCTAGTGGTTGGGAGTCTGACATGGTATCAGAGCGAAGGTCTCGGGTTCGAATCCCGGTGTATGCACTTCGGGCATCCCATTGCGGGGGGGTGTCAGAGGTCCACTGGTGATCCCCGATTGATCCTAAGGAAGGGTTACAGGCACGGTTGCTTGGGGGGTTATGGGCTTACCTGCTACTTAAACAAGCCATTTTATCCCAATGGTCTAGTGGATGGGATTCTGACACAAAGGTGTTCCACCGGTTATTGGTGCCATTGATGGCACCCATGTCTAGATCCGGGGAATGGAAGGGCATCGGTCGGAGTATTATACGCGCAAATCACAGTATGCCGTACAGCTGCAAGTAACATGCGACGCTAGAGGAATTATCTGGGATTATTTGATAGGCTTTCCGGGCACAGCTCATGACCAGCGGGTGTTCATAAAAGCCAACCTCTACAATCGACTGGAAAATGGTGACATCGCCCCATACTAGCTAGTCGGCGATGCAGCTTATCCCCTCCGCGACTATTGCCTCACGCCATTGCACGCTCCGACTGGCCGCCTCATGCTCGAGTGGCAGCAGACATTCAACTACTGCCAATCTGCAACCCGCATGTCCGTGGAGCGCACGATCGGCTAGTTCAAGGGCCGGTACCGGCTGTTCGCCGGCCGTCACGATTGTGCGCTCTGGCGGGTTCTCGCCGGCGCCAGTTGTGTGGTTATCCTGCACAATGTGGGCATTGGGATGGCAGGGCCACGCATGAAGACCCCAAACATCATATGGGCGGCTATTTCACTCACCCGGGACCCGTGGTGGACGCGCGGAGAACTCGCCGAGTATAAGTGGGAGGCGTGTGACATTGTCACGCCGTTCGAACTGAAGGAACGCCGTAAAAGGCTCGGAATGGCACTGCATGACGCATACCTTAAACGACGTCGTCAGCACCGCCACTCCTCAACCTCGTCGCTGAGCGTGGCATTGTCTGCGTCCGGCTATGCGTTGTCACCGCCAGCACGTCCGCGGGAGAAGCGAAGCGGGCGACTTGTTTGAGACTGCTGGCTTGCCATCTGTTAAGATACTAGGCATAGGTTGGCTTAGGAGCCATGACTAAGGAGGTTCTTAGTAGTTGAGGTTTAGGGTTGAGAAGAGTGTCGAGAAAGTTGAGAAGGGAGAAAGAGTGGTTTCACTATAGGTTGGCAACAACATATAGCAAAGAAACAAAGAAGGTGCACCACCAAACAAAGTTTATAATAACTACACTAACTATAGCTACAGGCAGTTACAAATATATTCTGACACCATCCACTCCCTGATTACTCCGGTGATCTGGGAGACGCCCTCCTCTGAGCATCGCGTGAGAGTGTCGGCCAAAAGTTGAGCAGCCGCCATAGTTGTTGTCTCGTTGATGCGACGTTTTGCGCTCGGGGGTGTGCCGCGGCCTGCACGCACATAGGCATTGGGGTGGAAAAAGTGTACACAATTTGAAATGCTTTGTTTAAAATTGCGAGGGTGATTGTGTACTATGGTTCAGTAGCAAACGGTGAACTACAACTTAGTCACATCCCCGTTCTGAAAAACTCACATGTTGTAGTTGTAGCGTCGGTTTTCGCGGGCTTAGGGATGTTCAGGCCTGGATCGACGGTAACGTCGTCAGCACGGCCACCATCCAGTGCGTGCGGGTCCACCGCTTCAGTGTCCTTATAGAAAAGGACCATCCACTCCCACCACGGGGGCTTGATGACAGTTGCCCCACCCGACGCAGAGTCCCCCTTCGTCACCTGCTTCCACAAGGCCTTCAACCGTTTCCACTGGTTGGTGCACGCGGTAGCGTTGCAGCTCCAGTCGGGGTGCTGGAGCTTAATGTGCTCGCAGAGACGCAGCCAGTATTGGGAGCCTTGCTTCCCAGTCATCTGCTGCAGCTCGTCCTTCATGAGCCAACGAGCTGCAACTAGGATGGTCAACTCCTTCAGCGTCCACTCAATACGAGCGCCAGGCCCCGGGCTGCTGTTCACCTTAGCAGGGCTGCGCACTGCAGACTTTCCCTTCCGCTTCCCGTCAGAGCGCGAGGCAGCCGCAGATTGATCGTGATCGGCTTGAGCAGCGGTTGCATCGTCCTGATCAGGGCCGTTGTATTTAGCGATGCCGTGCCAGGCGGCAACGGCATCGTCGCGATCGGAGCCAGCAGCATCGTCCTCATCGTCCGAATCCTTCTCAATGTATTCGTCGTCCGTGTCGTATTCACGGGGCAAGACTGTCGCTTGCTTCGGGGTTGAGCTCGCGGCTCCCACGCTACGTAACGGACGGGCGGTTGGTTTTCCGGCCGCGATTTCGGCATTCATCCATTTGAAATAGGCTAGGTCCTCCACACTCCAACCTTCGTCGTCTGCTGGGCGAACTGATCCTTTGCGTTTGCGTACCATGGCTAGCTGCTGAAGATTGATGATAATGTCCCTAATCTATGTCACGGTTTTGTATGCTTTGACAGATCTATGCACTTCGATGTTGTTGTTGGTTCCTTGTTTGCTGTGGTTTGTGGAACGTGTCGAATGTGCTGGTGCACTGGATGGCTGTGTGGCGGGAATTGAGATAAATGTTGGGAATTGTGAAAAATGAGCACGTAAGCTTCCCGTTGCACATTCGCCACGTCACAGTCGTGCGCAGGTTAAAGTGACGGGCGAGACTCATGCTTTGACGCTTACGCGATTCTGTGGACGTGCACAGTGGGTTCCGCGTTGTTGAGCGACATGGTGCGATCGATTTCATTCATGCGCGTTCACGGTACAAGCCTGACAAGAGGCGTTCTATAACGTGCGTACAACAAATATGCGAAGCTGATAAGAGGATGCCCTGACAAGGGGCCGTAGGAACATGCCCTTAATGAGAAACTATTTTCAAGATGCGTAAAAATATTTATAAGTAGTTTAAAAAAGTTTCCATTTATAAGAATTATAAGACACCCAAAACCTCCCCAAATACAAGATAACTCAAGCATTTTTTTGGACACTCCTTACCAACTCTGACTCCTCGTATTCATTCTCGATACTGCGTGCTTTCTTTAGCTGCGGTTTAGGAGTGCACAATTGTATTTCACTCTTCTTAACACAAATATCTCAATGCAGGTGAGACGGAGAATAGTCCAGCGTAGAGGTATGGGCATTCCACCCTGCCAATTCATAACCTAGGTATCTAATCTATAACTTCTTTCCTGCCAATGATGGTTCGCGAAGCATGTTCGCATACATCATATCCACCCACGCGTCTGGCACACCTGGCAAGCACCAATGCGTGCAGTCCCCTGAAAACGGAGACTCGCCGTTGCCAGCTGGCGAACCAGGACCAGACGAAGGCCTCCTCTTGAACCAAGGTCCCTGATGCGCATCAGGTCGCATCGCGCTCAGGCTGGTAACCTGGAGGAACCGTAGAGTCGAACCCATCAGTGCTGTTTTCTGAGTTGTCATGTACGCTTCGGACGTCGGGAGCGATAACGAGTAATCCTTTATCGCCAACTGTTCGGACATGGGTTTCACCGCCCCGCATGCGCCAACCCAGGCGGGTTTTCCCCCAGCAGAAGTGCCCTGATACACTCCGTTTTGCGGGTTGCCCATGCCGCCGTGGTGGGGCGAGAACGAAATAAAATACGGCACGCCAACGTAGTTTGAAGTTTTCAAATAAGAGCTGAGCGTGTTGAGAGCCCACGCGTGCGCGTCGAGATTCGAAAGGTTCTTCGGGGAGTTATTCACGAAGAAGACGTTGGGCTGCTTGCGACGCGGGACGTTCTGCTGCCACCAAACTCCCGACGCGAAGACCGCCATGGCGTATTCCGGAAGGATCTTCGCGACCGTCGGATGGATCTTGTCCACGTGGACGTCGTAGCCGTGGCCGCCCTTCGCGTTCGCGGTCTGGGCGCCGCGCGTGATCGCGTAGACGAGGTAGGGCGAGAAGAGGTGCTCGATGGAAATGCCCATGCGGGGAAAGCGCACGCCTTTAACATTGAACACGCCCCCCGTGTTGCGCTGGTAGGGCTGGGGATGAGAAAGGGGAGGTTGGGAAGCAAAGTAGGGTAAATCTGAGTCACTTTCCAGAATTGAGGTGCTCGATGGAAAGAAACGCCCATGCGGGGAAAGTGGACGCCTTTAACGATGAACACGCCCGCCGTGTTGCGCTGGTACGGCCGGGGAAAGAGTGGAGGTGGGTTGGCGGAGCGAGGTGCCAGCGGAGAGGGGAGGAGAGTGGGGGAATTGGGGGAAATGGGGGGGTGAGGGATTGGAGTGAACGCCTGCGAAGTCTAGATAGATAAGAGAGGAAGGGGGAGAGGAAGGGGCATAAGAAGGGGGATATCCGAATGGCTCACCTCGCCCTTGAAGCCGCCGATGTGGATGGCGCAGAGGAGCGCCTCGTAAAAATTGGACATCATCGAGTCGCCCACTAGCAGCACTTTCTGCACCAATCGCGACGGAGACGGGGGGAGAGCAGGGGAAAAGGGGGGACAGCGGGGGAATGGGGGGGGTAGTGCGGGCGTGGGAGGAGCGCAGCGCCTCGTAAAAGTTGGACATCATCGAGTCGCCCACCAGCAACACTTTCTGCGCCGCGAAAGACGGACAAGGAGGGACAGCCGGGAGAGGGAGGGGAAATGGAGTGTGGGAGGTGCGCAGCGGCGCGAAGAAATGGGGAAGGGATGGGGAAAACGGAGGGACGGAAAGGGGGAAACGGAAGCGAGGAAACGGCAGGGGAAAAGGGGGGGAGTGGCGGTGTGAATTTGGACATCGAACCAGCAGCGAAGAGGGGAAGGTATCGAGGGAAGAGGGAGAATGGGGGTGGGGGTGGCGGGGGTGGAGGAGGGGGGGAGAGGTGGGGGGGAAGAGGAGGGGAAGTGAGGGGTGTGAGAGGTGCGCAGCGGTGAACAGAAAACAGAGCTAAAAAAGAGAATCCTAAACAAACAAACACTATGTCGTAGATTCCCGCTGCGTACCTTCTGCTTGAGCATGTACTTAAAGCCCGAGGGGCTGAAGTATGAGTACATGCACTGCTTGGGCTGCCAGCGGTACCACTGAAACCGCATGTCCGCGCGCCCGTTGCGCTCGCACGCGAAATCAGACCGCACATAAGGGCAAGAGTTGGGCTTTCCCGGAAGCGACGTGTACCGCGGAAATCCTTTGGTCCCCTTCCGCCACTCCCCGGTCGTGAAGTCGCATTTCGCGTTCCGGACTGGAGGGGGAAAGGGATGGCGGAGTTGGCGCGGGTGAGGCGGGGTTCGGGGGAAGCGGAAGAATCTTGGAATTGGGAGTGCGTTGTGCGAGAGGGATGAGTTGTGCAAGCACGGCATCAGTCTTCGAAATGCGTAACTCTTCTCACGTACTAACTACATTTTCTGCAGTGATGATGACTTGGGATGACGTGTTGAGGACTGGCTAACCTTGAGGCGCTAGTGCTGCTCCCGGAACGGCGAGCCGCGCGAACAAGGTGACCTTGAGTCGACACGTCACCCCATTCAATGCTGACGATGACGTGTCAACGATGACTGACCTTGAGGCGTTACTGCTGCTCCTGCAACGTCGAGCTGCGCGAACACTCCCACGACAGTGATGACGGCGATGATCGTGGACATCGTTACTGAGTAACCCCGTTTCGTCCGCGCTAGTGCAATCTTTCGGTGGTCGGTATAAGCTCCCATATTCGACCGTATGCGCGACTGATTAGACACAGATCCAAACTGTGGGTTTTCCCGAACAGGTCTACCAGCTTTCCAGCAGAGAAAAGCTTCTGTTATCCCTGTGAAGGCTGCTGAAAGAGCATGCCTCCTGTAAAGCGAACAGACCAGGCGATAGGGGCGGGACGCCGCTAGCAGCGTCGAGGGGATCTAGCGGGTATGGCGAATCACATTCGCTGAGTGGTCTGGACGGCTCCTAAGTCCTGAATGGAGCGACCGGGATGGTTGCTGGAGCAACACTGTATTGAAACTAGGGTTTAGATGGTTTAGATTCCAAGTGTAGGTCAGAGTGATCAATTCGGGTTCCTCAGTGCTCGGATCGGCTTTTGGTATCCCACTAGTGTCGCGCAAGGCTGCTTGAGGGTTGAGTGATTTAGGGCCTTGACTAAGCTCGATGCCGCACCCGCAGCGGCGACATGAGAAACTGGTGGCTGTGGTTAAAAAAAATCGCCGACAACGGCGGGGGGGCGAGGGCCAAATTCAACCCTAGCGTGGAATGCGGCGCCTCAAAACAAGTCGCGGATCGGGTTGGGAAGGGATGTGGGGCCGAAGGTCGAGACTTGGGGCTCTAGTCGGGAGTGTTGTTATCGGGCACGAATTTACGAATGAGGTTCGTCGACACCAAGATTGACCAACAAATGGAGCTAAGGTGTCCACAGGATTGAGTTTTTCGTAGCAGCGGAAGGATCAGTGAGTTTAGTGCGGGATGGCGGAGCCAGCTCTACCGGGCTGGGGTGGTTCGTGCAGACTTGCAATCCTGTGTTGGTCGGTAGAAGGGCTGCAGCTTTCGAATGGACTTGCTTTCGCCATGCTTTCTTCACCATCGTGGTGAGTGGCGGAATGGGATTGCAGGCAGGTGACAAAAAACTGTGCTTGCCTGAACTCCGTCATTCGAGAGTTTTGCTAAATTCCGTGAACTCGTGGTTCGTTTTATTATTTTTACGTGGAATGCCTTCGAACGCGTGAGCCACGATCTGTTATATTGTTATCACAAACTTCAAGAGAAATTTAGTTAAGTTCTGAACTGTGCTGCCCGCGGGCAAAAATAAAACCCATTCGGGCCTGGCATGCGCTAGAGAGGCATAAACCCGAAACTCCTTGCCTAAAGGTAAGGCATGCCTTACCTATAGGGGTTTTATTTTTGTCCGAGGGCAGCGCAGTACAGAACTTAACTAAATTTCTCTTGAAGTTTGTGATAACAATAAAACAGATCGCGGTTCACGTGATCATAGGCTCGCCACGTGGAAAACAATAAATCAAACTGCGCTTCCTCGGAATTGAGCGAAATTCTCCCGTCATTCGTCCATTCCATTTCCCGTTTCCTGCTGGTTCAACATTTCGAGCCGCGGATACGAACCGCGAATTGACTGCACATTGCTCTCTATGCAGAAATGCACAGCGAAGTTCGTGCATGGCGGTGCGAGTGATGCTGGCGAACCCCCGTCACTGGTTCGAGCGCGAAGAGGCTGCCGCGCAAACGCGGGATTGCTGGTTGGGAAATAACGTGGCAAGGTCAGAGTCGAAAGGGTGCTGCTAGTAGTAGAGACCACTTTCAGATTCACTAGCACTCATCCTAACAATATTAATGAAGTTTAGTTATACCAGTATTCTGAATTACTCAACATACATACATACCTACCTTATCCCTCAGACGTACATCATCATATCAGGTATTTTACGAGAGGGGGGGGGGAGGGGGGGGGGGGGGGGGGGGGTTGTAAAATTAAGCATTCACATTCATGCGCTCGGGGCCCTCCCCACATAGTACCTCACACAAAATCATGCACTTCCATGCCTTCACAAGTGAGTTATTTATAACCTCGTATGGCTAGTGGGTCAGCCAGGTTGAGATGCGAGAATGATTCTATCACATTGGTCTGGCAATAAACTGGCAATACATTACACACATTTCCCCAAGACAGAATATCGTACTGGATCCAGTATCAAAATCATGCACTTCCATGCCTTCACGAGTTATTTACAACCTCGTATGGCTAGTGGGTCAGCCAGGTTGAGATGCGAGAATGATCCTATCACATTGGTCTGGCAATTAACTGGCAATACATTACACACATTTCCCCAAGACAGAATCTCGTACTGGATCCAGTATCAAAAGTACAAGCAGTTTGTAACAACTGAAACAGCAAACGGTTCAAGCAGCAGGCGGGTCAGAAAGTAGAAAACAACTCCCAACCCAATCGAGATGGGCAGCGCAGGTAACGCCCGCTTCTGTAGCGCCAAAAGCACAAGCGTAGCGCCCAGCCCTGCAATAATTGCAAGGTAACACGCATACACTGTCATCAAATCATACATAGCAGCCCTCCCCACCAGAACCCCATAGAAGATAAAATCCCCCATTCCAAGCTTGATGGCACTTGGGAGGTCTGGACCGAAGCTGCTGCTCGGTTCCAAGCTTGGGCTCGGCAGATAGTGAATATCATCTGGGTCGTCAGCGGCATAAGTATGCACCTCTTGGTTCGGTTGCAAGCCGACCCTGCCAGGCTCGGCAGGCTGCCCTCTGCCGTGGCTACTGGTAGCAGCAAGGGTCGTTGATGCGCCTGCAGCTGTGGTAACAGCTGCCCTAGCAGCAGCAACGGCAGCAGCAGCAGCAGCAAAATTAGAAGAACCGTTATCACCATCATCATCACCACCATCGTCATCACCACCAGCAACAGCACCAGCTTCCGCAGAACCAGCACTAGTGCCCGCAGCAACAGCAGCAGCAGCAGCAGAAGCAACAGCGCCAGCAGCAGCAGAGGCAGCAGCAGCAGCAGCAACAGCAGCAGCAGGGCCACCTTGATTCAGATCCTCCACACGAACCGAGGACAAGTCAGCTGACCACCCCCCACTCCCCTCACAATCCCCTCTGCTCCCCCACCCACCAGACCCAAGCAAGCTATGTGGGCGACTGCTACCCTCAGCAACAGAGTGTGGAAACCCATCTGCTCTGCCTGGCACCGCTCCGCACCCCACTGCACCCCCACTCGCCTCAAACCCTCTCATCTGCCCGTCCACCACACCAGGCAAACCCTCCACTCCCACACTCTGCCCCTCAATCCCTGCAATCTGCCCTTCCAGCCCGGCTCTCATCCGAATGCCGCCACTCACTGCCCCCATGCTCCACTCCGGTCCAAGCGATACCGCCCGGGAGATCGTCCCGCCTCGCCACCGCACCCTCTCTCTCTCCCTCTCCCTCTCGCGCAGGTGCTGGCTGGCAACCTCTCTGAGCCGCGCTATTTCTCGCTCCATCTCCTCCTCCCCTCTCACTCCTGTCTCCTCCCCACCCACCAGCAAACCTGCAGCTGCAGCAGCAGCTGCCGCTGTTGCTCCCGCTGCTCCTACATCTCCTGCTCCTCCTCCTCCCCCTCCTCCTTCTCTGCCTGCTGCTCCTGCTGCTTCTGCTTCTGCTCCTGTCCCCCCCTCTCGTTCCTGCACTCCCAACATCCCCACTCCTTCCCTACTCCCCCTCACCTCCACACACTCCCCATGAGCCAAACTCACTCGAACCACAGGAGCCACTGCTTCCTCTTCCCCACTCCCCCCCACCCCTCCCACCACCCCTCCTCTCCCTCTCCCTCCCCCCTCAACCAACCCGCCCTGCTTGGGAGACGGCATGGAGAGCGTTCGACCCACTCTCCCTACCCTAGAGCTAACTGCTCGCCCGCTCTCCCCTCCCCGCCGCCCTCTGCTGCTCCCCGGGCGGCTCCCGCTACCCGACGGCTGATCCACCGACCCGTTATAAGGCACCTCGTTAAGCAGAACTCCGCTTCCCCCGCGATTCAAGCCTGCTGCATGCTCGCTCCACTCACCACTCCTCCTCCTCTGCTGCCCCTCCCCTCCTCTCTCTCCTCCACTTCTCCCTCCTCCTGCACCATCCAATGGGACCACCCCCACTCCTCGAATTAAAAGCGGCATCCCCTCACTCTCTCCCTCCTCTCTCTCACTCTCGCCTTCTACCCCCCTCCCCCTCCTCCCCTCCCCTCTCTCCCCTCCCATCCTCTCCTCCTGCCTTTGAGCTCCAGAGAGGCGCAGAGCAGAACTGGCAGCAGCGGCGGCAGCAGCAGTAACAAAGGCACTCAGCTGTCCAGCAAAGGTCCTCTCACCACCAGCACTGCCACCACCACTAGCAGCACCAGTAGCAGCACCGATTGCACCATCAGCAATGCTGCTCTGCTGCTGCAACCGCCGCTCGAATTGGCCTCGCACACGCGTTCTCCTTGACCCACCAGCACCGCTCCCCACCACACCACCCATCATCCCATCCCCCCCACTTCCCCCTCCTCTGTCCGTCACATGTCCAAGAGCGGTGTTAGGGACGGGAGTGCTACCAGCTGTGCTGTTTGTAGGCCGAAATGCGGTGCCGGATGGAGAGGGGTTGGATGCGGTGGAAGGTGACAGAGAGGGCGGGAAGGAGGACGATGAGGAGGAGGTGGAGAGGGAGGAGAGTGGGGGATGGCCAGGGCGAGTCGGCATGGTGGCATGAGAATGAGGGGGGAGTGGGAGCGAGGGACCGGAGTGGAGCGAGTGACCCGAGGGGACAGGGCGAGTGGGAGTGAGAAGGCGGGAAGGAGGACGGAGAGGAGGGGGAGGGGCGATGGGCATGGGTGGGGGCCTGGCTTCGTAGATGAGTGCTGGGATGTCCTCGTCCCGCTCCATGGCTATGTCTAGTAGCAGCTTGAGGGGACCCACTGAGGGATGGGGAGAGGGAAGAGAGAGGGAAGGGGAGGGACAGGGTGGAAGCGGTTTTGAGAAATTTCAAAAGGGACAGGGTGGAAGCGTGAACCAAAGCAACTTCGAAGATGAGTGCTGGGATGTCGTTGTCTCGCCCCATGGTTATGTTTAGAAGCAGCTTGAGGGGACCCATTGAGGGACGAGGGCAGGGGCCAACAAGGTGGTGGAAGGGTGAAATGAAGCACCTCAGTCAATGAGTGCTGGGATGTCCTCGTCTCGCTCCATGGCTATGTCTAGTAGGAGAGACAGTGGGGGATGAGGAGAGACAGTGGGGGATGAGGAGAGACAGTGGGGGATGAGGAGAGACAGTGGGGGATGAGGAGAGACAGTGGGGGATGAGGACCGGGTGTGAGAACAGCACAGAGATCGTAGAGAGACATGGCGATGAGGACCATCCACGTTGTCCACTTGGGCAGGCAGGTTGGAGAACCAGAAGGAGGTGATTGTCTGGGGTGGGAGGTGAACATACCCACTTGGGGCACGTACCGGACGTGAGGACAGCGTAGGTCATAAAGTGATGTGACATGGCAATGAGCACCATCCACGTGGTCCATTACGGGAGGCTGGAGAACCAGAAGGTTCTCAGATTACAGAGGCTTGTAGAGGCGCATACTCGGGGAGTTCTGGTGAGTCTAGCGAGAGTGCCTGGGCTTGGAGAGGCACGTACCCGGCGTGAGAACAGCGTAAAGGTCGTAGAGTGACATGGCGATGAGCACCATCCACGTGGTCCACTCGGGCAGGCTGGAGAACCAGAAGGCGACGATGGCGCCGACGGCGACGAGGTAGGATTGGGTGAGGAAGATGGGCATGCGGCAGAAGAAGACTGCGAGCACGCCCACCACTGAGAGGTTGTAGAGGAGGAGAGTGAAGGTGATGATGTCTATCGGGATGGAGAAGCGCTGAGGGGGAGGAAGGGGTGGGGATGGGAGAGGGGGACAGAGGGGATGGGAGGGATGGGGGGAGAGGGGGATGGATGGGGGGAGAGAGGAGGAAAGGCAGAGGTGTGAGTGAAAGAAGCAGAAAGCGACGATAGCAGCACCGTCGGCAACGAGGTAGGAGTGGGTGAGGAAGATGGGCGTGCGGCAGAAGAAGACTGCGAGCACGCCCACCACTGAGAGATTGTAGAGGAGGAGGAGAGAGAAGGTGATGATGTCTATGGGGATGGAGAAGTGCTGATGGGTGGTGGGGGAGGGGGAAGGGGAGGGGAGGGGATAGTGCGGGAAGGGAGGGTGGAGAAGCAGGATAGTGTGTGTGAGTGAGAGAACGAGACAGGGGTGAAGCACAAGAGTGGACTGGACTGCCATGAAAAAGCAGCACAACAAGAGCGATAGGGAGCAGGAGAGGTGTACAACCCGCCGCCTCCGCCACAGCAGCAGCAGCAGCAGCAGAACCAGCAAGAGACAGGGAGATCAACAGCCCACCTGAATGAGCTGCACTGCCAGTGTGCCGCCCAGCACAGCAAAGATGACGAACCCGGAGAAGCCCATGTAGCCCCAGATGCAGCGCGCACAGCCGCAGTAGAACAGCCCCACCAGCACCACCCCACCAGCCCATCCCATGTAGCCTCACCTGTATGAGCTGCACTGCGAGTGTGCCACCCAGTCCGGCAAATATGACAAAGCCCGAGAAGCCCAAAAGTGTGGACCGCTAACAGAAAGCAGCTTCTGACCTGAATGAGCTGCTGCACTGCCCGTGTGTGTGCTGCCCAATCCAGCAAATATCACAAATCCCAAGAAGCCCATGTAGCCCCAGATGCAGCGTGGCGTGGTGGCATGTGCACGCCTGCACTACCAGCAATTGTAGCTTCTGACCTGAATGAGCTGCTGCATTGCCAGTTTGCTGCCCAGTTCAGCGAATATCACAAGCCAGAGAAGCCAGTGTGCCGCCCAGCCCGGTGAATATCACGAATCCCGAGAAGCCCCTGTAGCCCCCCAACCATGTAGCCCCACCCCCATGTAGCCCCACCCCCATGTAGCCCCACCCCCATGTGGCCCCACCCCCATGTAGCCCCACCCCCATGTAGCCCCATCCCCACGAGCACACCCCCATTTAGCGCCACATGCACGCCCACAGTACCTGTAGTTGATGGGGGGCATCAGCAGTAACATACCTGAATGAGCTGCACTGCCAGTGTGCCGCCCAGCCTGGCAAACATGACAAAACCCGAGAAGCCCATGTAGCCCCAGATGCAGCGCGCACAGCCACAGTAGAACAGCCCCACCAGCACCACCCCATGTAGCCCAACCCTACCAGCACACACAACAACCCACGAGCACAACCCCATTCTGTTTCACCTGAATGAGTTGCACTGCCAGGGTGCCGCCCAGTCCAGCAAAAATGACAAAGCCCGAGAAGCCCATGTAGCCCCAGATGCAGCGCGCACAGCCGCAGTAGAACAGCCCCACCAGCACGAACGTGGCTGCCGTCACCAGCGCCACCATCGCCGCCGCGTTTAACAGCGCGCCCCATAGCCGCTGCCAGGGCGCGTCCGTGCTGGTGTGGGGGAGGAGGAGGTAGGCGGGGGCCAAGGCACGAGGGCAAGCGGTGATTGGATGTCAGCAGACCGGCCAGCCATACCAGCAGCAGCATCCCCACGCATGTGCTAGGCCAGGGCCAGCATGCGCAGCACACGGCTTTTGAGGCGCCTCAAAAGACAGCACCATCCCCACGCATGTGCTCGGCCAGGGCCAGCATGCGCAGCACGCGGTATGACATTGTAACGAGTTGACTCTTGACTCGACTCTTAACGAGGTGACTTGTAAGAACTCTCAGAAGCAATGCAGACGGACATGGACACGGGCGTCATGACACGATCGCCACTATCCTCTGAAGTGAAGCAACGTGCGTACCTCTCTTCCTGGTAGACCAGCGTCACAATCGTGGGCGTGGTGATGGACGCGCCGTGCGGGGTGAGCGCGAGGCACGAGTGGCATGCGTCCCTGACGTCACGGCATTGGCTCCCCTATAATGCTTCCTCCTCTACACGCGACGTGCGTACCTCTCTTCCTGGTAGACCAGCGTCGCAATCGTGGGCGTGGTGACGGACGCGCCGTGCAGGGTGAGCGCGAGGCACGAGCGCGACGACGAGCAGCAGCATGCAGATGGACACGGACGTCACAGCAATGGCTGGCTCCCCTATAATAATGCTTTCTCTACATGCAACGCGCGTACCTCTCTTCTTGGTAGACGAGCGTCGCAATGGTGGGAGCAGTGGCAGAGGCGCCGTGTGGGGTGAGCGCGAGCACGAGCGCGACGACGAGCAGCATGCAGATGGACACGGGCGTCACGATCGCCACTATCTCCTGCCCCAGCGTCTCCAACAACCCGCCCTCCTCGCCGAACTTTTCGCCGATCCTCTCGCCGGACCTCCCTCCCAGCCTCGCGGCTCCGCTGTCTCTGTTGATGTGAGCAGGAACGTAGTCGTGTCGCCTGACTTCTCGCCGCGCTTGCGAGAGAGGTGGACGATCCCTGCTGTCGCATATTCGGTCGCTGGCGTCGCCGGCGGTTCGCGGACCCGTCAGCGGCTCCGTCTCTGAATCGGAGATCTCAATCTCGTGACGTGGACTTCCCTGACTGGCCTCTGCGACCTCATGACGTGAATTAGGACGGGAGCGGCTCGAAGAGGCTGAGGGGTTCATTCCGCCAGACGGCAATGCTGTTGTTGCTGCTGATGTTATTTCTGCTGATGCTGATGCTGATGCTGCTGATGCTCTTCCTCTTCCTCCTCCTCCCCCTGCTCCTGCATCTGCTCCTGCTTGACTCGTCCTCGCTGCCTCGGGATCATCCGGCGGTGTCGAACCCCCCATCACCAAGGCTCTCTGCTGGCCTCTCTACCTTTCAGAAACAGCTAATCAACTGCTCAACCTGTTCTGCGGGTTCATCCACGCTCTTAGCTCGCTCAGCCACGCTCAATATCCACGTGGCTCGCGGCGAAGAAGCTCTCGTCTATCTGGGATGAGTTTCCGCAGGAAATAAGAAACTCCTAACGAACTGGAGCCTACTAGGTCAACCGACTATTCAGACTCGGTTTTCGGGCTACATGGCTGGAAATGTGACAGTCGACTCGGCGGAGATCCCAAGGTTTCAATTCGGTTGGGCAAATCTCAAGGTTGGGAAGATGCTGCAGGTCTGTGGCGAACAAAGCTAGCGAACTTCAACAACGGTTCATTCCCAGGGAGTACTCTAGCGAAGAACCAGCGCATGTTACAGAACATTTGGCAATTGGAGTTTTTTTCTCATGACAGAAACCTGTATCCATGCGAATGCCTACAAGGATCCAATCCAAGCTTTTATTCTATGATACGACTTCCTGATGTACAACCTAGCGTCAGTAGTGCTGAAAGCAGAATGCAGCCTGCTCTACAACCTACAAATTCATTCCCCTACCCAACATAGGCGTATTTCATGGACGTTCAACTTCATGCTAGCTTAGGAAGAACATAGCGGATGAAAAGGTAAATCGCTGGGGCTGTGAAGATGTAGCTATCTGTGCGGTCCAAAATGCCACCATGTCCCGGAATGAGAGAGCCAGCATCTTTCACTCCAGCCTGACGCTTGAGAGCCGACTCGAACAAGTCACCAAAGAGAGACGAAGCGAAGACAATCACACCGAGCACCGCCGCACTGAAGAATGGAAAAGAGTGAATGCGAATAACGTGTTCCAATAAGGAAAGGGCGGAGGGGAGGGTGGAGAGCTTGAGGAATCACAAAAAATGAAAATCATGGTGCAAAACGATCAGCACTACGCAGTATGCCTTAGGCAGGAAATCACGCTACAGATGTGAACACTAACCAACCAACCATCTATGAGAAAGCGGGACAGTAAGTGTGGCTGACCAGCTGAAGGCACGGGAGAGGAGGACGGACACAGAGACCCAAGTGATTTTAGAGGCGCCTCAAAAATCACCTCAATGTAAGCGGTATACAGGCATGACAGCACAAAGACAGCACCTGATAGGTGTGGCTGGCCAGCTGAAGGCACGAGAGAGGAGGACGGAGACAGAGACTGAAGAGGCCAGCCCGAACAGGGCCCCTTCAACCGTCTTCTTGGGACTCAGCTCTGCCAAGTAACCAGGGTAGGAATCGTAGTGCAGGGGAACATGGCACATGGATGGAGGGATGGGGGAGCACATAGCACAGTAAGAATGCGGGGCAATCACCCACGCAGGTGGGATGGCGGAATGTGGGATTGGCAGTGTCATGCGGGGTAAGACAAGAGCCAGTATGGAACCAATTGCAGATCAAAGGTGCAGATAAAAAGGAGGGAGGGTGGAGGGGGCAGAGGAGATCAGAACAGGACGACAGATAGACGACAGGTTCGCAAACGCTAACAGATGATGGAACAAGGTTAGGGAGACTTTTGAGTCGACTCAGAAGTCACCTCAGGATGACAGGTGGATGGCGGGTTCGCAAACGCTCACAGACAATGTAACTAGGATAAGGAAACCAACGTTTGCCAGTCATTGTGAACCTTGTTACATCATCGTGTCTTTGTCAGAGGCAATCGTGGCATCCCCCATCCTCTTCGGTGATTGAAACACCCACTGTGCAGTTCCACAGACTTCTGAGACGTCTCAAAACCCCCATCCTCTTCGGTTGAAACACACACAGTGCAGTTCCACAGACTTGCTTCACACCACCCCCACCCACCCTCACTCAAACCTACCACTGAGAGGCGTCTTGCCAAAGGTCTTGCCGCCCAAGTACGCCCCCGTGTCGGCAGCAATGACCCCCGCAAACCCCATGAAGATTGCCACCAGCCCTGTGGTCCACAGCGCCGGCCCTCCCAGCAAAGCGGGCCACACCCGAGCCACTGGCGAAGTCGTCGTGGCTGTAGTCGCCAGGCCACACCGCAGCTGGCGTGGTGGGGGGGAAAGAGGAGGGCGGGGAGAGGGGGGGGGTGGGAGAGAGGGGAGGGAGGCAAGAGTTAAGAGGGAGAGGCACAGACCCTCCCAGCAGGGCGGGCCACACCCGCGCCACTGGCGAAGTCGTCGTGGCTGTAGTCGCCAGACCACACCGCAGCTGGCGTGGTGGGTGGTAGGGAGTGGGGAAAGTGGGGGAGGAGGTGGGAAAGAGGGAAGATTTTAAAGGGGGAAAGGACGACACAGAGTCACGCCATTGGCGACGTCATCGTGCCTGTGATCGCCAGACCACACCGCAAGAATGTAAGGGGGGAGGGAAGGGGGAGAGGGAAGGGGCGGGAGGGCGGCGGGTTCAAGAATGTAAGGGGGTGGCGGAGGTGGGGGAGGTGAAGGATGAGAAAATGCTGAAGCAGCAACCCTGGCCAATATCTGGCAAAAAAATGTTGTGAATATAGATCAAAGAAACGTAACATGTCTCGGAGGCTTCCAAAAATGCAGCGATTCACGCAGGGGGAGGTAAGAACTCACCGTGACCCAGAAGCTGGGCAGGAAGCCGCAGTAGAAGAGGCCGCAGATTTAGCCTGTGAACTGGCTCCAGCGAGGCCGCTTGGGCTGAGTCAACAGCATGGCCAGCAGCAGCCCGCCGGCGAATCTTACTTGTAAGTCAACTCAAAATTTCGAGCAGAGGGAATATAGCTCACCGTGACCCAGAAGCTGGGCAGGAAGCCGCAGTAGAAGAGGCCGCAGATGTAGCCTGTGAACTGGCTCCAGCGAGGCCGCTTGGGCTGAGTCAGCAGCATGGCCAGCAGCAGCCCGCCCGCGAATTTCGCTCCCGGAGTCAAAAGCCCGCCATTCACCCTGCCATGAAAGATGGGAGCAGAGGAACAAGAGAGCTGAGATAAACGACGGGTTTTGCCTGATAAGCTTCTTTGACAAGTCAGAGGCATTCCAGGAGAATGGTCGCCAGGAGGCAAATCAGGAGCTCACCGAACCGTTGGACTTGCCAATCGCTGTTAACCAGGGGAAGGAAAGCTTCAACTTTGTTCTTTTTCTTGATGCGTACTGCGACCAGTTTCCCGTATTCATGAATGATTATTTTCGTCAGAAACGAATGTCACGGGCCTTAAAAAACCCAGAATCACGCGGAACATTTCATACGCACATGGCGACTCATAGAGCAAGCAAAGCATCACGTGCGGAGAGCACGCCGCGCCTGGTAAGCTTACGTGGTGTTGGTGGAAAAACCGTTCGTTCCCCAATCCCTTGCCACCGTAGCTTAAATCATAACAACGTAAAGATTGTAAACCACTACGAACCCGACCCTTAACTCCCTTCCCCGCCCCATCGACACCCTCTTTTTCAAAACCTAATAGCTCAGAACCCCTCTCTCCAACCAATTTCCGATTCCTTCATATCTGTAACTCACGCTTTTGCAACGCAGCCGGCAATTCAGCTCCGTTATTGAAATCCGCATCATCTTTCGCCACGGGAGCGCACCTCATAGAAAAACTATCACGTCCACTACATATTTTCTTTTCTTTTGGCGCAAGTGAAATACGACAATCTTACATGGCAATGAGCGGCATGATGGCGCAGCCGATGCAGCCAATGTAGACCGACAGACGAGAAGGAACGGCCACGTTGTTCAGCTTCGCCCGCGCGTTAATCAGTTCGAAATACTCCGCAGTACCGAGCAGCACCACTCCCGTCAGAAGAACCGTGAACAGCCAGCTCCCCATCAACAGTCCGCCGAAAGCCAGCCCTCCAGCCAGCGAGCCAAACTTCACCCTCCGCCAGAATTTTCCCTGAGCCACCTGCTCCTTCTGCTGCTGATCCTGCTGCTCCTGCTGCTGCGGTTGTGGTTGCAACTGCTCCTGCTGCGTTTGCGCTTGGGATGGAGCAGCACTATCAGACGCAGTTGAAGAATTGCCTGTATCGGACGAAGCCCCCCCGATGCTGCTGCTGGAGGCATTCTGATCAGAGTATTGCGATCTGAAATTAAGCGGCGACGAGCTGATACTGCCAGATGCTCCGTGCGCGTCTGAGGCTGCAGTGACATCTCGCAGCGATCGCCTTTCTAGAGTGCTATTAGAATTGTTTGAGTGCAACTTCCTAAGCGTCAATCTGTGTAAGCTTCCCAACGTTGCGGATTCTCTTGAGAGGTGGTTGTAACGGGAGCAACGTGCCGAACTAGCAGAATCGTCGCGTTTATTAAAACAAGTTAGTTGACGAACCGATGAAGTAAATTTCACATGATTGGATACAATATGGCTATCACAAAACGATCCGTTACCACCGACAGGAAAGGGAGGTGTTGCGAGGCTCGATCGACATAACCCTAAGCCCGTCTGCATTTTGTCAGAAGTGCGAACTTTGTCACTTGCTACTGGAAGGCGTCCAGACGTATCTCTGGTGGTCTAGGGTCTCTAGTATTCTCCGAGAAATCGCGACTACGAAGGGGCTGTTTTTCGAACGACAGAAGGGCAATATCTCGACCAGGGCACAGCTACCGAGAAAAACCGGAATCAGATCCAAATACAACCAAGCAAAGGCGCTAGAAGGCAGTTACCTGGTTGATCCACTTACACCCAATAGGCCTGGGTGTGACTGCAGAGCAAAACTCCAACCAGATTAGAAATAGGTGGGTGTGAAGCTGAAGGGGGTACAAGCATCCTCTGGTTGGTTGATCAAGTCTCATGACATGACAAATGGAGGCATGCGAAGATGAAGGGGATGGGGGGTTTTGCTTGTCGATCGAGATTGGACCCTGGGTAACCATGTGTACCATCGTGAATGGCAGGGGACCACTCACGATACTTGTTCCTATCCAATTTCGTAAGTTGACTGTACGATTGACGTGGATAGGCCCAACCTGGGGCTGGGTGGATTGTCGATTTGGCAAAGCTGTGTCATCGCTACGTCATACTGGGCCGAAAAGTGGTTGCATCAATTTCGTCACCCGAGCTTCGCGGGATGCAACTCATCCACATTTTTTATGCAGACTTTTCGGGATAGGACTTTGCAGAATATCTTTAGCGCGGCATTTTGAGGTGTATGTTATAGCGGGGTGATGCTGACGTGTGAACATTTTGAAGAGATCGCAACTCAACTGCCACTGCGTCTGTCAGATGTGGTTGGCGCGAATGGCCAAAAGCAACGCCGATGTCAGACTTTCCCACGGTGGACAATTGTGTGCTGCAAAGCTGGATATGTTGCCACATTGGCAGTAAACCTCCCACATCAGAACAATCGGCGCTACGAGAGATTGCCACATAAGCCAACCTTCCATTCACATCTGGGTGGACCTGCTTAGTCGGCGCTGTTGACTGGATAACGGCCAGCTCGAACCTATCCATCACCAACCACACGAACTCTGATCGTGGCACAGACTCGCTTCCCTCGCCACCCTTCACAGAACCAGGTATAACACCCAGAGATCTCATTGTCCCAGCAATCAGTGCAAGCTTTCCTACCAAGTTCTTGTTCTCCTTTTCCCTCCAGAAAAGGAAAATGGCCGCTATCACCTCGTCCGCTGTTGTTGCCCCTGTTGCCTTCAAGGCAACTGTGGAGGCCTCCGCCGCCTCCTCCAAGTCCGTGTCCTTCTCCGGCCTCAAGGCTGGTGTCGCCACCCCCAATGGCTTCGCCACCAAGACCGTGTCCAACGGCAGCCGTGTGTCCTGCATGAAGGTCAGTGTGATAGTGCTGGTTGTTGCGATGTCGTTCAAGCGTATCTGCCCATCTGTATTCACATTGATTCCGTCATTGGGCGATCAAGTTCTTACATGCTGTTCTCCTTCCATGTGCAGGTGTGGAACCCCATTGGGAACCCCCGGTTCGAGACCCTGTCCTACCTTCCCGCTCTCACCGACGACATGATAGTCAAGGAGATCCGGTACATGCTCAAGAACGGCTGGGTCCCCGCTATTGAGTTCGATGCCAGCGGTGTTGTGTACAGGGAAAACAACAGCGGCCCCGGTTACTACGATGGCCGCTACTGGACGATGTGGAAGCTGCCCCTCTTCGGCTGCACTGACGCCTCCCAGGTGCTCAGGGAGATCAACGAGTGCAAGTCTTCCTACCCTGGCTGCTTCATCCGTGTTCTGGGCTTCGACAACGTGAAGCAGGTCCAGTGCATGTCTTTCATTGTCCACAAGCCCTAAACTGGCTGCCATTTATTTGTCGACGTAGCTTATTAATATAAAATACTTTCTCAATATTGATGCTTCTTTACACCTGCAAACCTTGGGACCTAAGCAAAATGAATCGCGTTCGCTCTTGGATCAAAGATGATAGTAACGTGGATCTTCGCGAAGTTTTATCGTCTATACGCGAGGCAAATATCGCTGCCGCGTTCACCATGCATTGCATGAGGCATGTCCAGTGAGGACGGAATAAGGTCGTAACACACGGAGAGATCTTGGTTTCGAATTATTATTCTCAAGGTAGATTAACTAGCAAGTCCTTCCGTGCAAGTGAACTGTAGTACAGTAGGGCAGCTAATTGCCATATAAGCATGTGAGTACGTGTGGGTATGTAGTGTAGATATGAGTTAGGTTTCCAATTTGATCCCCACACCACCACTAGCAAGTTCTCGTAGAAAGCTCACCATCAATCCAGGGTAGGAAGGAAAGTGATGTTGAGGCCTTTACAAACAGCAGCCACATATATCACGCATGCCAAGTCTTACAGAGTCCATGCGACTGTTGGTATGGTGTGATGTGGTGTCCCTATGCTTTCATGAAAACCTGGAGGCCTCCGCTGCGCCCTCGAACTCCGTGTCCGTCTGTACGGTATCTGTTGATGATGTCATTTCTCCTAATGGCTTCGTCACCATAATAGCCTCCATCTACAGCTGGATTTTTGTGCAGTATGAATATTTGCTGTTTCAGAATGTTACTGTACATCCAAAGAACCTTTCAAATGGGCAATTATATTGTCTAATTTCAAAATCCAGTCACAATGGATTGATGGAACAACTCTAAGCTGGTGGTAGGATCAGCAGGGGCAGCACATGAGATTGGAGGGTGGAAAATCTGCCTATCAAACAGCTGTTGTGATTCAAAACTCCACTATAGGCATGTTAGTGGTTTGAAGATGAAAAGTCTACGTTTAAAACAGGTTAGCTACGGTATTTTGCTCATTGCAGACCCAATGGTAAGCCCAGTTGCAGTTATCCATTCGCTACCATGGGTCAATGAGCCGCTTTGTTTCCAAACACCACCTGGGGCAGGTGGTGGTGGTCACCCCAACAAACCACCTGGAGCCCAAACCAACAGAGGAGCCACTCGCATGAACTGTAACGGGATGCAAGGCCCCGTTTCCCGCAACGCACACAATTTTCAATCAAACGTGGCACCACGCCGACACTACCGCGGGCAGGCACTCCCCTGCCTTTTGGGATACCACATCACCAACCAAACCAGACCAGCCTGGCAGAGATCGTGACGACGAGCCTGATTCGCACGCTCTCAGAAAAAAATTGGTGGAGACCGAGCCTATCTTTACACCAATCAGAAGCCTCACGCCACGGATGACAGTTTGGTGGACACCCGAACCTTTGATCCCAACAACCACAGCTGCCGAGCATGTGGATCATTGCCACATAATAATCAGGCAAGGGCCATCTCTGATGCATTCCGCATTTCTCTGAGCTTCAGGAAATCACATTTCTGAAGCCCTCAAGATTCTCAAGACATACATCAGCACATTCAACTATCTTTTGCAGTGACATTTCAGTCTCTCTGGTCAAATATCTAGTTTCTGATTTCTGATTTTCGAGTTCTCAGCTATGGCTTCCGAAGGTCCTGTCAAGAAAGCCTTTATCACCGGTATCACTGGCCAAGATGGGTCCTACCTGACAGAGTTTCTGCTGTCCAAGGGCTACGAAGTCCACGGTATCATCCGGCGCTCCTCTAACTTCAACACCCAGCGCCTGGACCACATCTACCGCGATCCTCACGTCTCTTCTGCCAAGCTGAGACTCCACTACGGTGATCTGTCCGATGCTACCGCTCTCCGTCACTGGATTGACCAGATCAAGCCTGATGAGGTTTTCAACCTCGGTGCTCAGTCCCACGTCGGCGTTTCTTTCGAGAACCCTGAGTACACCGCCGATGTCGTCGGCACGGGAGCTCTTCGCCTCCTCGAGGCTGTTCGCAACCACATTGAGAACTCCGGACGTTCCGTGAAGTACTACCAGGCTGGATCTTCTGAAATGTTCGGAGCTACACCTCCCCCTCAAGACGAGAAGACTCTCTTCCACCCTCGCTCGCCGTACGCTGTCTCCAAGGTGGCTGCTCACTGGTACACGGTGAACTACCGCGAGGCTTACGGCATGTTCGCGTGCAACGGTATTCTCTTCAACCACGAGAGCCCGAGGCGTGGTGAGAACTTCGTGACGAGGAAGATCACCCGCGCTGTCGGCCGCATCAAGGTTGGCCTTCAAAAGAAGGTGTACCTCGGCAACCTCAAGGCTTCTCGTGATTGGGGCTTCGCCGGCGACTATGTCAAGGTACGAATGAAGGACGATGTGTTTTTATTCCGTCGTAAAATCCGGATGTCACGGTTGCTGGATCTCCTGGTTCTCAAACATTGAGTCTTAGCCGTATTTCCTGCGCTCAAACTCGCTCCTCCCCACCCTCCCTCCCCCCTCTCGCCACTCGTAAGTCAGTCAGTTCAAACGAATTATCTAACAAACACAAGCAACAATGAGTCGAGATGCGATTGCCTAACGGTCACAATTCCTTCCGGTATCCGTCTTTCAGGGCATGTGGCTGATGCTCCAGCAGGAGGTGCCTGACGACTACGTGCTGGCCACAGAGGAATCCTTCACCGTCGAGCAATTCCTCATCGAGGCCTTCGGCTACGTCGGCCTGGACTGGAAGGAGCACGTTGAGATCGACCCCCGCTATTTCCGCCCGTCCGAGGTGGACAACCTTCGCGGATCATCCGCCAAGGCCCGGGAAAAGCTTGGATGGAAGCCCGAGGTGTCGTTCAAGCAGCTGGTGGCGATGATGGTGGACTCGGATTTGGATAAGGCCAAGCGGGAGCAGGTGCTCGTAGAGAATGGCTTCTTGGACAGCAACTTCCAGCCCTAAATTCCTAGCTCTGGTGGTTTCTCCTGCAGTTTCATACGTCCTGGTCCTAGAGAACCCGTTGGGTGGTCTTTGTAGAGTCTGGGGTGATTATATTATCCAGGCAATTGTAAGGTTTGCCTGGTAGCAAGCAACTTTGTATTTACTGACACGTTTGCATCAAGGCACATGTATTATTTACTCTCTCCGGCCCTTTCCTAGGGTGCGGAAAGGTGCGAAAACTTCCTCATTCCTAGGGTGCGGAGTGGGAGCAAGGGGCTGAAACCACTAGGGTGGGTGAGTGGAAGTGAAGGGAGTCTTTAACCCCTGGTATGGGTGAGTGGGAAGGGAAGGAGGCTGAAGCCTTACGGTGGGTGAATGAGGAAGTGGGGCTGAAACCTAGGGTGCTGTATGGTTAAGGCATTCTTCTCTCTTTGCTGCTTTTGTACGGTATATGACTGCGATCACCCCCTTGACAACCATGAAGAAGATACTACACAATTATCTGTGATTAATACTGTATGAGCCAGTCAGACATCACATCACATCATCCCCACATGTAAGCTGGGTACGCTTCCATCTCCTTGGCCACTGTGAGAGCCAGCTCTTCAGCCGTTTCATCCTGTCCGCCTGCAAAATTGTACGCCCGGAATGCGAACTGGAAGCAGCGCCAGAGAAGAAACAGGCCTGCCTTGACTCGCGGCACATCGTACACGGGGATGCGCCCATCCACCAGCTCCACTGACGCCCTCAGCTTCATGCTCTCCTGCTCGAACAAAACAACACAGGAAAAAAGGGCTCAGGGTTTTTTTGACTCTAGGCACATCGTACACGGGAATGCGCCCATCCACCGGCTCCACTGATGCCCTCAGCTTCATGCTCTCCTGTTCACACAAAATACACCACAGGAAGAAGAGGTTCGGGGTTCAGGGTTCAGGGTTTTGGAGCATTAGGCAGTAATTATTTTTTAGCAATCAGCGATGAGAAGCAGCGTAAGGAGAGGAGCCACGTGCACTGGCTGCATCACAGGCAGACTTACCGGGGACAATTGGAAAGAACCATGTGGACTTGACAGCCGCTCACCTGAGCATAAAAATATTAGGAGGTGGGAGGAGGGGCGCACAGCAGCTACCTTCACACTCCCGATGGCGCCACCACTGTACGGCAGCCGCTGCACTCTGTCACACCAGCAATACCACCCCTGCTGCTGTCAATCACTCAACTGCACCCAACTCCACCGCATTCAACCTCGACCCTGTCAATCTAACCCTCACCCATCGAGTCTCACCTGTGCAGACAGCTCCAAGAGGCGAGAGGAGAGGCGCACCGCAGCCACCTTCACCCTCTCGATGGTGCCACGGCTGTACGGCAGCCGCTGCGATTCAACCTTTTACCCTCTTTCCCAACCACCTCACCCTCACACAAAGAATCTCACCTGAGCTGACAGCTCCAGGAGGCGCGAGGAGAGGCGCACCGCAGCCGCCTTCACCCTCTCGATGGCACCACCGCTGTACGGCAGCCGCTGCGCTGCAAACTTCTTAGCGTCCTCCTCCCTGCTCCTCTCCACTGCCTCCACCTCCCTCCGCACGCGATCAAACAGCCGCTCGCACCGGTCCAAACACACTCCCACCGCTGCCACTGACGCCGGCGCTGCAGCACCAGCAGTACCAGCAGCACCTCCACCAGCACCGGGCGTCCCTCCCCCGTCGTTGTTGCTCATGGGCACGGCAGAGAGCAGGTCGCGGGAGAGGGCGGAGAGGCGCGAGTGCAGCGATGCCGACGCTCGCAGCAGCTCCAGCTTGCTGCTGGGGAAGCCCTCAAATCGTTGCAGCACCTGCGAGAGGGGCGGGAGGGGGGAGGTGGGGTGTGCTTTACTTTTAGGCTGCTTTCAAGCAGAGCAGCTCCAGCTTGCTGCTGGGGAAGCCCTCAAAGCGCTGCAGCACCTGCGAGAGGGGCGGGAGGGGGGAGGTGGGGTGTGCTTTACTTTTAGGCTGCTTTCAAGCAGAGCAGCTCCAGCTTGCTGCTGGGGAAGCCCTCAAAGCGCTGCAGCACCTGCGAGAGGGGCGGGAGGGGGGAGGTGGGGTGTGCTTTACTTTTAGGCTGCTTTCAAGCAGAGCAGCTCCAGCTTGCTGCTGGGGAAGCCCTCAAAGCGCTGCAGCACCTGCAAGAGGGTCGAGTGGGGGAGGTGGAACGTGGGACGTGGGACGTGGGATGTGGGATGTGTTTTACTTCTGACTGGCTCTAGCAGTGTCAGCAGCTCCAGGAGCTCCAGCTTGCTGCTGGGGAAGCCCTCAAATCGCTGTAGCACCTGAGGGAGGGGAAGGGGGAGGCAGGAGATGGGAGATGCGAGGTGGGAGGGAAAAAACAGAGGGAAAAAACAGAGGGAAAAAACAGAGGGAAAAAACAGAGGGAAAAAACAGAGGGAAAAAACAGAGGCGTCTGCAGTGACTTCAGAAGTCACTGCAGACGCTTGTGTTTCCCTCCCTCCTCCTGAAGTGACTGAAGTGACTTCAGGAAGAGGGAAACACAAGCGTCTGCAGGAGGAAAGAGGTGCAGCAGTTACGATTGCAGCAACAGTTTTCTGGTACTTTGAATTAAACGACTTTTGAGACGTCTCAAAAGTTTTCTGGTACTTTGAATTAATGGCACCTGCAGGTTATTGGTTCCTTGGTTACTCGACTTTTTCATTACTCAAATAACTGGCTCATTCAGCAATTTGGTGGATTTTTAACTACCCAGTTACCCGGTTACCAGACTCTATGGTATTACCCAGTTACCTGAGTCTCGTCCGTCAAGTCTTGGAGAAGCGACTCTATCTTGGCCCGAAACGCCACCAGCTCGTCGAAATCAGCATCTTCAATACACGGCTACCCACATTCCCCCATACTCGATTACTAATAGGCCGTAGGGTTACCCAGTTACCTGAGTCTCGTCCGTCAAGTCTTGGAGAAGCGACTCTATCTTGGCTCGAAACGCCACCAGCTCTTCGAAATCGGTGGTCTGGAAGGCCTCCAGGTCAGCCTTCGCCTGCCAGATGGCGTCTGCATGCTTCACCACGTCAGCCTCTATCTGCTGGAAATACGCTGAGCTGGAGGGTCAAGAAGAAGGGGCAAGTTGGTGCATAAACCAGGTTGGAACAAGAGGAAGTGAGAGGCGGGAAGAGTTCAGGGGTTTTGGGATAGGCCACCATAAAAGTAAGGAGGTGACTTTTGAGTCGCCTCAAAAGTCACCTCGAGAGGCGGGAAAATTTCATGGTGGCCTATCGTAAACCCCTATCGTAAACCCCTATCGTAAACCCTTATCGTAAACCCCTTGTATGGTGGCCTATCGTAAACCATAAAAGTAAGGACAGCTTGAGGGAGGGAGGATGCGATATCACCTATGAAAACGTGAAGGGCGAATGGGAGAGAACCTGCAGGAGAGACACACATAGATCTTCCCCACTAGGAGAACAGGCGTCAAAGAAACAAGAGAAGGACGCACACACACATACACAGGCAGAGAAGAGCAAGAAAGCAAGAAACAGAGCAGAACAGCTCAGAGCAACTAACCTTTGGTGGATTTCTGCGAAAGCCAGGCAATGAACACCCGCCCCTCACCTTCTGACTTCTGAGTCGATTCAGGAGTCATACACAGACAATGAAGAGCAAGAAAGCAAGGAAGCATGCAACAGAGCAGAGCAGAGCAGCGCAGAGCAACTCACTTCTGATGGATCTCTGCCAGTGCCAGAGCAATCGACACATGGCCCCCTCCCTGCCGACTTTTTGAGTCGACTCAAGAGACATACACAGACAGAGAAGAGCAAGAAAGCAAGAAACAGAGCCGAGCAGAGCAGCGCAGAGCAACTCACTTCTGATGGATCTCTGCCAGTGCCAGAGCAATCGACACGCGCCCCCCTCCCTGCGGTCTCCCTCTCATGCGCCCTGGCCCATCTCCTACAACCCCTCCTCCTCCCCTCCCCTCTCCTGCTCCCACTCCCCCTCTTCCCCCTCCCCCTCCCCCTCCAGCTCCCCTGTCCTCCCCCAGTGCCTGAGCGCCCACAATAGCTTGCTCCACTCGACTCTTGAGCCCGCGATACAGGTGCCCCATTCGGTTTGACCTCCGCAACCCCCCTTCCCCAACTCCCCCACTGCTGCCCCCCGCTGCCCTTCCCCCTGCCGTTCCCCCTGCCCCTGCCTCTCCCTCCCCCCTTTGCCTTGCCCCTGCAGGCGTCCCTGGGTGGGACCGTTGGGGGGAAGGGGAAGGGGGAGGAGGCGGGCGCGGGGGAGGAGGGGGAGTGGGGAACCGAGGATCTCCGAACGACTGGGAGAGGTCCGGGAGGGAAAAGGAGGCTGGGATGTGGGAGGAGGGGAGGGAGGGAGGAGGAGGGGGAGGGCGAGGCGGAGGAGGGGGAGGGGGGGGACGGGGAGGCACAGAGGAAGCTGTAGACGAAGCTGCAGCAGCAGAGCCCAAGTTTTTAGCATGTCCTGCTCCTGCTGCTCCTGCTCCTCGTTCCTCCTCCTCCTTCTCTTGCTCCTCTCGCTCCTTCTTGGAAGCCTCTGCTGCCGCCACTGCTGCCAAAACAGCCGATCGCGCACCTCCTTTTCCCCTTGTGCTGGACGCTGCTTGTGTGGGCGGAGGGGGGGATTTAAGGGAAGGAGGCGGAGGAGGGGGAGGAGGCACGCCTGCTCCTGCTCCTGCTCCTCTCCCTGACCCTCTTTCTCCTCCTGCTCCTGCTGCTGATGTTGCTGGTTGCAGTGGTGGTGGGGGGGCGGGGGGCAGGGAGGAGAGGAGGGAGGAAGAGGAGGAAGCTGAGAAGGCGAGTTGGCCGTGCCTTCCCCATCCCGCCCCTCCTCCTCCTCCTGCTGGTGCTGGTGCCGCTGCTGCTGAGACTCTGGCTACCCTGCTGTTGCTGCTGCTATTACCCCTTACACTGGCACCAGTAGCAGCGGCAGAAACAGCAGTACCAGCCCTATCAGCTGTAACTGCAGCACAGGAGGCAGCAGCAACAAGAGCAGCAGCAGAATCAGGTCTAGGAGGGATCACAGCACCGGGAGCACCAGCAGCAATGGCAGCAGCAGCGTCGAAACGAGCACTGGCAGCAGCAGCAACAGCAGCAGCAGACACACTCCCAGCCGCCTTCCTTGCTGCTGCCACTGCTGCACTTGCTGTTTCTCCCTTTCTCACTCCCCTCACTACCCCTCCCCCACTCCCGAGCACCCCCATACCGTCCCTCACTCCTCCCCTGACCCATTCACTGTGCCCTGGTCTCACATTACCTCCTACTCCTGCTCCCACACTTAGAGAGCCATCCTCGTTAGACGAATGATGGGTTAAGGAAACAACGTCGGCCAGTGACATAGAAGCAGAGGGGGAGCTTAAGCTGCGTGTAACGAGAGCAGCACTAGGGGCCGGTTTAGCAGCAACAGTAATGGCAGCTGATCTCGCAGCAACAGTGGTAGCAGTAGCTGATTTTGCAGCCCATGGCACAGAAAAGACAGGTGGGGTGGGAGTCAAGGGGCTAGGTCGTGCAGGTTTGGGTGACGGGAGGGTTAATGGAGGAGGGAAGAACACAGGAGGGTGGAAGGTGGGGGGTGAGGGAGGGGAGGGAGGGGAAGGAGCGGAGGGAGGAGAGGGAGGAGATAGAGGAGAAGGAAGGGCAATAACAGCACCGGCAGCTGCAGCAGAACGAGCACCAGCGAAAACAGCAGCACCAGCACCACCGCCACCACAGCCAGCACCGGCAGCAGCGCCAGCAGCAATAGGAGGAGGAGGAGGAGGAGTGGCAGAGGAAGTGGAAGCGGCAGCAGCGATGGTGGCTTGGAGAAGCGAAGCAGTGTGAGGGGTGGGCGGGCGGACGAAGCTGGGAGGCTCAAACGAATCTGCCCACCCCCCTTCCATCTCCTCATCCCCCCATCCACCCTCCCACTCCCTCTCTCCCATCTCTCCTCCTCTTCTTCTTCCTCCTCCTACTCCTCCCCAACCACCCCCCCGCCCTCCTCCTCCTCCCCTTCTCCTCTCTGCTACCCCATCTCGCCCCCATTCGGCTCCTCCTGCTCGTGCGCCTCCCGCCCCTCCGGCCATGCCTCGGCTGGTTGGGAAGCTGGCTTCCGAGCCTGAGGCCGAGGCTGGAGCAGGCTGGGCCGAGGCTGGGGCGGAAGCTTGGGAGGAGAGGGAGCGGGCGGCCTGCTGTTGAAAAAGGTCCATCTTGCGAAGAATGCGGCGACCTGATGGGGAGGGTGGAGGCAGGAAAGAGGAAGAATGAGGGTGAGGCCACTAGAGTGGAGGCATGATAAATTGGAGAGTAGGAGGAATGAGGTTGAGTGCATGAAAAAGTGTGGGGGCATGAGGTTGAGTGCATCAAAAAGTGTGGGGGCATGAGGGTAGGGGCAATTGGGCAGACTCAGATGTCATGTCACCTCACTAGATTCTGACAACTTCATAAAACTCACTCAGTGACTCGAGTGTGAGCGGCCCATCCGCTAATGATGACGATCCTTCTCCTTCTCCTCCTCCTCGGCTTCCTCCCCCTCTACTTCCCCCTTCTCTACTCCGTCCTCCGCTTCCTCCTCCTGACAACACCAGCACATCCGCCTCTCCATCTCTCCCTGCCCTCCGATACTCCCCCCGCCTACCCCTGTAGCTGCTGCTACTGGCCCGGTTGCTGCTGTGACTACTGCTGCTGCTGCTGCTGTTACTCTGCCGAACCGACCTCTTTGAATTCTCAACACTACCTGCCCCAGCACCAGCACCGCTGCTCCTCAACCACCCAGTGCCTCTATCACTAACGCCGTCCCTGTTGCTTCGGTTGGAGCGCTGAGAGCGTGGTGTGTGAGGGGGGGTGGTCGAGCGGAGGAGATTAGATGCGGAGCGAGAGGAGGAGAGGAGGGACGTGGAGGAGTGAGTGAGGGGGCGGACGGAGGGGGAGAGGGGGTGGCGGAAAGAAGGGGGAGAGTGGGGGCGGGGAGAAGGGACCTGCGAGCCAGCAACAGAAAGACTCTGCCCATTGTCCTTTTTCCAGGGAGAGGCAGAGTTTGCAGGGGGTGCAGAGCGGTGGTGAGCCCATGCGCTTTCCATTTGGCACAGTGTGCTATAGAAGGCCTCTAAACGCTCGCCCATGGGCTGCTGCTGCTGCTGCGGTTGTAGACCCATGGGATGGTGGTGGTGGTGCTTCTGCTTCTTCTGCTGCTTCTGCTGCACGGAGTGCGGCAGTGCTGCCCCCTTGTGTGCCTGCAGCTTCTGGTTTGGATCGTGTGAGTGTGCGTTGGGAAGGGCCTCCATTGTGCTCTCTAGAATCTGGGTTTTGAAATCACAAGGGGAGAGGAGACCGGAGGCGAGCAAGAGAGTGAGGGTGGATGGAGAGAGAAGAGGAGAGGATGAAGCAGGGAGTTTTTTAGAATTCTCAAAAACTCCCTGCAACGTCATGGAGAGAGAAGAGGAGAGACTGAGTGTGCGTTGGGAAGAGCCTCCATTGTGCTCTCTAGAATCTGGATTTGGAGCAGCGGGGTGGGGAGGCCATGGAGTAGAAGGAAGAAAGGGGGAGTTGAGAGGGAAGAAAACTAGTGATTGAGTGTGCGTTGGGAAGAAAACTACTGATTGAGAGTGCGTTGGGAAGGGAACTAGTGATTGAGTGTGCGTTGGGAAGAGCCTCCATTGTGCTCTCTAGAATCTGGAATCCGATCAAGGTGGAGGGAAAGCGGGGGGAGAGAGGGGGGAGAGACGGGAGGATGTCCACATGAAAACACTTTTTCTTGTCGTTCCTCGCATCCTAAGAGTCTCAACACTCTTCTTAGCCTGTTCGCTATAGTAACACCCACATAACAGCACCAATCTCTACACTCACACAAAAATATCAACACCCACCCTCCCCAGTTCAACTCAAAGGGACTCACGTCCTACATGTCAGCGTCGCTCTCTGGCGGTAGCAGGTGCAGCGATGAACAAAAACCAAACAAACCCACACCAATGCAACCCCCATGGCTCACGTCCTGCATGTCAGCATCGCTCTCTGGTGGTGGCAGGTGCAGCGAGGAGCGCAGGGAGATGAGACGGCTCCTCAGCTCCGCCAGCACCACCAGCCCGCCCAGCCACCCCTTCCCCTCCCGCCTTTGCTGCACCGGAGGAATATGGGAGGACAAAGGGAAAGAGGAAGGACTTTTGAGACTCTCAAACGGCAGGTGCAGCGAGGAGCGCAGGCAGATGAGACGGCTCCTCAGCTCCGCCAGCACCACCAGCCCGCCCAGCCACCCCTTCCCCTCCTGCCTTTGCTGCACAGGAGGAATATGGGAGGACAAAGGGAAAGAGGAAGGACTTTTGAGACTCTCAAACGGCAGGTGCAGCGAGGAGCGCAGGCAGATGGGACGGCTCCTCAGCTCCGCCAGCACCACCAGCCCGCCCAGCCACCCCTTCCCCTCCTGCCTTTGCTGCACCGGAGGAATGGGAGAGGGCAGAGGGATGACAGGGAGAGGACAGAAGGAGGACTTATAAGGTGGATCAAGGTACAGCGAGGAGCGCAGGCAGATGAGTTTCCTCCTCAGCTTCGCCGGAACCACCAGGCCCCCCAGCCACCCCTTGCCCTCCTCCCTTTGCTGCAGAATGGAGGGGTACAAGTGGAGGAAAGAGGAAGGGATTCGGGGAAATCTCGAAAGACAGGTGCAGCGATGAGCGCAGGCAGATAAGTCGCTGCCTCAGCTTTGCCAGCACCACCAGCCCTCCCAGCCACTCCTTGCCCTCCTCCCTTGGCTCACCGGAGGGATATGGGAGGAAGGAGGGAGAGAAGTGGGAGGAAGGAGGGAGGAAAATGGGAGGAAAGTGGGGAAAAGTGGAAGAAAAGAGGGAGAAAAGTGGGAGGGGTGGCACACGGAACGGAGCCGAGGCAGTTGGGTGGGTGGGAGAGGATGCCAGCAGTGGCAGGGCGCGGGGAGTCACAGTCACCAGGTGCAGGGCGCGGGGAGTCACAGTCACCAGGTGCAGGGCGCGGGGAGTCACAGTCACCAGGTGCAGGGCGCGGGGAGTCACAGTCACCAGGTGCAGGGCGCGGGGAGTCACAGTCACCAGGTGCAGGGCGCGGGGAGTCACAGTCACCAGGTGCAGGGCGCGGGGAGTCACAGTCACCAGGTGCAGGGCGCGGGGAGTCACAGTCACCAGGTGCAGGGCGCGGGGAGTCACAGTCACCAGGTGCAGGGCGCGGGGAGTCACAGTCACCAGGTGCAGGGCGCGGGGAGTCACAGTCACCAGGTGCAGGGCGCGGGGAGTCACAGTCACCAGGTGCAGGGCGCGGGGAGTCACAGTCACCAGGTGCAGGGCGCGGGGAGTCACAGTCACCAGGTGCAGGGCGCGGGGAGTCACAGTCACCAGGTGCAGGGCGCGGGGAGTCACAGTCACCAGGTGCAGGGCGCGGGGAGTCACAGTCACCAGGTGCAGGGCGCGGGGAGTCACAGTCACCAGGTGCAGGGCGCGGGGAGTCACAGTCACCAGGTGCAGGGCGCGGGGAGTCACAGTCACCAGGTGCAGGGCGCGGGGAGTCACAGTCACCAGGTGCAGGGCGCGGGGAGTCACAGTCACCAGGTGCAGGGCGCGGGGTTGTTCTAAGATGTCGAGCCTCTCTCTTGCAGCGGCAGCACATGGGGAGCCGCGAGGCACATGGGGAGCCGCGAGGCACATGGGGAGCCGCGAGGCACTGTGCATCGGCTGGGAGGGCGTGGGTTTGTTCTAGGACGTATCAAAGCACTCACGGATTCCAGCTGGTGCAGGTGGGAAAGGTTGACATCCAGCCGCTCTTGCAGTGGCAGGGCATGGGGAGCCACGAGGCACTCTGCATCGGGCCCCAGCAGGTCGTACAGCTGTTGCTCCGCCTTCCTCACACCCTCCTCCAGCTCTGTACGCCGCTGCACTGCCTCCCGCACTGCCTGTGATGGGAGAGAGAAGAGAAGGCTTTGCATCTCATGGCTTGGCAGGGCATGGCGTGGCATGGCACGGCATGGCGTGGCATGGCATGGCACGGCACGGCATGGCGTGGCATGGCATGGCACGGCATGGCGTGGCATGGCATGGCACGGCACGGCAAGAGACGGCAGGAAATGACATTGTGAGCACAAATCTACGATCGCTGCCAACTTGTTCTGTTTCTATAACGCTTCTTTAACTGGTTCACTCTAGAAGCACACAAAGCCATCTCAATTACAGCGCTTCTCAAAAGTCGACCCAAAGCATGGGCTACTATAACTATCACAGCACACCAACAGTCCACGTCATCACCTTCTCATAGGCCCTATCCACAGCATCTGCAACGGCCGATCGCAGGTCTTCTGAGCGAATCAGCTTATCCTCTCCTATTTCCTGAATCACACAGAGGGGAGAATAAAGAAAGCCAACGCAGGAAGAGAGGGAGAGCAGAGGGAAGGGGTTGGTAGGAACACAGGAAACGAGAAGGAGAAAGGGTAGGAATGAAGGATGTGGGAGGTCAAAGAGGCAGCATGGGGAAGAAATTGGCAGGCAACAACAGAGAGAATCTTTCGCCAATGGTTGTGTTATCCATGGATGCTTGTCCTAATCTCTCATGTTCCCTGAGTACACGCTTCCTCCTGCCCCTCATGACATGTAACACCCTTCCCATGACTTGTAACGCACCTTCCGTGACTTGAAATGTACCTTGCACGACATGTAAGCGCACCTCACATAGCTAGTAATCGACCTCTTATGCCTTGCAACGCTCCTCCCGTGACTTGAAACGCACATTTTACGCCTTGTAACCCTCTTCTTCTGACTTGTGACGCACTTCTCACTACTTGTAACGCACCTCCCAGATGACGTGGAGCTCGGCCTCCCAGTCGCCGCGGCGAAGAGACGAGTCGTCTAGGTTCTTGTGCGCGTGAAGAGCGTCTTGAGCTTCGGTACCTTGGGCCCGCACTGCCCCGCTCCCGCCTCGCACTTGCACCAGCAGTGACTCATCCTGACCTCACGTGGCTTGCAATGCACCTCCCGCGACATGTAACGCACCTCCGGTGACTTGTAACGCATCTCCCATGAGTTGTAACGCACCTCCCGCGACTTGTAACGCACCTCCCAGATGACGTGGAGTTCGGCCTCCCAGTCTCCACGGCGAAGAGACGAGTCGTCTAGGTTCTTGTGCGCGTTGAAGAGCGTCTTGAGCTTCGGTACCTTGGGCCCGCACTGCCCCGCTCCCGCCTCGCACTTGCACCAGCAGTGACTCATCCTGACAGCGGATTCGTTAACGACGACAGCAGTGGCTCATATTGACTTGAGATTCGTTAATGAGGATCGCAGCGAATCATAACGACAGCGGTGACTCATATTGACCGTGGATTCACTACTAAGATTTGCAGAGACTTATACTGACAGGAGTTTCGCTAGTGAGGATCGCAGTGTCTCATAATGACAGAGGATTCGCTAGAGTGAGAATCGTAGTAACTCGTTGTCATGTCCGCTCATGGCACATTCAAGGGACAAGGATTCAGTGACTAATAAACACGGTAACTTCACATATCAAAGGTATTCAAGGTGAGAGGTGTCCCCTGCATGGTCACGACTAGGAGCCACTTTTGCTGTGACGTGCTCGTTGCTACTCAAGTAAGGCCAAGCCCTGATCGGACGGCTATGATCCTCGTCAGCGAGGCTGACAGTAAGCGATCAAACTTCTTGAAAATAAGGCGATAGACACTGTGGGGAATAGTCAAGAGGACTCCGCAGGTCCCGAGACGCCATCCGTGATCAGTGCAATGGGCAGCACCCGAGCACCCAACATGAGTTGCAGAATCTGGGATCCTCGATGTTGCCGAAGCCATTTCCGTTATGCATCTCTGTATACCTGTTACATACATTACTGTAAGGAAAATCCCTTTTCCTTACTTCGCATCCCTGCTCAACGCGTACATCACTGTAGCACCTCAGTCAGCACCGTTACCACTCGCGATCCTCGCATCGACAATCATCCCGCCATCTTCGCACATCGCACCCCGACCTCACGGCTCGGCTGGTAACCCGCGCTCCGGGCCTCCGCTTCAACACTTTCCCAACCTCAGTCCCAGGCTCGTCGCACGACAACCACAGTCCATTACCGTTACCACTGTAGTTTCGCTATATATTCTTCGCTCATGCCTTCGCTCATTGTATTTCTTTCTTCGATAGTGCAATTCTCGTTCGCTCACTCAATTGCACTCGTAACACTTGGTATTCAGAGCCTACGATCTCATCTCGGACCGCATCCACACTTTCGTTTCCCCACTATCTCATTTTTTTGGGGGGGGTAGACGTCTCTCAGCGATACAGCACCGCCGCTCGTAGTGCTCTCTCGTAAGCACGCACGGCCACGACCGAGGCTCTCGCTGAGCTTGCCCGACAACCCCGCCATGGCCGATTTCACGCTCGCCACATTGACGCAGGAGCAGCTTGATCGTCTCGTGCGTCAACTAGAAGATTCGGCGCTCGAAATCGCGACGCTCACGGCGGAACGTGACTCCGCCCGACAACAATCCACGGTGAACATTCCGGCGACACCACACGCACCGACAAATGCATCTGCACAATCGGACGAGCCGATCATCATCTCGTCCGGCACACCAACACAACACGACAGCATGGGACAACGCTCAGGCGCAGCCAGTGATGGCGCTGCCCAGCCGATGCCTGGCATGGGGGGAGGCAGGATCGCACCAAGCCCGCGGGAGCCCCGGGAAGCCCGTCGGCACGTGGAATTTGCGGCAACAAGTGGCGAACAGGCCATTATGGCACCAATGCCGCTCAAGCCGCAACGCCCGCCCTGCTTCGACCCAAGCCAACGCGGAGGTCCGACGGTTCAATCGTGGGTCTTCACGATGAACGTCTTCTTCGACGCAAACTACGTCGAGTCGGACGCCGCGAAGATCCGGTATGCAGTTTCGCTGCTAAGGGGCCCCGCCATGGACTGGTGGCGAGTCATCGTGACATCGCCACGCGCCTACGAGTTACCGTCGCACGAGGAAGGGCCCACGGGTCCAGCTGTCACCTGGAGTTCGTTCTGCGAGACCGCCCAATACAGCACGTGGGATGCGGGGTGCGCAGGACTACGGGCGCGCTTCGAGCCGATCGCGGCTTCGATTTCGGCGCGTCAGAGATTGCGCACTTGGCGCCAGCTCGGGCCGGTTCAAGATTATACAAGTGGTTTTCTCGCACTTTGCGAACAGGTCGGCTACATGCACGAAGCGGAGCGGGTGGACCGTTACATCGGAGGGCTGAAGCCGGATATCTCGCACGAAATCATGCTGCGCGGACTCTCTAACTTCAACGAGATTCTCGCGCTCGCCGAGAAAATCGACATTCTACGCCGACCGAGACCGGGGTCCTACTACGGACATCGCCCTCGGGGACCGACCGAGCACGCCACTGTACACGCCGTCGCAACGAATGCAGCTGCCGCACCGTTTAAAGGGCGCTGCTTTGCTTGCAACAGGCCGGGCCATCGCAAGAGCGAATGCCCAGAGGAGCTGAGGCGCCGCGGAGCAGAGCAGGGGAGGGAGTCTCAGAGGCAGGGAAACGCCAGCAGTCAGTAGGAGTTGGGCCAACTACTGACGAGACTGCCTGCTCGCCCAACCGCACCGACCCTCACCGAGTCACAGTACCGATTCACGCCATCGATCGGGCTCGGATGAATAAGGAGGGTACAGCGACGGATTGCCCAGTACTGATCTACGGGAAGATACAGGGAGCAGCAGTGAAGATTTTTATTGACGGAGGAGCAAGTCACAGTTTAGTTAATACCGCGACCGCACGGAAACTGCAGTTAACACTTAAACGCTGCTTACCTGAGATAGACGCACGCTTAGTCGACGGCACGCCACTGGCCATACGGGAAAAGGTGGAGCGAGTAAAAATCCGCTGCGGAGGGAACTTCGGGTTTACACAGGAAATGCTCGCCACGACACTGGATGGGCACGACATTTTATTGGGACGTGATTGACTGCGACGGTATAACCCACGAATCGACTGGACGACGGGTAGCTGCACCGTGCGAAGTAGTGGTAACTGGGTCGAACTACCTCGCTGCGGTCACCCGAGTCTTCAACGGTCCACGTCAACGCCATCACGATGAAACGGGTTGTTGCCGCGGGAGCTGACGTGTACGCAGTGGATATAGCACTAGTAGGAGAAGAGGAGCAGCCGAGCGATTTTCAGAAACTGTTGGCAGCGGTACCGCCCGTACTTCAGGATCTGTTGAAACGGTACCCCGGGATTTTTCCAGACGATTTACCGCAAGGACTGCCACCTCAGCGGGCGCATGACCATAGGATCGAGTTAGAACCGGGGGCACAGCCAACTGTACAGCGCCAGTTCAGACTGACACAGCCCGAGCTCGACGAACTAAGGAAGCAGTTAGATTATTTGTTAGAGAAGCAGTTTATCCGACCGAGCTCGTCACCGTTCGCCGCACCGATACTGTTCACACTGAAAAAAGACGGAGGATTTCGCATGTGCATTGATTACCGAGCGCTCAACAGAGTAACAGTCAAATCGCGATACCCCATCCCCCGCGCCGACGAACTGATCGACCAGCTGCGAACAGCACGGGTATTTTCGAAAATAGACTTACGGGGGGGTTACCATCAAATTCGGGTCGAACCATCGGACTGCGCCAAGACAGCATTTAGGACTAGGTACGGGTCATTCGAGTACACGGTGATGCCTTTCGGGCTGACCAACGCGCCCGCAACATTTCAGATGACCATGAACGAGGCGTTTAGGCCACTTTTAGATAAACCGTGATAGTTTACCTCGACGACATCCTCGTTTACAGTCGCGACCAACAGCAACACTTAGTCGATCTCGAAGCAGTGTTTAAAATTTTAGAGGAACATCGGTTACTCACCAAGGGCTCCAAGTGCGAGTTTTTTCGGGATAGGCTAGAATTTTTAGGGCACGTTATTTCGGAGGCTGGAGTTGAAATCGACCCCAAGAAGCTGGATACCGTAAAAGCGTGGCATCCCCCGACGAACATCACAGAGCTGCAGAGTTTTTCAGGGTTCGTTAATTACGTTCGTCGGTTCGTCCTCGACATGGCACGATTAACAGCCCCGCTAACAGATTTACTACGCAAGGGGGTCGCTTTTATGTGGGGGGAGAAAGAGCATGCTGCCTTCTCTGCCCTGAAACATGTTCTCTGTTCACCACCCGTCCTACGCATCGCTGACCCACATCGCCCCTTCGAAGTTGTTACAGACGCAAGCAACATCGCCATTGGAGCCGTACTGTTACAAGACTTCGGCAACGGCCTCCAGCCCATCGCCTACGAATCACGAAAACTGCATCCGCCTGAACGAAATTACCCGATACACGACCGCGAAATGCTCGCGATCGTGCATGCATTCAAGCTGTGGCGCTGCTACTTGACCGGCGCAGACGTAACAGTACGGACAGACCATCGATCCCTACAGTACCTCCGTGCACAGCCCCACCTCAACCCACGACAGATTCGGTGGCTCGATTTCCTCGAGTCAAATTTCCATTATACGGTCACCTATAAAAAAGGAGCCTCGAATATCGCCGACGCACTGACCCGCCCCACTGCCCAGATCCATGCGATACTACTCGCCCAGACCAGCCCGCTACTGACAGGACTATTTACCCACGGATATCAAACAAATCCATTCTTCACAGGAGGAAACTCGCAGCAATTCGCAGCAGCCAAGGGAGTCTATTACGTAAAAGCTGGGACCGAACGCATCTGGGTACCAGGGTACACACTACTACGGGAATTACTGTTACAGGAGGCACACGACGGAGTTACCTCGGGACATCTCGGAGTAGAGAAAACACGGCAGCAGCTGCAGCGGTATTATCACTGGCCCGAAATGTTGACCGACGTGCAACGACACGTGGCATCGTGTCCCACTTGCCAGATCATGAAGTCAACCCGGAAGCGGCCGGCGGGACAGTTGCAACCAATCCCACCTCCAGAGCGTGCTTGGCAGCAGGTGACGATGGACTTCGTCACGGGGTTACCGACCGGGGCGAGTGGGAATGACGCAATCCTGGTCGTCGTCGATCGACTGACGAAAATGGCACACTTCGCAGCCTGCAAGAAATCAATCACAGCCGAAGAAACAGCCCGCCTCTTCATCTCTACCGTCGTTCGACTGCACGGGATACCAGCATCAATCATCAGCGACAGAGACACGAAGTTTACTAGCAACTTCTGGCGGAACCTGTGGCAGCAGTTCGGCACGCACCTACAGTTCAGTTCATCGTATCACCCCGAAACCGACGGACAGACCGAACGGACAAACCAGACCATGGAACAGCTCATTAGGGCCACGTGTGATGATCCAAACACGTGGGAACAACAACTGCCATTCATCGAATTCGCATACAACAACGCCCCATCCGCCACGACCCAACATTCACCATTTTACCTGAATTACGGACAAGACCCAACAGTACCCATGACCCCGAATCCCGACAACCCCGTTCCACGCGCACAACAGTTCTTTGAGATTTTGCAAGCAGCACGAACCAGGGCAGCAGAAGCAATAAAAAAATCAAACATCATCGCTAAACGCAACGCTGACCGCCACCGCAGACCTGTCACTTACCAGCCCGACGACCTCGTTTTACTCGACACTCAAAACCCCCGCTTGCCCATCACCCCCAAACTCCGCCCTCGATACTGCGGGCCATTTCGAATTAGCCATATGATAACACCTGTCACCGCGCACCTCCTCCTCCCTGCTGACTGGTACGTCAGCCCCTCGTTCCACGTCAGCCTGCTTCGCCCTTACGTACCATCCACAAGCCCACTCCCACGAAATCGCCCAGCCAGCATGGCTCGTCCGCCAACCGAACCAATCATCACCCCCGACAAAATCCTGAGCCACAGAGTTCGCGACCCTCGAGGAGCCCGAAAGATCGAGTTCCTACTCCGCTGGAAAGACCGTACACCCACCGAGGACAACTGGGTTCCCCTGGACAGAATTGAAAACCACTATGTTCTCACCGAATATCTGCGCAGCCGAAACTTCAGGGACGTCCACGCTCTTTCGTAAAAAGGACCTCCTTAGGAGGGGGGGTAGTGTAAGGAAAATCCCTTTTCCTTACTTCGCATCCCTGCTCAACGCGTACATCACTGTAGCACCTCAGTCAGCACCGTTACCACTCGCGATCCTCGCATCGACAATCATCCCGCCATCTTCGCACATCGCACCCCGACCTCACGGCTCGGCTGGTAACCCGCGCTCCGGGCCTCCGCTTCGACACTTTCCCAACCTCAGTCCCAGGCTCGTCGCACGACAACCACAGTCCATTACCGTTACCACTGTAGTTTCGCTATATATTCTTCGCTCATGCCTTCGCTCATTGTATTCCTGCTTCGATAGTGCAATTCTCGTTCGCTCACTCAATTGCACTCGTAACAATTACAAAAAATGTTGAGATCGCCATTTCTATACATTACAGTAACCTGAGGCTATCACGACCTTTCTTGAAGCATCAAAATTATATGAGCACGCACACACATACTGATATCAACACCACATCAGAACGACCCAACACATAAAACATAAGCTTACAAAACATCAGCAGCACATACATTTGCAACCACTGAACGAGCACTCTACAGCAGTCATAGTTTCAGCCTTGAATTGAACTTGGTCCCTCCAACCGCTGCTAGCTCAGCAGCAACTGAAACCATCATGGCCTCCAGCTCATCCTTCCTATCCGACACAGGGGCCTCCAGGTTCTCCCCCGCAGTCAACGGAGTCAACGGGGTCAAAGCGGGAGCAGGAGCCTGAGCAGGCGCCTGCGCCGGCCCCTTCTCCCTTCCTGCACCCGCTCTCCAGCTATCAGCTGCAGCGGCGTCCATATCGTCACTGGTCCCGCTCGTCCCACCGCTGCCACTGCCACCGCACCTCCCGCCAATGCTGATGCAACCCTCTTCCTCCCCTCCCACTCCCCCATCTCCCCCTCCCTGCTGCGGCACCGCCCCTCTCCCACCCCCACCCACCGTCTTCCCCCTCTGCCTGGGCACAGTCGCATGGCCCCACGCGGCAATACACGCCCTCGTGGCCCGCCTCACATCCTCATCCCTGGCTGGGCCCAGCCCACACACAGCCGCCTGCAGCACCGGCGGCGAGTCTAAAAACTGGAAATGCCCCGCGTCTCGCAGCACAACCTCCCAGCTAGGGTTGCCAGCTTCTTTAAAGAACCAGCGGTAGTTGGAGGCAGCAGGGGCGCAGTCGCCGGGGTAGCCGCCGCCAACGACAAGGGTGGGGAGGGAGACGGCGAGTCCTTGGTTGGCAGGGTTGGCATCGGCAAGGAGGTGCTCGATGGCACTGTTGCCCGCCCTCATAGCTGCCACTGCTGAGGGGTACCCGGGGGCCAGAGGGGCATAGACTGCAGGGGGGGAAAGCATATGGGGGATGGATACAGAGGGAGGGGAGACAGGGCATGGTTCAATGGCACTGGTGCACGTGCCACGCTTGAGTTGAAGGGAGGGTTATTGGATGACGAGGGTGGGGAGGGAGCGGGTGAGTCCCATGTTGGCGGGGTTGGCATCAGCAAGCAGGTGCTCTATGGCACTGTTGCCCGCCCTCATAGCTGCCACTGCTGAGGGGTACCCGGGGGCCAGTGGAGCATAGACTGCAGGGAGAGGGAGGAGGGAAGGGGTAGGGGGAAAGAAGTAGGAGGGTTTAACGGGGAGGGAAGGGGGAGGGGTATAGCAGGGAAAAGAAGGGTGATGGCGCTGGTGCCTGCCTGTAGGGGCGCCACTGATGAGGGTTACCTATGGGAGGGCCAGAGGGGCATAGACTGCAGGTACAAAACGAGTGAATTGCTGTTTGACACATGTGTGATTTCCTGTTCGAGTCAAACTGCGCACACATGCCTCAGTGGGTGTGCGCTGGTGATTGGCAGCTCACTTGTGTTATCGACGGGGTCGACGAGGCCTAGGGAGAGCACCCGAGGGTCCATGGCCGCTGCCAGCAAGCGTGTGTTGACCCGACTCAAAACACATATGTCTCACGGGTGTGCGCTGGAGCTGGTGGTTGGCAACTCACTTGTGTTATCGACAGGGTCGACGAGGCCTAGGGAGAGCACTCGAGGGTCCATGGCTGCTGCCAGCACGCTTGTGTTGAACTCAAAACACATACGTCTCATGAGTGTGCGCTGGAGCTGGTGGTTGGCAACTCACTTGTGTTATCGACAGGGTCGACGAGGCCTAGGGAGAGCACTCGAGGGTCCATGGCCGCTGCCAGCACGCTCACCTTGGCTGCTCACACGAGCACATGCACACATGCACAGGGGATGGATGGTTGTACGCATACATTGACAGGATTGCACACCACACACACACACACACAAACACACACGCACACACACGCGCGCGCACACACACACACGCGCGCGCGCGCGCACACACACACACACGCGCGCGCGCGCACACACACACACACATCAAACAAGGGAAATCACTTCTCATTATAATGGCTGCTGCCAGCACGCTCACCTTGGCCGCACACAGTAGTGAAGATTGGGAGTAGAATGAAAAAGAAACAAACACATGGGGCACAAAGTCAACATTCTGCACACACGTGAAACTGAATCACACAGGAGTTCACAGCACAGAAATACAATCGTGAGAGGAGGTCTTACCTCCTCTAGAATGACCGCAGAGGTAGACGCGGGTGTTGTCTGCTATTCTGCGAAGCAAGTGACTGCAGAGGGGGAGCAAGCAGCCAGACAGGACGCCGAAAGAATCACAGCAGCTACAGCATGAGATTTTGTGTGTCTTTGCTATGAGCCACGAGCGAATCAACTCTAAGGTCAGAGCATCTGCACCATGACAGTTCTTGACGTTGAGCCAGACAAGACATCAAGCCTGACTGCTGCAGCTTGGCATCATAGAAAATGACCTTAACGAGAAAAACACAATGATGACGACAACGACGACGACGACGATGATGATGATGACATAACAGACTCACCTGGTGCCAGCCCAGTTGATGAGTTCTGTGATGAACCGCGCACAGATGATGTCGTCCAGAGGGCCCATCAGCCCCTCCACCTGCCATGCATGCAACACGTGATGTGGGTGTCAATCAGTCAATCAGTCGAACGGTTGGCTGTTCAATTGGACATTCAGCCAGAGACGGTGGTAAAAACAAGGACCGCACGAAGCAACAGTTGCCATGCTGATTAGCACGGGATCAAGCGAGTGTTGCTGCGCGCATTGTCTTCGCACATCAAAACCCCACCAGCCCTGGCTGAACTACCAGTTGATTGAAAGAAAGCACAAGAAAACTCATCAAAACGCCCCTGTACCGTACCTTATTGTAGGTGACTGCAGCGAAGCCCCAGCTGGCGAGGTGGTGGGCGTAGCTGCGGTACTGAGCCGAGTCCAGCAGGAACCCGCTGCTGAACACTGCTAGGGGGAACTTGTCCTCCTGTGGGGGGGCCATGGGGGGAGAGGAGCAAGACAGCAGCGAAGAAATGTGACTGATAGGTGATGGGCGTAGCTGCGGTACTGAGCAGAGTCCAGCAGGAACCCGCTGCTGAACACCGCCAGGGGGAACTTGTCCTCCTGTGGGGCGAGAAGCAAGACAGCAAAGAAGACAGCAGCGAAGAAAGGTGGCCAAGGGTGTGGGAGAGGCACGAGGTACAGAATAGGGGACGGCAGAGCCGGGGAAGGGGTTGACAAAGGGGTTAGGTGGTCAGCCTAAGGAAAGAGAGGAGGGGGATGGGGGGCACAGGCATAGTACGAAGAAAGAGGGAGCGTGGTTATAAGGTAACGAATGACCGACCCGTAACGAGTATTGAGGCGTCCATGACGTGTGCCGCATCCTCGCTGGGTACGTCACCGTTATCCGCAACAAGCAGCCCCCTGCTGCGCAGTCCGGGAAGCAGGATGCACACGTGTGCTCCTGATGGTACAGATTCTCCACATCGTACGGTCCGAATTCGCTGAATCTCTTCTCCGCGATCAACCCCTCGTGAACAGGAACGAGCCGGGCAGCGGACCCCGCTTCAGACACCCAAAGCCCTTGTTTGTCGTCTAGCAGGCTGCTCAACTCCCCAGGGAGAGAGTCAACATCTGGCTGTAACGGTAACGGTAAGGGAGTCGCGTTACCCGAACCCTGGATAGACCATCGCCGGCCCTTGTTACTGCGTAACGGCCGGCCTGCTCTGTCGCCTCCACCTTCTAAAAGAATCCCTGCGCCGGCTAATGTGGCTCCACCAAGTAAGAACCTTCGGGATATCGCTCGTGAGCTATCCTGCTTAGCATCATCAACAGACCGAGCCTCCGCTCGTGCAAAGTCACGCGGTAATCGTGAATCTTCCAAGTCTTGTGGGTATTGTTGTGAATCCTGAGACCCCAAGTTGGTGGCAGGAGCGCTCTCTCTTAGGGTGTTGCGGTCTGACTCGTTGCTGCCTTCTGCACGTAGAGAGGAGAAAATGAAGGGTGTCATCGAGTGAAATGCGAAAGCAGGAATGGAGGCTCAAAATGACCGACACACAAATCGTCCGAAGTGCCGATTACCTGATGACGTCGAGGAGTCATTTGCTGAACATCTTAATCTTCTAAAAGCGTGAGTGTAGCCTCGAGAGTGAGAGAAGTTTTTATGGAAAGATTCTGATCGAGACCTGGACAGAGCGGTGGAAAAGCTGTTAGGCAGAGTAACCAACTTCTGTGCGATCGCAAAATCCATGACGCAGTGGAAGCGTCTTCGTTTCGTAATGCGGCGAACGTCGTCAGAAAAGCTCGAGTACGCAAATATATAGCAGCTCCCCTAGAGCCTCCTCAAGTCAGAAGAGATCGAGAGATCCACGTCACAGAGGTGGTCGTCTTGGGTGCTACACACAGGCACCTCGACTCTTTGTTGGCAAGAAACGCTTGCGCCGTGCTGACTAACGCAAGGACGTGTGGCTCAAACTGGGGCCCTCGTCGACATGGTTTAGCCATGGCGGCACGGTCTGACCATAGCACTTATGCTCTGCACATCCTCTTTCTTGAACCCCACGAACGACCTCCAGAAGAAACTGGGAACGGAACTTCTTGACATGCGCATCATACTGTAACTGGGTTTCTACCGTTTGTTACACTCCATAGTTTCAGGACTGGTTTCTGAAAGGCAAGCGTACTGTACCTGGCGTTTGCTAGATACTGTATACCAGTTGCGACAGAACTGACACTTACGACCCCAGGTCCGCGAAACAATTCTAAGAGAAAGTTGGTCGATGTCTACCCCTGCCGGTTCTCAATTCAAATCCAGCCAATCGCAGCACCTCAAATCAGAAGCCCTTACGAGGCCTCCGACAGCTGGTGCAGGATTTCGCAGACTTGTGGCGATGTTTTCGCCTGTTTTTGTTACCACCTTCACACGAATCCTCCCCCAACCGAACAAATCAAACCAGCCCGTAAAAATGTCCCCACAAGGCTGAGAATCGCTTACGTGGCGGATCCTACCCATATCTGTTCCTGAATGACTGGCTACGGAAGAATCGGCCACGTCGCAACTCCATCACGGCACATCTCTTCCCCATCCATCCCATGTGCGATGTCCCGCGGGAGAAGATCATACAGGGGCCGAACAGTGCCGGAGGGGTGATCGAATAGGGGCCAAGAGGCCCGGAAATTACCAAACCGCTTCGCAAGGAGGAATTGACAGAGAGTCTTTATTTATTGCACGTAATTATGTTACTAGTGGCATGTACCGGCTCGCATTTTCGCTCGCGTGTCGTTTAGCGAGCGGACTCTACCGGGAACTCTAGGGCAGCAAAAAAACTAAAACTCATTGGGAACCTGGATGCAATTTCGGGATGGATAAACCCTGAAAAATGGACCTTCCTGGTGTTTAGGTTTGATCCCTCCCGAGTCGCATCCGTTTCCGAATGGGTAATATTTTATTTTTTTCTGTGGTTTCCGATTGGGTAGGTGGGTATGCATCACCCAGAATATATTATGTTGTTACGTAATCACGATTTGACACGCCGAATTCAATTCCAAAAGAAGGCGACGCGCGCGCTGAAGTAGTCGGCGGTCAAAACCCTTAATAGATAATAAGAACTCAAAATTAGGTTTTTTAGTAATTAATCTTTACTTATGGTTCGGCTTGTTTGCCGAGTCGTTTGGTCAGCTCCGGGCTGAAATCCTACGGTCGATATTTTCCGGCCCTACTTGATCACCCTTCTGGCACTGTTCGGCCCCAATATGATCTTCTCCCATGTCCCGCGCTCCAATACCAGCGGCCCCTATCGATCAATGCACCTTCTCCATCGTTGCTTTCTTTCCATTCCTTTCCTTTCCTTTCCCTCTCCCACAGGCCACAACACACTCCCCAGCATCCCTCCCCTCACACACCTCCCCCCTCTATTCGCTCCTCCACTCAATCCACTCTTGTGACCAGTCTTGTGACCTGTCCCATGCCTGTGTGGTCGCACATCCCTGCCACAGTCCTGCGGTTCGGTTCAATTCCTTAGTCTGGGGGGACTTGGCTTGGGTTTCTCTTCCAGCAGGAGCAGCAAGCGTCATTTGTTAGCTACGATTCGGGTGACTGCAATAGATGGTTAGTTTGAGACTCGGGTAGCGGATGTGTTGAGTGAGATCTGCTTGCGGGTTTCCTAGTTCTCACTCAACCGCTCCCTATCCGAGTGCTCCTGACTATCAGTCGATAAGTAGCTGAGTCATTACTCTGAAAGCGGCGGCGCCCTTCCGAGCAGCAGCAGGCATCTAGTAATCTGCAGATTCGAAGCTCTAGTTCAAATGTCAACAGGCCTTTCCCATGCAGGACTCCGTTGCAGACTCAATCAAAAGAGGTTTCCAGCAGATACTCAACGCAGGTGTCGCCGACGGGCAGAGACATCATTTAGGTTCTCACCTCTTGAGTACACTTACCCCCACAACTCTCGCCAATGCCTGGATCATCGAAAGCACCTACAACCTACAGTGGTCAGCACTCCAGCCCTTGCCCCGCTGTTGGTATCTCGCCTGTTGTCTCGAGAAAGCACTTATAGTTATCATGGATGCATATTTCCTCGTTTCAGGTCTCGGGACTTGGCGAGCCTGCGAAATTCTGTCCCTCGAGGCTTCACATTTCGGACATGACAGGGAGCACACCGGCACTAGCCGTGTCAGGAGCCGCTGGCATCTTACCTCGTGTATATACAGTGACACATGACGACATGACGGCTGACCTATTTTTGACGATTAGTTCAGCCGTTGACGTCAAACAGGTGTGCAACTGCACCCCCCCTCCCCCACCGTCCCCCTCCCCCCTCCCCCCTCCCCCACCGTCCCCCTCCCCCCTCCCCCCCCCCCCCTCCCCCATTCTTCCTCCCTTTCACTTTATCCGCTAATGTTGAATAAAATGCTGACACCCTTTTTTCCTTGGTCAGCTAGATGGATGGTCATCGAAGCTCTTCCGCGACGAAGTCGTAGGGGAGTGGAAAGTACGACAAAAGGCCGAGGACGAAGTCCATTATTCCTTGCATCTTCACTGTCATGTTAGCGGGTCTCATTCATTCCTCGCGCCCCCTGTCATCCGAAGCTGGATATTTGAAAGAGAAATGCCATTGGTGAGCACCATAATATATTGTTTGATCTGCTGATGCAGCTTGTCGTTTGACGCTCAGTTGACTAACCCTAGCATGTATTATTGTCTCCGTCAACAGGTTTTGGAGTCCATCATGTACGCTGAAAAGGCTTTGCTCGCTTCTCATCCAGGTAAGCACTTCACTAGATCGTGTGCTTCACCATTATGTTAACCTACACATAGATCCTGTGCTTCAGCATTGTGTGAACCCACTCATATCTTACTTCGCGACTGGTTGCAGATCTTACCGCCGCAACTGTATGGATTCACTACCACTCCCACTCGCCCAGCTTCGACAGAGCAGATTGCTGGGGTCCTCTGCACAGCAGTCTATCGCGTTCCAGGGATGACGCGACTCTACTAGACGTTTTGGGCATCTGTTTAAGAGACTTGTTTCGCTGGCCATTTGACAGCCCAGACGCTCCGAGTGCTCCCGCCCCAGCCTTACCCCTTCAACCGCAGTACAATCCCATTAGACAGCCCCGACCACAATCGCTGGCTCTGATTTCCAGAAAACACCCAGAGCAAGTGTTTGTTCCCCTGGTTCTGGGTTTCGTGTATGTTGTGAATTGTGTTTTTCTCATGAACGTTCTTGCTGCCACAATGCAGTGAGAACAATTCAATTTGTCGATAGAACCTGGCGGTTGCTGCTGCAATTATGGTGATAAACAAGTTCTTTGTCCCAAGGCCCCATTCCGTTTTACTGGTGATTGATGAATACAATGTTGTTGAATGGGCATATAGCTTATCAGGTCCCGGGAGTCCGGGAACATGGTTGTGTGGTGCTGATACCATCGAATCATGGTTTATTTGGTTAGTTGTACATGAACAAGGTGAAAAACTGTGATACTGCAGTGCCTTAGGACATAGTTAGTACCTTAGGGCGCTTCACCTGAGGGGCGGAAGGCCAAAATCCGAACCGACGTATCAGTTTGACTGTACGAACAGTATCCCAAATGAGTTCGAACACAAATACGTACAATGAGCGAATGTGACACAGGCCATCACAGGTGACGCCATCGCTATTCGCACACGCGGTCTGTTCGAACACAGCGACGTCGCCCACAAAAGAGCGACGTCGCCAAACATTGGGTCCCTCGCTTGTGTATTGAGAAAGCTTGCTTTCTTTCTTATCAATTGGCATCGTTCTCATTACAAATGGCGTATTACAACATTTGCATCATCGTTCGACATAAGCTAGTGCGGACTAATAACACTAGCTATTATGTACCCTATCCAAGTGGCATTAGCAAGGCGGTTTACACTGGGGTGGGTGGTGGGAATGTTGAGTGAGCCGTTTGAAAATTGAGAAACGTGGGTGGAGGGAAATGAGCTCCAACCCACGGTTTTTGTAGTTGGAGAAGGGCGTTTAGCGCGCTTCGACGATGCCAATTGTGCAGTACAAGCAGCTTCGCTTTCACAATACACAATTTTAAAAAACACTACATGTGTGTTTAAAAATTATAATGTTTCCTCGCTTGGGTCGCAAACGTTCATGGGCGACCCGGAAGACTGTGGACCAATCATATCAGTCGTTTGTGCGGAATTGTGTGTCACCTATCCCAACCTGTTCGAACAAACGTGTTCGAACGTGCGGGATGATGAAAATCGTGCTTGAGGTGACAGCTCTGTTCAAATTGGCGAAATTGTGCTTCGCGACGTCACGATCACCACTACGAACATAGGCGAAACGAGTAACGTTTCGCCTGTTCGAACGAGTGTGTTGTTCGAACCGACAGGTGAAGCGCCCTTAGTTACCTACATTTACAGCCCATTCGTCATGGTTCATGACTCATGATTCGCGGTAGAGAGAGGCCCTAGGTCTGTTTCAGACCTTCACGCAATGGCTAGACCGCAAAGAATGTTCAGGAGGGGCTTAAGTCATGTTTACCAACCATAGCATAGCATGGCGAGAGTTGGTGGCTGGAGTCCTCATTCATGGTAAAATCATCAGTTTTACCGTAACACACATCAAGGCAACTGACGAAGCAATTCTCCGGAAAAACCCCTTGTTTATAAAAAACAGCCCACCACACCTCAATTCCTACTGTGCAGCAATAGGTCTATGGTACACTAGTTAAACTTCCCACGCCCAACAAAAAACGTTCACTAAACGTAGCCTGCAAGGCTAACAGCTGTTTAGGCCCAACAACAGAATAAATTCAAATGCTGCAACTCAGACAATTCCCAGTGGATGACTCTGCTTCAAACCACAGAGCTTGGTGGCCCTGCATTGACAGCAGAACCATGGAACATAGAGGAGCATCATACGGTACATCATTGAAAGAGGCCCGGAACAGCAGAGAGGGGACTATGAAACACCACAGGGAGGGGCGCTGAAGAGCATGTTGAGGGACATGGGACGGCACGCCATGAAGAATACTACTAGAAGCATTGAACAACACTTGAGGAACATCGAATAGCAATTAGATGAAATATGGGCAGGATTGGAAACAAACATAAGACACACTAATGCAGATGATTGAACTTGTGCATAAACTGCAAGCTGTTGAAATAAGCATAAGGTCACACTAGTGTTCCCGAAGGTATTGCTATAACAGAGACGTACCACAGTCGAATCCAATGAATGCGAGCGAGCTGCTGCAGCGGGTGCGAGCGCAGAAGTCGAACGCAGTGTCCTCTGCTGCTGCCTTGAGAGGTGCAAAGCCCGCGGGGCACGAGCAGGTCGGGGGCGAGCCGTCAGCAGGGGCTGTGCAGAGCGCTTCCACTGGGCATGCAGCCGGCACCATGCACTTGCGGGTAACTGGAATTGGGGGAAGGGAGCAACAGGGAAAGGGAGTGAGCAGGAGGAAGCAAGAGGGAGCCACAGGGAGTGAATAAAAACAGGAAGTTGAGCTTGATGGAAGATCAAGATCCTAAATTCCTGAGGGGAGGAACTGGAGAGAAGACAGAGGAGCTTAATGGAAGATGGAATGTGGTACGTGTGTGAATTGTTGGAATGATGAAACAAGTGAAGCATGGGTTGCTCCCAGCCTCCCACTCAAGAGAGGTGAAGATATCTGTGTATTAATCTGCATCCTCAACATGGGAATCTGCTGAAATGGAGACAGATGTGTGATAAAAATATTCAAGCAACAATCCTAGATCAGTTAATAGTTCATGTGCATAACATTGGCGAGAGAGCACAGGAGGGCGAGAGAAAATTGATTGGCGAGAGAACTTCGGCAGGCGACAGTACAGACTTGGCGATATTCGCGAGAATTCTTTTACTCACTCGTGCACGACGGCGAACCAGCCTCGCGAAGGCACGAGCACCCTCCCACGTCCAGCGCGTCTTGGCACACGAGCCGCGTCAAGCACTTTTGCCGCACCCCCAGCTTGCACGTCGCGGCGCCTGAGGATTCACATGGAACGAAAGGGAGAAAGGGGACGAGAGGAGTGAGAAAACAAGGCATTCGTACAAAAGGGGCAGATGAAGAGATTCAAACACGCGCCTACGCGAGGGTGCAACAAGAAGAAGGGATCGGTTTAGGGAGCCATGAGAATGGGGATTGGGGAAGAGGTGCGCAGCATTAGGGTGAAGAGGGAAACATCGGGGGAAAAATGGGAAGATGTGCATGTGGGAGTTAGGATAAAGCGTAAACGTAAACCACCGTAATGCTATGTACGCATCTTGCATCAAGGAAAACAAAAAAGTAGCGATGCACCCTGTTGAGTCAGTCAACCGTGTACCTGACGCGCCAAACACATCAGCTGATAGCGAGGATGCGGTCGCCCCTCCGCTCCCACTCTTGGACATTGACTTTTTCTTCTTGGGCGGCTTTTTCTTGGGCTTCTTAACTGGGGCTTTCTTAGGGGGAGGCGGGCGCGGGGGAGGCGGACTGGCGGGGGGCGGAGAGGCGTCAACAGCGGGCGGCGGCGGCGAAAGGGCGGTGGCGGAATCTGGGTCCGCGGAAGCTTCTTTGGCGCCTGGCGGGGAGAGGACGCCGGACGCGGAAGGGAGGACAGGCGGAGGCGGGCTGTTTGTAACGGGTACGGCGACTGGTGGAGGCGGACTGTTTATAACGGATGCGGCGGCTGGTGGAGGCGGGCTTGCTATAGCGGAAACAGCGACAGGAGGAGGTGGGCTTGCTGTAACGGGTACAGAGACAGGTGGAGGCGGGCTATCTACGACGGTTACGGCAATCGGCGGAGGCGGGCTGCTTATAACGAGATCAACGGTCGGAGGATGTGTCCTGCTTGCAGCTGAATCCGCAGGAGGAGGCGGGCTGTTAATAGCGGATTCAGTTAATGGCGGAGGCGGGGAGAGAGTGCTCGAGACAGCTAGCCCAAGGGGGGGCAACGAGGGAGGGGGGGAACCCACAGGGGGAGGCGGAGAATACACAGGGGGAGGCGGAGAGCTGACAAGGGGAAGGGGAAGAAGGGGGGTGGGAGGTGGTGAGGGAGGGGGAGACGGGGGAGGAGGACTTGGGGGTTGCGGGGGAGGGGGCGGAGATGGCGGGAGCGGAGGGTTGGGCGGTGGAGGGGAGGATACCAGCGGAGGGGGAGACGCGACAAGTGGAGGCGGGGAAGCGACGCGCGGAGGGGGCGACGCGACAAGTGGAGGCGGGGAAGCGACGAGCGGAGGGGGCGACGCGACAAGTGGAGGCGGGGAAGCGACGAGCGGAGGTGGCGGGGAAGAAACGAGAGGAGGAGGGGGGGAATCGAGCGGAACGGAAGTGTCCGTGACGGTGCTTGCGGATTGATCCGTGACCATTCCAGCGGTGATGGGGGGAGGCGGGGGAGACGGGGGACGAGGCGGAGGGGGAGGGCGCGGGGGAGGTGGTTTAGGCGGACTGGGCGGCGGCTTCGGCGGCGGAGATGGCGGCGGCGGTCTCGGCGGCGGGCTCGGCGGCTTGGGCGGCGGCGGCGGGGAAGGCGGTTTCGGCGGAGGGGGCGGGCTTGGTGGCGGCTTTGGCGGGGGAGATGGCGGGGGCGGCTTCGGCGGGCTGGGCGGTTTAGGGGGCGGCGGCGGAGACGGCGGAGGGCGCGGTGGGGGAGGCCTAGGGGGAGGGGGGGACGGCGGCGGCGGGGACGGCGGCGGGCGATTTGCAACGAATTTCTGAACGCAAACCGCGCTGGAGAAAAAGCTCGAACCCGACTCGGTACCCCCAAGCGGCACAAATCCCGTCGTGTCGGTCTCGATCGCGCCGTCCGCTGCGAGCGCCATCGCGTATACGCCTTCGGGAAGCGCGAGCAGCGCCAGCGCTGGGCTGCTGGGATACACCGCGAGCTTCCCGCCGTCATACGCGGCGGTGGAGTATTGAAAGGAGCCTAAATACGCCGCCGAGGCGCACCCCCCAGCCTCCGTGTAGCCAATCGCGTCCATGGTCCCCAAAAAAGTTGCGCCTCGCGACACCATCAGCGTAGACGTGCCGCCGTAATTCGCGGCGCTGGTAACCAGCACGTTCTTATTCTTCGGATCCACGCCGAGAGATCCGGGCGTGCCTGTCGTCAGCACCGTTGTCGATAGCGGCGGCGGGAGCGCGGTCCCGGCGAGCGGAAGCGCGTACGTGTAGAGAATGTTCGTGTCGTACCGGAGAACCGCTAAGAAGCCGCCGCCGGGAGAACAGACGGCCTGCCGCGCCGCGTACGACGCCGAAAACATCTTAATCGCCGAATTGGCTTGGAAATTTCCAGTCGTCGGATCTATTGGCACAATGACCACCACGTCAGAATCGTCAGCGGTGACGTGGCAGGTGAGCACGAGGAAATCCGAGGGGGAGGCGGCTGGCGAAGAGCAGAACGAAGCGGACAGACACTGGTAACCCGCTCCAACGAGCTGGCGCGACGACCCCGTCGTCCGGTCTACTGAAACTGCACCCGCAGCTGTCTCCGACCCATCAGCTACAACAAGAAGATTTTCCGAAGGTCCCCCAAGGGCTACAGCCGTTCCTGAAAATCCGCCGGGAAGAGCCACGGGCGGTAGCGGCACCGCGCCGTCTAGGGTGTAGTTAATCGCGTTTAGATACGAGCCGCCTGAAGATAAGTAGGCCGTGCCGTCGGTCGCGACCCCGCAGGAAGTGAGCTGCGCGTTCGCGTTGCTGTCGGCTTTGCTGGAATAGCCTATCTCGCGACGCGTTCGGAGATTAATCTCCCATACCTGGGACGTCGTGTCGCCTGAGAGAGGGTCGTAAACGCCGCCGGCTACAATCGCTACCGGGACGCCTATTGTCGAGTATTGGCATAGCGCGGGGGTCGGGAGAAGGGCGACGGACATGAAGAGGAGGAGAAATGGCGTCGCCGTGAGTGACGCCGCGATTGTCGCCGCCGGTCCTCGTGGTGATCCCACGTGGCGGCGCGGCGGCAGCCGCACAGCCATTACGAGGCCGCAAGGGATATCCTATCAGCTAAGTGGGATTCATCCGGATGGCGCGGCGGAATGTGCGGCGGAATATGCGGCCAAGGACATCCACGATGCGTGCCCCAGGTGAGATATGGGGGGGGAATTTAATGGGAAGGTTTGAAGGTACGTGAAGGTTGGATGCTCACTCACGCTGCGTCGGTGACTCAGTGGTGGTGGGGGGCAATGGCGCATGTGGGGAGGGTGGGCTGGCTGGCAGCTTGGCAGGAAAAAATTGTTCAGCAACTCATCAGTCTTCAGAGCTGACTGGACCGAGCTGAACAGAAGGCAAGGCAACGGGGGCTGGCTGTTCTTTTGTGGGATTGATGAAATTGGAGTGCGGAACAGTGCGCAGTGGGTCATCTTCTCAACGCACTGCTCTCCTCTGTGTGTGTGGGGTCCTTCTGAACCGACGTGAAGTGTAAGGTGAGTACATCTTAGCATGTAGCGACATGCTAAGATGTAACGAGAACAATCAGATGTGTTTGAAACTTTCGTGTTGATAGACTCGCTTGTGGGAATCGTGATAGAATAGGAGTGGAGTGGGATTGAGTTTTAAGTTGGAGGATGTGTCACGATGCGTCGTGGCGAGGAGAGGCGATGGAAACGCAGCAGGTGGGACCTGATTGAAGGTCTCCTCCACCCCCTAAACCATGTCATCGTCGTGCGCATGGAACGTTGAAACGAATGAGTGAAGGATGAATCGACAACGGGCATGGGAGTTCCGTACAACATCCATGACGTCTGGATGGGAGCAGGGCTGTCGATATCCCTGGGGGCAGAACTTGAGGCCCTCAGCTGCTGAAATTCTGACCCTGATTTTCAGGGAGGTGACCAAATTTTTGCCCTTAACGGTCACGGGTGCAGGCCGAAGTGTAAACTTGAAATCTGGGCTCCAAAGTGTTGTGTACTTAACTAACCTAAACAACATCCTAGACAAGATATCACATACTTTTCACTGCTAACTACTCCAGTCAACCTGTATGTCACAACTTCCAACTACAACTACAGCTGCACTACCCACTGCATTTCTACTCATCTGCTGACTTCGACACTAGACACACACTAGATTGGATAGAAATCGAGTGAAACATCCTCCACCTAGCGCTCTATTGTGCAACTTTTATGGAAAGGGGGGGGGGGGTTAGGGTAGGGGTGTTCCGCAAGATTTTGGGGGGGGGTTCTGCGGAACCGAAAGTATATCTTAGATTCAGGGGACGGCCCAGATTGAGCACTTAACGCGTCCGGGGAAGGGCTAAACGATGCCCTTAACTGGCACGGGTGCCAGTCCGATCAAACCCTTAAAATGGTCAAGCTGCGCCAAACATAGCCCAGAATGTTCAGGGCATTAAGGGAAAATGCCCTTGAATCGACAGCCCTGGATGGGAGGTGTCTTGGTTGGCCTGGCAGCAGGCTCCAGGGTTTGCAGATGAAACGAATGGATGTTGGCGGTGAATCTGTCACGAATTTGCATGGATCCTCACCCGCCCCTTCCTCGCTCGAATCGCAGATTTCCCATGAAGGCAGTTTGGCTGGCCCGGGTGGTTGATCCAGTAGAGACTTCGAAGTGGCTGCAACATGGACGCAGCAAATCCAAATTGTTGGGCAGGATAGGAATAAAATGGTTTTGAAGTGTATAGGGGGTACACTATCTACTTCGACAACTGTAGTGATGTTTCTTTCTTACACTCGAGCTGTTTTTTTCTCACTGGGCTACCATTGCCGTTATGAGCCAGCCTGGAAAATTATGACCTGAAGGTACAGCGCAGGTGGCTGCCACACTGGCCTGGTGGACAAGTTGTGTCTTCCAGGTGAGTAGCCAGCACTACCAACGTGCAGAGTGCGAAGAATCTGTACTTTCATTGACAGACTCGATTTCTTATATTGTTGGTATTATGATAAGAAGTAGAAACAGTCATGCCTCACAATCACGGTATTTTGTGAGTATAGCGCAACTCATACTACACGAAGGACATTGATTTTTTTTTTTTTCGCGAGGAGTCTATCGTCATCAACCAACCAGTAAGATCACTCGAGCTCTCGCCAATCGTGAACCAAGCCTGGCATAATCCCCACCAGATTTCACTGCCAAACCTAAGACCGAACCAGCCCTAAGGCCCCATAAGTTCCCTAAGGACGTGGGCCCAATCGACTTCGATGGGCGCGATCAGAGGAGATCAATAACTTCGAGGAAGGCGGGAAGCCAATTTCAGGCAATCGGAGGCAATCAGCTGATCGCGATCAGCTGATCGCGCCAACTCGATCAGCCGCCTCGAACAGCCCGATCAGACCCGATCAGACACAATCAGCCCCGATCACTTGATTGCATGTGATCGGGGCCCTGGGCGATGTAAGCGACTTGTAACACGCCTCGCCATGAGGTCTCGAAAATCCTCGCTCATACATACAGACCAGCGAGAACTGTTCTGGAGCGGACCCTGTGCGCAGTGCGATATTTGCGACATTACCACGATACTTGGATTCGCCCATCTCGCCAAAGTTGGGGTGCAACTACCAGGTAATGGGCCACCGGTTGTTATGCAAGAGCGCAGAATACTCGAGGAAAATCAATTCTGATCGAGCGGCGCGAGAAAAACGATCGCAAGCAATTCGAGCCAATCCAACCCGATCAGATCCGAACCGATCAAAGTCGATTGGGCCCACGTCCTAACCGAACCGACCATATTACAGGTGTACCCGCCAAGCTCCTTGGTGTGTCCCAAGTGTCCCAACCAACGTGCTAGCTGGTTCGCGCCCTCCGTGACCACCGAATTGCAAAATTGCATTCAGGTATCTGACTAGCGTCCTTCCAGCGCAAGAGACGCGACCATTTACCTTTCTTGGAGCTACATTAAAATCCCTAATTGTAGGAAGGATTGATTGACGCGTGCTCTAACGATTTCGTGCAAGTCCTGCTCCTGCGTTTGCGCACGACAAGAATGTCAGGGTCGAAGAAGCTCATAAATGACCCGTCAGGTGCGAAGCATTAGCTCCATGCCGTCTCGTCTCGCTTACGCAATCAATTCCGGCTTTGCGAATTGCATCAAAGCGGCAGGATTTCAGGCGTAGGTCCAGTATGTGTTATGACATCCGTGTTCTTTTATGGGTGTAAAACGCCCTGAAGCTCGTAATGATTGCGAATAAGACCCGCTGTGAGTCGTCGAAGAACATTCAACCTCAGCTGCAATTTCCGAGTTCGTTTCCGCCTTGCATGTTCATGGGTCTAGACTATCAAGAACATCCCCAATTTTGGGTGTAAATGCCGCGCAGATGTTGTCCTCGAGATGATCGAGGGCTTGGTGGAGACCTACCCCAACCTGCAGTACCTCGATGGCTTCCCTGACGTGAGTTCCTCCTCTCAGGCGCCTCAAAGTTGTAGGGGTTTAAGAGAATTCAAGAATTAAAATAACTATCAGGACCTAAATGGCTTCCTGAATGGCCCACCAGGTGGCGTCCCGGATGGCTTCCTGAAATGTTTGTCGGAGTGGCTTTCGTAACGTGAGGTCCGCCCAATTGTTGTGCAACAACATCTTTTTCCTTTTACCATCCTTGTTTCTCAAATTTGATCATGCAACATTATTTACGCGAACTCTTCAACCAACGTATTCTCCCACTCTAGCAGCAGGGAATGCATCAAAACTGTAGCCATACAAGGCGAGAGCACTTACAAATTTCCAGCCAATTGTCAGCTGCAGAAAATCATGAAATGTTTCCGGCGAAATCACCGCAGGTGAAAGTGGTGCTGCGAGCTGACGTCAGCAGAGGGACGTACAGGAAGGTGGCAATCATATCGGGCGGCGGGAGCGGGCACGAGCCAGCGCATGCAGGGTTCGTGGGGAAGGGCATGCTCACAGCTGCCGTGTGCGGGGATGTCTTTGCCTCGCCTTCAGTCAACGCTGTCCTCATGGTACTGTACGGTACTGTACGGTACGGTACGATGTAGGGTGGTTCCTCTCTTCTGCAGGAGGATAGTGCGTGCTTGCTTCTGCAGTCAGGTCTGGCCAGGCCAGGCCACGCCAGTGCTGTGCCTACTTCTGCAGGCCACCAATATAAAATCGCAATTGTGCGGCGAATAACAAGGCAGAATCAAGACAGAGTTGGTCCCCCCGCCTCCCCACTCCCTCCCACCCACCCCTTCCTCCCTCCTTCCCAACATGCCCCTAAGCACATCCCCGCGCACCCCTCCTCCTGCTTGTCATGCACCAGTTCAAGAACACACACCTGTGCTCGATTTGACTTTTGAGTCGACTCAAAAGTCGCACCCTTCCTCCTGCTTGTGATGCACCAATCCAAGAACACACACCTGTGCTCGATTCTTGTATCTGTATAAACAAAAATGCCTCTGCCTGTATCTGTGCTGGTGTTTTCTTCTTTCGCAGGCCATTCGGGCAGTGACTGGTCCTGCTGGCTGCCTCTTGATAGTCAAGGTGGGTTTTCTTGACTCCTGCTGTAACAGGAAATTGCCAGAGAGGTTATGTGCTTTCTCTTCATGAGTCATGATCATTGACAATGGTCCACCCGTTTCCAGTCGAGTGTTGCCAGCTCCTTTTCGTGTTTTTGTACAACCTCCAAACTGCAAATTTGATTTCCTCTGAAGCATCCATTGCCCCCGTTACTTTCCTGGCCCCCAGAGTTACGTCTTGGACTCTTGTCACCGAATATGCACGGTTGTGCATATAAGGTGCCAGTTAGATTGAGGTGTAGTTCTGGTGTGGTTCGGGTGTAGTAATGATGTGTATGAATATTCGAAGGTAGGTAGTTGGGGAACCAGAGAAGTTGACGCGAGGTTGGTAGGAGAGCACCAAGGGTGAAATCCACGTGACCAATGTGATTGAACCAACCCAGGCTCGAGCCGCACATTGAGAAATGCACGGTTCGAGCCCAGGCCAGGTAAAGTCACTCGCTCACACAGCCCTGATGCTTTCCGGTTGCTATCCTTTCGTATAGTGGACTATTGTTGCCTCAGCTGTGCAGACAGGTGGCACACCACTCAGGGAGGACCCTTGAGGTGAGAGTTACATAACTTTTATAGCAACCGGAAAGGTGCGTGTGCAAGCATGGATGTGTACGAACTGCGTTATGGCAGGAACGATGGTCGCCGTGAGGATGATCGCTCACGGCGCGAACGCTCACGTGAGCGCGGGCGGTCGTTGGAGAGGTCACCGCGGAGGCCTGAGCGCTCGCCGCGGAGGCCTGAGCGCTCGCCGCTGAGGCCGGCCTTTCGCGCAGATCTGGTCCCTCTCGCGCCAGATCGCCGAGGAGAAGGTGCAGAGCGAGAAGGAAGAGGCGGATTCGAGTCCGTCAGGATGGGAAGTGACCCGTGGCGGACGGATGCACGACACGGAGCTGGTGGCGATCATGGGCATCGCCAGGACACGGGAGCGTATCACTCGCCGGAAGAGGGTTACCGCCGTCGCGAAGATCGAAGTCGCGGGCGTGGCCTGGAGGAATTTTTCTCTGGTCGGCAGGGAGACCTCGATGTTGACGGAGAGGACGAGGCCGACACGGCGAATAAGGCGCAGGAAACGAATCGCGAAGGCGAGGCGAAGGGCGATGACGAAGCCCACGAAGAAGGCGCAGGCGAGCAGCGCGAAATGCCCGCTGGAGTCAAGGAGGCCGATTCGACGCAGGCGGGCGCGGCGGCGGAGCCAAGCGCGGCGAAAGCGGACGGGACGAATGGTGCGCGGAACCAGCCGCGTGGCGAAGAGAAGAACGACGGCGGGAGGCGTAGCAGTGGCCCGCGCTCACCGAATCCGCGTCAGCACCGTGACAAGAAACGCGGAGGCGAGGGGCGCGTGTCCGATCTGCGGCAGCACCGTGACGTGGGGCGCGGCGACGGCGCGCTCGCATCAGGCCAGCGACAGCATCGCGATGGGGGGCACGCTGGCGGCGCGCGCTCGCCAGATCCGCGGCCGCAGCGTGACGAGAGGTGCGAAGGCGGCTTCCGCTCGCCTGATCCGCGGCCGCTGCATGAGGAGAGGCGCGGAAGCAGTTACCGCTCGCCAAATCCGCGACAGCGCCGTGACGGAGAACGCGGAGGCAGTGCGCACTCGCCAGATCCGCAGAGGTATCACGGCGGGAGGAGCAAGGGGGGCTCGCGCTCACCAGATCCGCATCACTAACGTGATGGGAGACGCGAAGGTGGCTATCGCTCGCCTGACACGCGACGGTACCATGGAGGGAGGTGGGGAGGTGAGGCGCGCTCGCCAGATTGGCGTCAGCGACACGAGGAAAGCTAGGGAGGCAGATACCGCTCGCCGTCGCGGCAGCGGAGCAGGGATGGAAGGCAGGGCGCTGGGTCTCGCTCGCCTGGGCGGTATCGGCAGCGTGACGAAAGACGTGCCGGTGAAGGAGGACAGGATCAACGCGGCAGCAGAGTGGGAGGCAGCGGGCTGATGCACAGCCTGGAGCGAGCCAGAGAGGCAAGGGAGGGGATACTGCGGGCGAGAGAGAGGGGAGCATCTGGCAGATCAGCAGGCGGGCCGAGTGAGGCCTAGGGAGAAGGAAGGGGAAACACGGTGATGGTCACGAGAGTGGAAGTGCCAGCACGCTTCTCAGGGGACCAGCGTCTGGGGCCCACACTGAAGAATTATTTGATGCAAGTGGGCAATGTGCGGTACAGATGCGAGAGGAGCGGCATGGATGCAGTGGACTTCTTTCTGAGCGTGCCCAACACACTGGAAGGGGAGGCAGAGACATTGTATAGGATGAAGATGGATGAGCTACTGAAGAGGGCAGGAAGGTATGGGGAGGATCCAACGGAAGAATTCCTGAGGCGGCTGAAGCGGCAGTTCCCAGGCCATACTGCAGAGAAGATTAGGGAGTTCCAAGATTTCAGGAAGGGGCGGGGCGAGTCACTACTCACCTACTACAACCGGCTGGTCAACCTGGCGGAGGATGTGAGTTGCGCAGACATGGGCCTGCTCGTGAGCAAGTTCCTGGACGGGCTGGAGGGCACTTTAGGGAGCGGGCTGCGGATGAAAGTGTACGAGATGGGCGCTGACGCCACACTAGAGGAGGTGTTTGAAATGGCAGAGAAGATGGAACTGGCACAGAGGAAGTATGAGGCATACAGGCCTCGAGCAGCAGAACGAGGCAGGGGGCCTACGTGGGCGGCAGCCATGATACCGGAAGAGAGGGACATGGCTGCAGGAAGAGGGGAGACCAGGCCTGACACTCGGACGTGCCATAGGTGCGGGCAGCCGGGACACTTACGCAGAGACTGCAAGAACTGTGACTCTTGTGGCAAACCAGGGCATCGGCGACGGGAGTGCCCAACAGCGCCAAAGTGTGAAATCTGTGGGAAGGGAGGGCATGCAGCGAAAGAATGTTACCAACGAGAGGGAGCAGCGAAAAAGACGCCAGAAGACCTGGAAAGGCAGATTAGCAGGTTACAAGCCCAGTTGCAGGCAATGGGACCACGACGCGAAGGAGAAGCGGGGATGTACGCGAAGGAAGAAAAAGAAGAAGATGTAGAGCAGGATGAGGAAGCCGCGTTCATGAGCTGGGCAGGAAGAGCAGAGGACGAGATGGAACACGAGGAGCAGCCAGCCTATATGGAATGGAGAAGAAGGGAGGAGATGGGGCTGCGCAGTGGAGGAAAGGATGCACGGAAGGAGCAGGTGAGAAAGGAAAGGGAGAGGGGACAGAAACCGGAAGAGAAGGAAGAGAGATGTACAGCAGCACGTCACCCCAAGGAGAGGTTGGCTTGCCAGACTTCCGTGCTGTTGATCCAAGGTGGCGCGTTGTCTGTAGAAGGAGAGAAGGCCAAGACGGCTATTATAGATACTGGCGCGCAGAGCGTGATACTAGGGAAGGGGATGGCCGAGAAGCTGGGACTGTGGGCACCGGACAGGCATGTGGTGAAGGGGATGCTAGTGATGACGGCAGAGGGAGGAGAATCAAAGTGGATGCCATGTACAAGGACTCCAATAGAACTGACGGTGCTAAAGGGGGAGAAACACGAAACGCCGGTTAGGATCAGGTGCGGGATCTCAGAATCTGAAGATTTTGACGTCCTGGTGGGCACAGAAATGATTTTTGCATTGGGCATGACCATCTGCTTTTGGAAGGAGACAGTGGAGTTCAGGACAAGGTGGTGGAGGAAGGGTGAGCCACTAGGACAGTTGCCTGTGCAGTTTGTCAGGACGGAGCCAAAAAGGGCTTACAGGGCAGATCTGAAGGAGGTGACAGCGAAACAAGGGGCACAGGAGAGCAGGACAGGCAAGGAACAGGGTAGAGAGCCCAGGATGCGCTTCATGGACGAGCCTAGCCAACAGACCGATTGGCAGCAACCCATCCGGCTAGTGGAACTGTTCGGAGGAATAGGGGCGGGACTGGCAGCAGTGGTGCGGAATGGGATTGCAGTGAAGGAGTGGATTTACGTGGAGAAGGCAGCAGAAGTGAGAAAAATGGCGGAGCGGCATGCGTGGGAGTTGCACAGGGAGTTCCCGGAACTGTTGAAGGGAGAGGTGATCAAGGCAGCAATGGGCAGAGGAGTGCATGACGTAAGGGCCATTACGGAAGCTGAGGTGGCAAGCTGGGGGCACGTGGACCTGTTGGTGGCCGGGTGGGAATGCCAAGGGGTATCATGGGCAGGGAAGGGCAAGGGTGAACAAGACCCAAGGACCCAACTGATGGAGGATCTGTTCAGAATCATGGAATGGGCGCAGGCAAGGCAGGGCAGACTGGCTTACCTGCTAGAGCACTTGGACCTGGAAGGGGATGTAAGAGAATCAGTGAGACTGGTCAGGGAGAGAGTAACCAAGCAGGTGGGTAAGGGGGTGAGTAGTGACGCGGCGCGGATGGGAGCATACGCGCACCGGCTCAGGATGTACTGGCAGAATGTAGTGCCAGTGGAAGAAGTGCAGAAGGAGATAGAAGGGGTGCAGAGAGCAGGGGGGCGGAAGTTGAGCGACATACTGGAGCCAGGAAGAACACCAGCACCAGTGAGTAAGAGGAGCTACAGTAGACACTATCCATGCAACCAGGTGGGGCAGGAGAGGCAAGCACTACCTACGCTGGTGTCTTATGAGGGGGCAGCAGGATATCGGATGGACGGGAAGCAGCCAGGCCCAGGATTGGTGCTCGACCACAGGAAGGGACGGTGGGAGGAGCCCACGGCCTTGGAGAGGGAGCTTGCCATGGGGTACAAGGAGAACGCGACCGCAGCACCTGGCGTGAGTGAACAGGAACAGAGGCGGGCAATGGGGAATGCAATGGATGGGTACATGCTGAGGTGGTTGGTGCAGCGGATGTGGAGAGAGACAGTGCTGCACTGGGGACTGAAAGAGGGAGAAAACACAGTGGCGACAGTTAGGCAAGGGGTGTGGACCTGCCAGCAGAAACAGGAGCCAGAGTGGATGATAGGTGAGAGCATGAGCGAAGAAGGGAGGGCAGCAATGCGGGCACTACTGGCCAAGCACAGGAAGGGCTTTGCCTTCACCCTGCGGGAGCTGGGGAAGTGCAAGATCAAGGAGATGGCGTTGAAGCTGAATAGTGACGAGCCGGTGTACCACCGCAGGAGGAAGATGCCACCAGGAGATGAGGCGATCTGCAGGGAAAAGATAAAGGAGTTGCTGGAAGCCGGACTGATTAGGAGGTCGGAGTCCGAGTACGCCACCCCGACCGTGGTGGCAGCCCGAAAGGACTTGACAAGCGAGGTGCTGAGCAGAAGGATGTGCGGGGATTACAGGGATCTTAACAAAATCACAGTGCCAGATAGATACCCCATGCCGATGGCAGAAGAGCTCTTTGACAAGTTGGCTGACGGGGTGTTCTTCACAACGCTGGACCTGCGACAGGGGTTCAATCAAATCAAGATCAGAGAGAAGGACGTGAAGAAAACGGCCTTCCACGGGCCGGATGGGCTGTACGAGTGGCTGTATATGCCCTTCGGTCTGAGGAACGCCTCGGCAGTGTTCCAGAGAGTTATGGACGCGGTGCTGCGGGGAATAGAACATGCGGCGTGCTATATCGATGATGTCGTGATCTTCAGCTTGACCGAGCAGCAGCACCTGGAGGATGTGGAGAAGACACTAACGGCCATAGAAGGGGCAGGGCTCACTTGCCATCCGAACAAATGCAAGTGGGGGGAGCGGACAGTGCAGTACCTGGGGTACGAGGTCACAGGGGGGCAGATTGGGATCCAGCAAGCAAAGGTGCAAGTGCTGGACAGGCTAAGGGAACCACGAGACAAATCAGGACTGCGTGCGGTCTTGGGCTTCCTCAGCTACTACAGGCGCTTCGTGCCGAACTTCAGTAAGCGAGCGACGGTGCTGAATGGGATGCTGCGCGAAGACAAGGCATGGGAGTGGGGAGAGAAGCAGAGAGAAGCGCTGCAAGACCTCATGACAGCCGTAAAGACAGCGACAGTACTGCGGCTGCCAGCAGCAGACCAGCCCTTCATCTTGTACACCGACTGGAGCAGCCAAGGGATGGGGGCAATACTGTGCCAGGAGGTGGAGGGAGTGGAGAAGGTGGTGGCCTACGCCAGCAGGAGCTGCAACCCAGCGGAAGCCCAGTACAGCTCATACATCGGGGAGGGGCTGGCGGCAGTGTGGGCGGTCGGGCATTTCCGGGTATACCTGCAGGGCCGAGAATTCACCCTAGTCACTGATCATCAGCCCCTCACATGGCTGATGACCACACCAGGGCTGACAGGGAGGAACGCAGAGAAGGAACAGAGAAGAAGAAGAGAATCTGAATGCAGGCAGATGACGAGCAGAGCTGTTTCTCCGACACTCTTCCGTTGTGGGTCGGCTGGCTCTTGAGTTAAAATGGATACTTTTCTACATCTCTGTTCTGAATCCCCCTTCCTTCCAGAGTTACACAGGCGATAGACTCAACTTCGGATTGGCAGCAGAGCAAGCCAAAGAGGAGGGCTTTAAAGTTGATGTGAGTCAGTCGGTCAGTCAGCTGCTTTGCTCCCTGTTCTCGAGACTTCCCGTGATGCATGCATGCCACTTTCTCCAGGAGTTTAAGATGCATGGGCTGCCGGTTGTTACATTTCTTCCTGCTCGTTCTACCCCTTCCTCCTCGTGCTCAGATGCTTGCCTCTGTTGCTTGCTTCTCTTGCTTGCCTCTCTTGCTCAGATGGTGGTGGTGGGGGATGACTGTGCGCTGCCGCCGCCTCGTGGGATTGCTGGGAGAAGAGGCCTCGCTGGGACGGTCTTTGTTCACAAGGTGGGTGGGTGTGTGGGATGTGTTCGGCTTCTTCTTTGAGGATTCTAAACAACGACCTGCAAAAGAAGAGGCCTCGCCGGGAAGGTCTTAGTGCACAAGGTGGGTGGGTGTGTGGGATGTGTTCGGCTTCTTCTTCGAGGATTCTAAAGAACGACCTGCAAAAGAAGAGGCCTCGCCGGGAAGGTCTTTGTGCACAAGGTGGGTGGGTGTGTGGGATGTGTTCGGCTTCTTCTTTGAGGATTCTAAACAACGACCTGCAAAAGAAGAGGCCTCGCCGTGAAGGTCTTTGTGCACAAGGTGGGTGGGTGTGTGGGATGTGTTCGGCTTCTTCTTTGAGGATTCTAAACAACGACCTGCAAAAGAAGAGGCCTCGCCGGGAAGGTCTTAGAAGAAACAAGGTTCTTCACACAAAGATCAGTCTTCTTCCCCTATATACCAAGTTGTTTCCCCAGCACACGTGATTTCCCCCCCCGAGTCCAGATGGGACCTGACCTTGTCTCCAACTCTCCATTCCCCACCTGCCGTCCCTTCCCTCCCTCCCACACCCACTACAGGTGGCAGGGGCAGCTGCAGAGGAGGGCAAGTCACTGGCCGACGTGGCAGCAGAGGCTCGCCAGGTGGCAGGTGGGGACTGGATTAGCATTCACTGGGGTCAGACATAGGATGATGCTGGTTTCTAAAAACTTGTTGCTGCTGTTTTTTTTCTTCCTTTCTTCCTTCCTTTTTCTCCCTGCACTGGATTTCCTCGGCGTTTGTCTCTCACACCACCTCAAACGCCCTCCCCGCTCCTTCTTGCACTGCTGGTTTCGCCCGTACTGCAGGCCTGGTGGGCACCATGGGGGTGGGTTTCTCCTCTCTGTGTGCACCGTGCCGGGGGGTTCCCCCCTCTGATCAACTCCCTGCATCTGCTCGGCCGCCCTCGCCCTTCCACCACGCTCAACTCCCCACCCTTCCCCTTCCTTCCTCCCCTGCTGCTCCCTGCACTGCTGCATTCACCCGGCAGGCCTGGTGGGCACCATGGGGGTGGGCCTCTCTGTGTGCACTGTGCCGGGCGGCTTCCCTTCTGATCGACTCCCTGCCTCCAAAATGGAACTGGGGTTGGGCATTGTGAGTGGGGGCGAGTTGGCGGGGGTGAGTGTTGGGGCGGACATGGGTCCCGGACTCCCGGCATCTGGCAGGCCTGGTGGGCACCATGGGGGTGGGTCTTTCTGTGTGCACCGTGCCAGGCGGCTTCCCTTCTGATCGACTCCCTGCCTCCAAAATGGAGCTGGGCATCGGGCTGGGCATTGTGAGTGGGTGGGGCATGGGGTGATTGATGGGGTCGGGCAGTGTGAGTGGGGAGGCATGGGGCAGGGCAGTGTGAGTGGGGAGGCATGGGGCAGGGCAGTGTGAGTGGAGGGAGGGGATGGCATCGTGCTGGGCTGGGCATTGTGAGTGAATGCGGCTACCATGAAGACTGTCTGGATGTAGCCTCCATCCGTGAGTTTATTTACCATACCATGCACTCCTCATGTAGCACGCATCTCCCACCCATGCATGTATGCATGCAGCACGGGGAGCCAGGAGCAGCAGTGGTGGACATGCAGCCGGTTGATGTCGTCGTTTCTCACATGCTCAAAACCATCAACAACCCCGTGAGTCGGGCTTTAAATGCCATCAACAACCCCGTGGGTCGGGCTTTAAACCATCAACAACCCCGTGAGTCAGGCTTTAAACCATCAACAACCCCGTGAGCCGTGCTTTAAATGCCATCAACAACCCCGTGAGTCGGGCTTTAACATGAGCGTACAGCTAGCTAGCTAGCTGCATCAGCGGCGCATACTCTCGCAATTGTCATCCAGCCCCTTCGTTTGAGACGTCTCAACGATTGTCATCCAGCCCCTTCTCTCCTCTTTCTCCCCTTCCATCCCCTCGCTCCCGTTCCTCCCGCTCCCGTTCCTCACTCTCCCTCCCATTCCCTTCCCTCCCATTTCTTCCCATCCCAATCCCTTTCCCCCCTTGTGCTCTCAGGACACGGGCTACATGCCTCTCAAGCTCGGCAGCAGAGTAGCTCTCATGGTGAACAGGTATGGTGAACAGGTGTGTTTTAGAGATTTTCAAAAAATCCCTGCAGCTCTCATGGTGAACAGGCATGTTTGTTCATGAACATGTATGTTTGTTCATGAACAGTTGTGTTTGTTCATGAACAGTTGTGTTTATTCATGAACAGCTGTGTCTGTTCATGATTGCCGCATCGCGTCCTCGCTTGTGTTCCCCCATTTCCCCCCCCTCTAGTCTGAGCGCAGCGCTGCTTCAGCCAAGTGTACTCTCTCTGGTGTCCCCATTTCCTCCGCTCCCTCTTCTCTCCACCTCCCCCGTCCTGTCCCCCGCCCTCCCCTTCCCCATTCCCCCAGCCTGGGCGCAACGCCAGCTATTGCAGCAGGCAAGGCTGTGCCACAGCTTTCCCCCCACCTCCCCACCTCTCCCCCACCCCCACCCCATCCTCTCCCCCCTCACCACCATCCCCCCAGCCTGGGTAATATCAACCATGGAGGTTATGGTTGCGGCAAGCAAGGCTGTAGCACAGCCACCTCCCCTTTTCTCCAACCCAACGTTCCGATCCCCCCACCCCCACCCCCCCCTCTCCCTTCCCCTCGTGCTCCCTCCCCTTTCTCCCCAAGCCTGGGCGCAACACCAGCCATGGAGGTCATGATTGCGGCCGGCAAGGCTGTAGCGCAACTACAGGTGAGGATGATCTTTTTAGGTGCGTCAGAAGCAGGCAAGGCTGTAGCGCAACACTCGTTGTCCTAGAACACGAGTTGATGGAAGTAAGGCCTCCACAGCCCACCTGTCCGCTATTGACAGCTCCTGCAAACAGTGCCGCTACCTCTCACTTACGAGCGATTTTTGAGAATTCTCATAAGCGCCGCTACCACTCACTTACGAGTGATTTTTGAGAATTCTCAAAAGCGCCGCTACCACTCACTCACTCTGACACTCTGTATGTAACTCTCTCTGTCCGCGTCTGCCTGCACAGCATGTCTCTGCACCCATCTACACCGATAATCACGCCCATGTACACCTCTTCACTGCTCTGTACCCCACTGCACCCCTCTGCAACCCTCTGCAACCCTCTGCATCCCTCTGCACACCTTGCGCTTGCATGCACCATGGAAGGTGGAGCATGGGCTGGCAGTGGAGCGAGTGTATGCAGGCCATTTCATGACTTCCCTCGACATGTCAGGTGCTGTCAGGTGGTGTCTGATGCTGTCAGGTGGTGTCAGGTGGTGTCAGTTGGTGTCAGGTGCTGTCAGGTGACAGGCTCTGCCGCAGACACACAGGCACCTGAAAAGCCTTCCTTCATATTCGCTGACTTGGTTTGACTTTGGTTGACTCGCTTTGACTCTTCTGTCAACCCTGTCCAGTATGCTTGTTCTTTTGTTCTTCTTGCGCCTCTCCCACAGGCCTCTCCCTCTCAGTGCTTAAGGTGGACGATCAAGTGCTGCAGAGGCTAGACGCCCCAACCCAACCTGCACCCCTATGTTTGTTTTCTTGCATTTTTTCTTCCGTTGATTGCCTCTGTCCCTGCCACAGGCCTCTCCCTCTCAGTGCTCAAGGTGGACGATCAAGTGCTGCAGCGACTAGACGCCCCCACCCTCGCCCCTGCATGGCCCAACGCCTGCCAAGGTGGGCTCCCACGCATGCCTGAGTTGAATGCGCCAGCCTATACATTCCTCTTCACACCAAGAAGGGGTTTGAGACTCTGAGACTCCTGGAAATAACTCGGATGAGAGAGGAGAGAGTGCGCAAATTCCCAAGCTCCATATACATTTGCGTGAGAGAGGGTGTGAGGGAGTGCATGGGAGTGTGTAAGCCACCCTTCTCAAGACACCCTTCTTTCTCTCTCCACTCACTATCTCTCTCACCATTCCCCCCTTCCCCTCCTCCAGGTGCCCGTCCAGCTACCAAGGTGCCAGTGCCACTCCCCCCAGCCCCACCAGGCTCTCAACCTGTACGTTTCCCTCCATCCATCCTGGCCTTCTGCTATGAACAAGTGCTTTGAGACGTTTTTTATAAGACGTCTCACAAACGACTGCGATGCCCCCCGTACCTTCCGTACTACCTCCATGCTCCCCATGCCGCCATCCATCCCGCTTTCCCCCCCCCCCCCCCTCCCTTCCCCCTCCCTCTCCTCCCAATGCACTTGTGATCCCACCGTCTTACTACCACCCCACACCCTTATGCCTCACATGCCGCCCACATCCCGCATACCCCGTGCCCCACCCCTTCCGCACCCCCCACAACCCTCCAACACCCCCCCAGTCAACAGAGGAGCGGCGGGCGGTGCCTGGGGAGGCGCATTTGAGGGGGCGCTCAGGCTGTTCTGGCTCTGGCAGTAACGGCAAGCTCGGAATGATGTGACTTTTGAGTCGACTCAAAAGTCACCTCAATTTGAGGGGGGGCTCAGGCTCTAATGGCTCTGGCAGTAACGGCAAGCTCGGAATGATTGCTATAGAACACGTGTGCCCCACCCACTACCCACTCCGTTGTGCCCACATGCCCCCGCACCGACGCCCCTCCCCCCACCCCGGAGGCATCAGCATGTGAGCGTCCAAAAGGAATCAACAGAGGAGGGGCGGTGCCTGGAGCGGTGCATCCGAGGGGGCGCTCAGGCCGTGCTTGAGTGCATGGAATGACACACCTCTCCCCCATAACCCCCATGCTCCCAAAACCCCCTCGCAACCCCCAGGCATCAGCATGTGAGCGCCCCAAGGAGTTGACAGAGGAGGGGCGGTGCCTGGAGCGGTGCATCCGAGGGGGTGCCCAGGCCGTGCTGGCTCTGGCAGTAGACTTGAATGCGTGGGATGACACACCTCTCACCCATAACCCCCATGCCCCCACACCTCACCTCACCCCCCAGGCATCAGCATGTGCGCGTCCAAAGGAGTTGACAGAGGAGGGGCGGTGCTTGGAGCAGTGCATCCGAAGGGGCGCGCAGGCCGTGCTGGCAGCAGTGGCAATCTTGATTTGAATGCAGTCGAACACCTGTGCTCCACTCCCCTGTGTCCCACGCGTGCCTCCACACCTCCCGCTCCCCCCAGGCATCAGCATGTGAGCGCCCCAAGGAGTTGACAGAGGAGGGGCGGTGCTTGGAGCGGTGCATCCGAGGGGGCGCCCAGGCCGTGCTGGCTCTGGCAGCAGACCTGAATGCATGGGATGCCAAGATTGGCGATGGGGACTGCGGCAGCACGGTGAGAGGAATGGGAGAAACTTGTTTTAGGAGGGAAACAGGGAGGGCTCTATGCGAGTGTAATAGCCTTCAATGAAGCAGAGGGGGGTGCCATGCCGGCTCTGGCACCAGCCAGACCTGCCTGCTGCACTGCCCTCAGGCCGTGCTGGCACTGAGTTTTTGAGAATTTCAAAAAACTGTCTGCACCGCCCTCAGGCCGTGCTGGCAGTGAGTTTTTGAGAATTCTCAAAAACTGCCTGCACCGCCCTCAGGCCGTGCTGGCAGTGGCAGCCGACCTGAATGCATGGGATGCTAAGATTGGCGATGGGAACTGTGGCAGCACGGTGCGGTGGGAGGGGATTGAGTGAGGGGTCTTGCTGTTGACTCACCAGTAGTTGAATCATATGCACATGGGTCGAGTCAATGGTGCTGGCTCTGGCAGCTGACCTGAATGCATGGGATGCTAAGATTGGCGATGGGAATTGCGGCAGCACGGAATAAGGGAGAGGCTTCGGAGGGGGAACTTTGAGCTCTTGGGGAGGGGCCTTGTTGTTGAGTTGGCCCATCGCTCAACGTTGGCCTCCCTGCTTCCATTCCAGGTAGTCTGCTCTGATGGATCGAACCTCAAGGCTTAGTGGGAATATATGCTTATTGCTTATATACGCTTATCGTATATACGCACTCTTATATACGCTATACGCTGTAGGGACGGGTTTGGAAATACGTTTTTTCGGGCAGAAAAAAAACTTCCCGGGCAGGGTCAAAAAAAGGCGCGCGGGGGGGGGGGGGGTATGGGGGTGGGGTATGGGGCCTGAAGTTTCAGAGATTTTTTTTTTCCACATTACACATATACCACGGCCTACACAACTACTGTCATCACTACTATCATCACTATCATCACTTACCATCATCACTTACCATCACTACTATCATCACTACTCCATCAGGACCATCACTTCTCTCTAAGACAAGCTACGTACTACTACTCCTTAGGACTAGCCGCCCACAGCAAGCCACATTTGCCCCCTCTAGTTAGCGTACTCGTCTTCGAAGATGTCGTCTTCGCCTTCCTCCTCATCCTCTCCCTTCGTCTCGTCTTCCAGCCCATTGTATCCCGCCACTCGAGGGGCATTAGTCCCATTCCACTGCCACCACTTCACCATGCTATACTTTCCCTCTTTCACTAGCTTCCTCTGTGCCACGGCTTTCGGCATCCCAAAAGAACCCTTCATGTTAAGGAACGTCCTCAACCCGTCCCCCAGCTCAAGCAAGATGTCGCACGCGTCATCCCCCCCATCCCCGCGGCTCGCAAGGAACTCGGCCTGCTGGCTGATGAACGCCTTGAAGACTTTCGTGCACTCGGGATCAGCGCCGAAAATATCTTCCTCCTGATTCGCGGGGTTGAGGATGCGGCCAGCGACATGCATGGCGCATGCGAGGCTGCCGTCCCAGCGGTCTCTGAGGATGCGGCGGATCTTGTCCTTGTCCCCGTCGCTCAGCTGCTCCTCGTCCGCATCGAGTAAGCCCCCCACGTCCTCAGTCAAATGCAGCATCAAATTGTACAGCCTCCCCATCATCCCCACGGCATGCCCGTCCGTCTGCCTCATCACCTTAAAAGGCAGCTTCAGCAGTGCGACGAAGAACTCGGCCGTCTTCCACCAGGCGGCATCATGGATCAGCGCACTGAACCCGTCACACGATTTCTTCCGGTCCCCTACCGCCTACTCCTTCCAACCCTCGCTCGTCACCATGTTGGTAAGGCCGCCGCGCATCGCACATAGTCGGGATATGGCTATGTAGTTGGTCCCGAATCGGGTTCCAGCCGGCTTCAGCGCCTGCAGAACCTTCCCCTCCACCAATTCCGGCTTCCGCAGGTACCCTCGGGTCCAGTGGTGGTTGCGGACGAAGCTAGATATCTCCCTTCCTTGTCGACCACCAGCTTAGCCCATCCCATCTTCCCGACATCTTCCATGAGAAGATCCAATACGTGAGTGGCGCACGGCACATCCTGAATGTGCGGCCACTCCTGTAAGAGTTGCTTCACCGCCACCGCATAGTTCGACCCCCCGTCCATGCAGAACGCAACAACGTTTTCTGGACCCACTTCCTCCACCACGGGCCTAAGAATCCCCGCCACGTATTCTCCGGTTTTCCTCTCCATGTTGCAGTCAATACAGTCGGTGAAGACGGCGCCAGAATCGTTTACGAGAAGCACGTTGGCCTGCGGCCTGCCGTTGCGGTCTGTCATCATGTTGGACGAAACCGTCACGCCCGTCCTCTTCCAGCTCGCCTTAATGCCCACCAAACCCTGCTCGATTCCGTTGCGACACGAGAGAAGGCCAGCACCGCCGATGTATCTCCTCTTGGGAGGGACGTAGTCGATGCCGACGCGCTTGACGAGGTTCAATGCATTGACCATCAGAGGATGGTCAATGTGGCGCTCGGGGATATGGAGGGCGGCCCAAGCAAGCGCAAGTGCCTCGTCCGCTTCTCTCTTTCTTGCGCATCGGATGGCAGCACCAGTGTATACGTTGCTGCAGAACTTGCACTCGTACTGCTGAGCTTTTCCCTCGACCCTCTTGATGATGCGGAAGTGCTTGAAGACGGCATGGTCAACGTCGGGGAGATACTCCCGTGCCTCGGTTAGAAGAGTTTGCGAACTGCCAACGGTGTTAACTGACGGTGGCGTTAGAGGAGAGGTAGTAGTCGTCGACATAGGCACCATGCGCTAGGGAATGCCTAGTGCTCTGCTGGTAGCGAGAGAAGACCTAATGAGTTGGATGTTGGGGGTGTGCTTGTTTTATGGCGAGTTGATTGTGGGAGTGGGAAGATGGCCAACAAAAATTGGAGAGGTGTTGGTTGCGAAGGGTTTGAATGCGGTACTGATAGTGAACACCAAAATGTGAGGGAACGTGCAGGCGCGACTCGACGAACGTGACTTTCCATTTGCGACACGAACTTTCAACCCACGTCAACGCTAGCACACAGCGCGGGCGTGCCATCTGACCGCGCCAATGTCTTCGTCGTGCAATTCCGAAGCGAACCGTATAGGTTGAAATTTTCTGGCCGGGCTGCCCCAAAAAAAAATGGTGAGCGTATAGCGTATTCGATAGCGTTTAGCGTTTTGCGTATACACGCTAGCGTATACACGCTAAACGCAAACAGGTTTTTGCGTTTATTCCCACTTAGCCTCAAGGCAGCCCCACATGCCCTCTTCTACCTCTTCTTCTCACGCGCTCATTGCTGCCAGGCCAGGCTGCGTTGGTTTGACTTTTGAGACTTCTCAAAACTCAAACCAACATATCTGATGGATCGAACCTCAAGGCAGCCCCACATGCCCTCTTCTACCTCTTCTTCTCACGCGCGCATTGCTGCCAGACCAGGCTGTGTTGGTTTGACTTTTGAGAATTCTCAAAACTCAAACCAACATATCTGATGGATCGAACCTCAAGGCAGCCCCACATGCCCTCTTCAACCTCTTCTTCTCATGCGCTCATTGCTGCCAGGCCAGGCTGGCACCTACCTTCCACATCCTCGCTTGCTCACCCCATCCACCTTTCCCCCACCCCTTCCCCTCCTATCTCCACCCCACCTTGCCTGTCCCATCCCATCCCCCCCTTGCGTTCAGATGAGCCGTGGGGCCAAGGCAGTTCTTGAAGCTCTCGCCTCAAGGTCTGTACGCCTGTCTCCCCACGCCGCCTTTGTTCCTTCTCTGCCTTTGCCTTGTCTCACTCACGCCGCCTTTGCTCGTCCTCTCTCCCCTTCTCTGTCGCCCTTCACCCTTCTGTCTTCCTACCCACTAACGGACCTCCTGGCTCCTGCCCCCCCACTCTGCAACCCCGACTCCCTGTCCTCTTTTGTCCTCCTCATTTGTTCCCTCCCCCTCCCCTTGCGCCCCAGATACCCCCTAAATGATGCACCAGCGACAATTAGGGAGATGGGCGCGAGTGTGCGGTGCTCCATGGGAGGGACGAGTGGAGTGATGTGAGTGTGCGAGGGTGTGGTGTGAAGGAGGGGAGGTATTTGAATGTGGTTGCTTGTGCTGCCATGTCCCGGTGACAGTGAGGGACATATGCGCGAGTGTGCGCTGCTCCATGGGAGGGACGAGTGGAGTGATGTGAGTGTGTGTGGTGTGTGTGAGGCTGGTGGGAGGAGAAAAAGAGGTGTGCTTCTGGCATGACTTGGGGACGAGTGGGTTGATGTGAGAGAAGAGAGGGAGATCTGCGCGAGGGTGTGGTGCTCCATGGGGGGAACAAGCGGAGTGATGTGAGTAGCGGGGGGGGGTGGGGGAAAAATGTGCTGGCACTGCTTGCTTGCACTGCCATGTGCTGGCACTGCTTGCTTGCACTGCCATGTGCTGGTGACAGTGAGGGAGATGGGCGCAAGGTGTGCTGCTCCAAGGGGGGAACAAGCGGAGTGATGTGAGTGGGAAGGGAAAGGGGTGGGAAGGGAAAGGGGAAAGGGGGTGAAGGGAGGGTGGGGATGTGACGGTTGTTATTTGCCCTCTTTCGATCACTGTTTGCCCTCTGCTTGCCTACTGCTTGTCCTACCATGCGAATGATGAAAGAACTTGTTCAAGAGTTGCACAAATCATCTACTAACTGTGCGGCTTTGCCCTTCTTTGTTCCACTCCTCTTTCTACACGACCTGTTTCCTACCCTCTCCGGCCCTACCCTGCTCACTTCTCTGGCTCACTCCTCCTGCTCACTCCTGCCCACCCCTGCCCACCCATACCCACCCATGCCCACTCCTCAATCTCTTGCCTGTGCACATCTCCCATACAGATACGACATCTTCTGTCGCTCTGCATACGTGAAGCTGAGGGAGCTCGCAGGCCCAGCGATGCACTTGCAGGCACTCGTTCACCCTTCCTACCCACACCTTCCCACACCTGTCTATCTTGCCTGTGCGCATCTCCCATACAGATACGACATCTTCTGTCGCTCTGCATACGTGAAGCTGAGGGAGCTCGCAGGGTCAGCAGCACAGCCCACCCCTGCCCACTGTTCGTCCTCTCCCTCCCTCCTCTCCCTCCCCTTTCTCCTCTCGCACCTGAACCCTTCAATTTCTCCTCTTCTCAGCTTCATGTATGCAGGGCGATTGGTCTGAACCCTTTCCAGCTTCATGTATGCAGGGCGATTGGTCTGAACCCTTTCCAGCTTCATGTATGCAGGGCGATTGGTCTGAACCCTTTCCAGCTTCATGTATGCAGGGCGATTGGTCTGAACCCTTTCCAGCTTCATGTATGCAGGGCGATTGGTCTGAACCCTTTCCAGCTTCATGTATGCAGGGCGATTGGTCCGAACCCTTTCCAGCTTCATGTATGCAGGGCGATTGGTCTGAACCCTTTCCAGCGTCATGTATGCAGGGCGATTGGTCTGAACCCTTTCCAGTGTCATGTATGCAGGGCCGGTCTTCTTGTCCAAAACCAGCAATCCAACCCCTTTGAGTCTTCGAGTCCCCTTTGAATCTCCTCTATCAGAACGCATCTTCAGGCGCCCTCCACTCAAATGCCATCCATCAATCTATCCTTCAGTTTATTCCGCTTCAGTTATTCTCCCAATTTCTCCTCCCTTCTTCCCCCCTCTGCCTCTCTTCCCCTGCCTCCCTATCATCACCAGGGGCGGCTGCATTTGAGGCGGCGGTGGCAGCGGTGAGTCTGTACGGCGGCACTCAAGCCGGCGACCGCACCATGCTGGATGCTCTGCTGCCACGCTCTTGCGCAGCATCCAGACATGCCGGGAGATCTGACACACGTCTCAACTTCTTCTCTTCCCTGCCTTCCCGAACCCTCTCCTCCTTCCCTCCCTGCTTCCCCAACCCCCTACCCACCCCCACCCCTGTATCTACATCCACCCTATCACCAGGGGCGGCTGCATTTGAGGCGGCGGTGGCAGCGGTGAGTCTGTACGGCGGTGCTCAAGCGGGCTACCGCACCATGCTGGATGCTCTGCTGCCCGCCGCTGCCTCTCTCTCTCGCAGCATCACAGCAGGGGAGTCAGCAGCGGCCGCGCTGGCTGCTGCTGCTCAGGCTGCTGCTGCCGGAGCCGAATCAACCAAGTCAATGCCAGCTCTGGTGAGTCAACCAAGTCGATGCTAGCTCTTGTCTAATGTCATTTTTCTTTCGTCACTATAGATTAGCAGCTCCACCAACGTGTGGGAAATGGTGTTGGCACGGCATTGCTGCCCTGACCTAAGAAATCAATCTTATTGTGCAACCCATTATCCATGCACGGCATGATTGAATGACGAATCATTGAATTGAACAATCTGTGAATCTTTAAACACTGTTATTCAATCAACACTGCATGGTTATTGAATCCATCCATATGGTTCTCTTCTTCAGGCTGGCAGGTCCAGTTATGTACCAGCAGAGGTGTTGGCATCAGTGCCTGATCCCGGAGCCATGGCTGTAGCGGCATGGCTGCAAGGTGCCGCTACAGCCATGCAACCACCGCCGCCGCCTGTAGTGGAGTCCGTAGCAGAGCCTGCAGCGGCAGCAGCGGCAGCACCATCAGCACCACAAGAACAGTTGTAGCCTGAACCTCTTCGCAATGGCGCACCACGCGTTTGCTCTAGGCTAGAGCGAGTCGTCCATTAGTCAGCAGAAATATATGGCTGGAAGCATATTTTGTTTCCACGTTCAATAAAGATGTGATGCAAGCTTGCCCACACGTACCTGCAATTGGCAGGTTATTCATTGATGAGTAGGTGACTGAGAAACACATTAATCTTATGGTATTACAAAATAATTGTATTCAGAACAGCATTGCGTAATATTGGCAGGAAAAGTTTGGCAGGCGCAGTTATCATGTTTTTGCGAATTAGCTTATGCGAAAGCATTGTGCGCATTCGCAAACCTCCGAACCTCCATCTTCGTCAGCCCCGAACCCACTCTCCAACCAATGATTAGTGTGTGAGCGACAATCCCGAAGCTCAAGGGAAGTGCCTCCGCCGCATTTAATATCTAGCTTAACGTTCCGGATCGTTTGTTACCGCTTTGAAACTCGCTAATCGAGCTAGCCTCAGCGCGCCCCACAGGCAGTGAGGGCCGTTGGGGAAACCGTGCTGGCGGTTGACTCGGAAGCTTAAGTGAGAAGCAGGGCTCACGCTAGCAGGGTGCACATCCGGAACAGGGCTGTCGTTTCGTTTTGGCCCCCCCGGACAAATCAGGGGGCCCGGCATGTACGACCCTGTATTTAGCAGGGTCGGGGCGAATCTCGGCCCTTTAGGCTTCAGGGCTGAAATTTATTCCTCCCTGTAAATCAGGTTTGCCGCGGAAAATTCTGCAGCCTCAGTTCTACCACAAAGCTGACAGCTGCACTCCGCTAGTACCGTCACCCCCCGGATATACCCCCATGGGGGGCAATAATAAAACAGGTTTTTTCAAGGGGGTGGGCTTATAATCGAGTAAATTTATAAGCGCCGGCGTTTATAAAATGACATTCATATTTTTTATATTTTTGAACACCAAACTGTAGGTCTCGTGCTTGCCCTTTCAATCGAGTCGAAGTTACATGGGGTCGTCTGTGAAATTCTCGCGCGCGCTGGGAGACACACCCAATCTGACTCACATCCAGCTCCTGGCAGCTCCTGACAGCTCCTGCTGACTGGACCCGCATCCAGTGCAGGGTCCGAATGTGAAGGGAACCGAATGTGCAACATATCTGCCTGCTAAAGTAAAAATCATTACAACGTTTTGTACACATTTCAAATTTTAAAGTTTACGTGCGCTTATAATAAAACTAGTTTTTTCAGGGGGTGCGCTTATAATCGAGGAGGGGATATAAGCGCCATATGCCAATTAGAAGCGCCAGGCGCTTATCCTAGGGTGGCGCTTATATCCGGGGGGTGACGGTATCAAATTAGCTAGTTAGCAATAAAAAAAACTAGTTAGCGTCATTCACTACGCACGCGTAACAGACTTCCTCCTCTTCCAACTCTTAGCAAAGATCTGAGATGTGTTTTGCTGCTTGCTATTCCCATTCAGGCCTGAGGGTGCACAACATGACGGGGATCTGAGATGTGTTTTGCTGCTACATGTTGGTTCATGCTACTGTCTGTGTGTCATGGGATGGGAGCGGGTTGTAATTGGTACAAGTACCAGTTGTTGGTTGAGTTGAATCTGTGGTCCAGCCACGCAACTCCAAATTTGACAGGCTTGAATGCAATCAAAATAGAAACGGGGGGAGGGGGAATGGAGGAGTTTGGGGGGGGAGGGGGGGGGGAGGAGTGGGAGGGAGTTCGAAAGACTTGTTCCAGGGCTCGCCTAAAATCTACCCTTAACACTCCAGACCTAAGGCCGAAATCAGCCCTGTAATGAATCAGGGCCACAATTTTCTCAACCCATCAATTTCAGTTTTCAAGGGAAACCCAGCCCTGGAATTCAAGGTCCAGCAGGGCAAACGCCCTGCAAGCGACAGGCCTGATCCGGAATTTCCTCAACATTCCGGATGTTTTTGTCCGAGATCCGGATTTTGAGGGGAATGACTTCCAGATATTCCAGACATTCAAAGGGTATTTCTAGAAAAGTCCGGACGCTTAAGTGTGTTTCCCGAAAACCTTCGTGCCGGATTTGATAGGTCGCGTCCCTGGAGGATTAACATAACAGTGCAGTGCAAAACAAAAATCTGCAACTTAACATTACTCGTGGTTTTCGCACAAGTCTCATTATGAGGGATGTTTAGCCCTGTTTGAGTGTGAGATCTTTCAGGATGGATGAGGTGGCCCTGAGTGGATGGAAGTGCTTTCTTAGAGGACTTTTTCTTCACTTTACCTGTGTTCGTCACTTGTACTTCACAGCACTGACGAGTCGATAGACCGGAGGCTAGTTCTTAAAAACACACTGACTCAAGGTACCGCTTGTTGGAATCCGGCTCGGAAAGGTTAAAATTTCTACGGATCCGAATTTTTACGTACGTTTACGTGGGGGCCCCGGAGGCATCCGGCCGGATCTTCAAAAACGAAAAATTGGCCCTGGTGAGAAGGTATGGAAGCCGGGACAGGAGGGAATGGATGGATGTTCTGTCTCATAAACCAGATGAATGGGATGGGATGGGATGCTGTAGGGTGCTGTGGGACAGCGTAGGGTGCTTGTACTAGTCGCAGCCTCAGGGTTGTGGTGACGCAAGGGCCTGTACTGCACCAGCAATAGGCTCCCTCCCGTCACGTGCTGCACGGCATGCTTCTTGTCGAAGCCTCAGGCGTTCCTTCCAATCCCAACGATCTTTCTGTGAGATGTGCAGGAGCCGATTTATTTTTGTAACCAACACTGCACATCTGGTTGGTTACGGTCAGTTCGCGAAATAGATTTTGTCCAAATGACTCGGTCTAGACTGATAGCCTCACCTCTGGAGGTTGTTTGCTTCAGTGAATGACATTTTCCATCTAAAAAAAGTCGTGGACGTTGTACAATATTGCAACAGCCTTCCAGGAATGCCAGTTTACTACGTGCCTAGGGTTCAGCTTGAGGGACTCAAGGGTCTGGCGATAGACTAGGCGATAGCGTCGAGCAAGGGGTACCCTAGTACTAGCGCGAGGGCAGAATCCACTATTTTCCCGCCACATGTGCCCTTGCTGAGTCAACGCGGTGTTGAATCATGTAACGTGGCCACGTCGAATGTCTGCCTTGGCCTCAGGAGGATCGCCGCTCTGACTTGCAACCCTGATTTTGTGAGGGCGTATTTCTAGCTTCGGGTCATCCATTGTTTGTGTCATCCGAAATTGTGGGAGCCAATCAAAAAGCCCGCGGTTCGATATTTGATTTTTTCGATTGGGTCCTTCAATTTCGTATGACATGAAGGCGGGATGACCAGTATATAAGAATACGCCTTAGATTGGTTGAAAATGCATGCACTGTACGCACGAGTGTACAGCAAGCCCATCGACTGTAGACCGTTCAACACACGAACGGCGACTGCGAGTGAGAAGAGGGCAGGCGGAGGAGGATGTGGAGGAGGAGGATGAGGAGGAGGAGAAGGACGACCACGAGCGCCCTTTTTCCAACAGAAAGCGCTTGGATCGTTAGAAAGCGTTCCGAGTTGTTCGCTTGTCGGATCGGACCATATCGTACTGTCGGACAGCTCACCTACGTGAAGTGCCTCCTATCACGTGGAGTGCTGACGTGAAGTGCAGTGCAGACTTTTGAGACCTGTCGCAGAATTCTATTTTGAGACGTCTCGACTCGAATGAAACCCTCTTGCGACGCCTCAACGACCTCTCGTGCTGTCCGGTCGACGGTCGAATGAAACCCTATGACACTCAGCGACAGTGTTCGATTTGACGCGGAGGTCGATTTTTGAGTCGAACAAAAAAAATATAAAATAGGCGAAATTGAGGGCTTCCTTTCACGTGAAGCGCGAATCGCAGCGATGATCCTGTGGATAAAAGCAACGCCATGCCAGCTATCGGAAAGGATACAGCCTCCCTGACAGGTCATCCGTTCGCCACTTCTTCATCTCCAAGTTCAACTTGAACCGGATCTCAACGCTATTTGATCCAGCCCTGGATGGTACTGCAGTAGACGCCATGATTGGTGCATCCACGGACAGCTCCGAGCTGAGTCAGCTGCCTTGAAGAGCTTGTCAGGCGCCTCGAAAGGGATCTAGTGATCTCAACGGGATTGGGATTGCCAGCCTTGGGATGGTACCGTCATGGATGGGGAATGCCGCTCATTTGAGCATCACTCCCCACCCCACCCTGATCGCAACACCATGACAGGGTGATGCTAGCTCTGGGACGCACGCCATTGGTGCATCCACGGATAGGGATACAGCTCAGATGAGCGTCGTTACGTCACTCTCTGACCACTACTCTCCCCACCCCACCCCGATCTCAACACCATCACAGGGTGATGCTAGCTAAGGGACGCACGCCATTGCCATTGGTCGTCGCCTTCTGACCATCACGTGGAGCGAGAGAATGAGGTTGTGCTTTCCAGGCTCAAAAGCCAAGGGTCCTGCGCTCTAGACTAGATTCAAAAGCGCCGCCATTCCAGGAATGCCGCACCATGTCGCGCGCACTGCTATGGCCTGTTGCTAATCGCCTGTTGCTAATCTCCTGTTGCCATGCTCCTGTTGCCAGTCTCTGGGTAGTAGGCAGCTTCTGGTGGCTTGTGCGCGCCTCTGGTAGCCCCTAGCTGTGCTCGTCTTCTCCCATTTCTCTCACACTGTTTCTGTACTCAACACTGCTTTCACATATCTCTGTCTGATCCGCCTAGATTCGAGGAAACTTGGCCTGTTCTCTCGTATCTTAGAGTTGGGGGATGGATAGATCAATCAAGGGGCGCCTTCACGCACGAGCGGCGAGTGGCTTGAAACGGAGGTTTGTAAGCAGTCCCTCATGTTGCTCCTAGTAGTACCAAGGATGAACGCGAATCTTCCAACGAAGTTCCTATCATTTCCCAGGCCTCCCTTCCCGAGTCCTTCGCCTCAAGTCTTGAGCATCGCCGCTATCCCGCCCGGAGTTTGGATAAGGCTCGAGCAGTTCTCGAATTCGAACCAGTTTTGATAATCCGTGCTCTCCTTGGCTGATTTACGCAAAGCCGCGTTCCTCCCTCCGCTGCAGATCAGCTCATGGTCGTTCAGATGGTCCTAGAGGCGCCTTGAAGCGTTATTGCTCCCTCCACTCCTTTGCTCGAATGCACCAAAGCCGCCGCTCCTCCCTCCACTGCAGCTCATCCCACTGCCATTCAGAGAGCCACCTCTAGGGGAATCCCATGTTACCAAGCCTCTTTCTTACTACTGTGGAGAACTCGCCTTCTCATCAACTCTTGGAGAGTCCTCGGTTGGCCATGGCTCCATGCGAGCTCGGTTCCTATCATGCAAATCACCATTGGCTGGAACCACCAGTGGCGCTGGCAGAATGCGGCATGGTGATGATGCCGCAAGGGAGCAGCAGCAGCGGGAGTGCCGCCGGCATGATGAGCGGCGGGCAGTGCGCCGTGGGCGGCGCACTCAACGAGCCTTCAAGATGTCAACCATGGGCGTTTCTTCACCAATCGCCGCCTTCTGGTTTTCAAGTATCGTCTGCTGCTTCTCAAGAAACTGCGGCTTCTCAAGAGCCATCTGTGGCTTCCCAGAAATCAATTGTTGCTTTTCAAGAACCCCTAAGATCCGTCCGCCGTGACTCCTGCTCCCAGCAATCACTGTCTAGCTCCCCTCCCTCCATTCACCCTCGCAGCCGCCGCTGCTATTCCCCCTGCACGTCCCCTTCTTGTTCCCTGGTCGTCCCTCACGCCCCGTCTGCCGTCTCCCCCACTCGATCCGCCCCTCACTCCCCACTCCTTAACACTCCCCCCGTCGCGCGCCCCACTCGCTCAACCACTCTCCCTCACACGCCCTCCCCCCGCTCCTCCTCTGCCGCGCCGCCAGCTCGCTCGCTCCGCGGAACCTTCCGGCGGCTGCTGCAGCGCTGCCAGCTGTCGGATGACGTGGCGCTGCAGGCGCTGGAGGGGCGGCTGCAGCTGCTGGACGCGCACAGGGCGCTCAGCAGCGTGCGATGCCAGCAGTTCGTGACGGCGTTTGAGGGGCCACACAGAGGGGGTGCCGTGCTTGACTCATCTCAGGGAGCAACTGCGGCCGAGTCGACGCACAGGGCGCCCAGCAGCGTGCGGTGCCAGCAGTTCGTCACAGCGTTCAAGGGACCGCTGAGAGTGGCGGCATTTGAGGGGCCACACAGGGAGCTCAGCAGGACACGGTTGGCCACCTCAGAATCATGGGGTGATGATGCTGATTGTGCTGCTGGAGCTCCGGGTGCTTACGGTGCTGATGGTGCTGGTGACGCTGATGGTCCTGTCATGGGAGCTGTGGCTCTTGAAGCACGAGAACCAACTGGTGGGGGGCCGACTGAGGCGGATTTTGCCGACGAGAATTCCAGCGACGATGGGGGCTCCACTGGAGCGGGGCAGTGCACACCGCATGCGCGCTCCTGGATGGCAGATCTGGCATATTATAATGAACCCAGAAGGTCCAATTCGTTCCACCTGACTCCTTCATTCACTTCCACCCGCTCTCTCGCCTCAACCCCGTCCTTTTCTTCCACTCCCTCCCGTGGCTTGTATCCCCTCGGCTCAACCCCGTCTCTGGACTCAACTCCCTCTTACACCTCCAACGGTCATTCCATCCCGCCAAGGAGGCGAAGCTTCTCTGGTACAGCAGAGAGGCTTCCGAGAAACATCTTGGGTGCCGGCCCCTGTTCAAGGAGACGAAGCTTCTCTGATGCTGTTTCCTACACGCCTCTGCCTCTGCACAAGCAGCAGCAGCAGCAGCAGAATCCGCAGCAGCAGTGGCAGCAGCTTTATCATCCGCAGCAGCAGGAGCACCATCGTTGTGCCAACAGTCAAGAGCAACAGACTCACTGTCAGCGGCACTCTCATCAACAGCATCATCAGCATCGGCAGCAACATCATCAGAATCAGCAGCAGCATCAACCCAGACCTGTGTCAAGAGCTGAGATTCGTGGCAGCAGGTCAGCCCGTTTCAACCACACACCATCTGCTTTCGACTCACAATCTCCTCACTCCCGCCGAGTCCCCTCCTGCCCTTCCATCTGACCTGCCTTCTCCTATGACACTCAGCATGATCCTGCTTCCCGCTCTGGTCTGGTGTACCCATTGAGGCGATCATAGGTTGCAGGTGGCGCCGTATGGCTTTTGCTCCGGTATACCTCTATTGCAATAAGCCCACTGGTTTTTTCCCTTCCCACACCCCTAATCCTCCCCTCCCTCCTGTGTGTTGCAGTTAGGGGGTTGTAGTAGTGCCCCTGCTTGTATAAATGGTGCAGCTAGCACCAGGTAGCAATTCTGTTGCAGTATCATCTGCTAGTGTTGATAAATACATGTCGATATTCCAAGAGTTTGCCAGGTATGTGGCGCAACAATGGTCGGTAGGTAGATGGGTCGCGATTTTGGAGTTTCATCATGGTTGACTGCAAGGCAACTTGCATAAAGAATGCTAGATAAGTTCTATAACACTAGTTACTTATGACGGGTTCAATTATCATAGCTACTGTTTGTTGGGGATGAGAGTGATTGGTGTGTGGAAAGGTGCGTGGAGGTGAATCTGGGGGGCAAGGACGGGTGCGAAATCAATTTGTCACGGTTTTGGTTACCGCATTTGCAGAGAAAGTGTCGGAGCGAACATCAACGTGAGCCTTTTGTCAATGTTCGTCCACCTTGCTCTAACCCGTTCGTCTTCGACCCCTCATCAGCTTCTCCTTCAGATCCATTTTCCAACTTGAAATTACAGATTTCATCAGGAATTGAAATTAGCAACGAGCCGATCATCCGCTCTTTCTCCCTTATGGAGCCAACAGCTTGTCCGTTCGACGATCTTTCCGACGACCTTCTTTCGCACCTCCTCTCGCGGCTCGGCCCGGACCTTTTTTCGTTTCGCCACGCCCTCGTCTGCAAGCGATGGCTCCGCGTCGCACGAGTCGCTCAAACCAACATTCGCGTCGCCAGTCGCAGGGAGATCTCGAGCGCGTCGCTGCTCCGCGCATTGTCAGCCATGCCGAACCTAACGTCCCTGCAGCTAGCGAATCGCAGCCTTGACGTGGTCAACGATCAGATTATCTCTGGCTTAGGCTCGGCATTGCCGAACCTCAAGCGATTCTCGCTAACGGCTACCAGGCGTGTGTCGTCAGCTGGAGGAGTCACGGAAATAGGTTTGGACGGATTCTTCCAAGCCTGTACGCGATTAGAGAGGCTCGGACTTCACACTATACCTAGCGTCAAATTCCTCCCTCCGTCCTTAACGTGTCTGACACAACTGGAGTTCCTCGACATCTCATTGGATGACCTTCGCAGCCTGCCCGAAGAAATCTCGCAGCTGCCCGCTTTACGAGTCCTACACCTCCAGGCCCCTCACCTCAGGGCTCTACCCGAAAGCCTGGGCAGACTGAAAAATCTCAGCGTTTTAGAGCTGGTGGAGTGCAATTCGTTGCCTGCCCTGCCCGAATCCTTCGGGGAGCTCTCCAGCCTCGTTCACTTCAGTGCCACCACCTGCTACAGCTTGACATCTCTGCCTGATAACTTCGGTCAGCTGCAATCCCTCAAGACGCTCGAGCTCGCTCTTCCTTGCCTCACAAGCCTCCCAGAATCCCTCGGGCAGCTGCCAAAACTTTGGAACATGGTCCTCTGCTCCTGCCACTCCCTCCACTACCTCCCTTCCTCCATGAGCCGTCTATCCTCGTTAGAGGGTCTTGAGATAAGCGAATGCTTTCTCACTCTTCCAGACGACATTGGCTTTCTTCCCAACCTGTGGAGCCTTGAGATTCACAACTGCGAAAATCTTACAGAGCTGCCCGTTTCCCTCCCAAAGCTGGACCGCCTGACCGACCTCGTGATCACAGGGTGCCGAAACCTTTTCAGGCTGCCCGAAGATTTCGGGGATTTGCTGGCTTTGGAAAAGTTGGAGCTTTGCAACACGTACCAGCTGTCGCAGTTGCCCGATTCGATCGGGCAGTTGAAAAATCTCCGGACCTTGAAGCTGCTTGCCTGCAACAGACTTACCACTCTTCCTCACACACTCTCCCAGCTATCATCTCTTGAAAGCCTCAAGCTCATCAATTGTGAACTTTTCTCTGCCCTGCCTGAAGAATTCTCTCTGCTGCCCAACCTCCAAGAGCTGTCCATCAGTTGGTGCCCTGAGTTTCGACACATCCCATCTTCCTTCACTCAACTTTCATCTTTAACGCATTTCACGGTCACTTGCTGCAGGAATTTCTCGGAACTTCCTGAAGGCGTTGGCCTGATGTCAAATCTGAAGTCGTTTGAGCTGACGGGCTGTGACCGGTTGACAAGGCTACCTCCATCCTTGGCTCTTCTTTGTGAGATAGAGAGGTTGGAGATTAGTGGTTGTTCAAACATTATAGATGCACCACTGTTTCTGTGCCATCTTATAGGTTGAGTTGGCTTAATAGTTCTGAAAAGAGTGTTTCCTTGGAAACTTGGGAACATTGAGCTAGTTGCCAAATTGTAGAACATCTGGTGTACATACATTAACGGGTCTTTCAATCCACAACGGTTCGGTGGCAGCTTTGGTCCAGTTGATACAGGCCAGAGGAAGCAAGCACTTGATCAAAGTTAGGGCTGACGTGGCTCCAGTTACTGTAAATGTCACGCTCCGAGAGCCTATCAGGCGGAGGCAAGTGCTCTGGTGGGGCACTTGACGACACGTTTGCGTGCCCATCGACGGCACGATCGAACCACGAGAAATGCCTTTCGTACACGGTGCAAGCCTCATACACATTGCCGAACCTCCCATCCCTGGCCGAGACCTGATTTTCGTACAGGCTGGGCGAATCCCCCAAACCACGCACTTGGGTTTGTAAAAGCTCTTCAGCTACACCCCTGGTTGGGCAAAAAGCGCTTTGGAACCAAACTCATGGGTCCAGCTGGTTTCCGTACCGCCGCAAGTCAACGTGGGCATTTGGTTCGGGAAGAATCAAAGCACGTTGGCGCCGGTACCCGGTGTACGCTGCTTCGATTGCCGTCAGTGGTCAAACTAGTTCCCTCGTACCCCTCCCGCCCACCACCCACCCACCCGCCCCTCGCCCCTCCATCCTGTCCCCTCACCCACCTTGAGAATGACGCGCTTTGTGCTCGAGCATGGCGCGGTATTCTCGAGGGCGACACCCGACGGTTGTGACTTCACGGGCCAAGCAGTAGGTTACGCCGAGTAGAGAGGTAGCAAGGGCTTTTTGTTTGGCGCGAAATCGTCTGGTTCGCGAAGTCCGTAGCTTGACGAATGGTGACGCTAGGTACGCACTATTACGATGCGACGTTTCTATTCTGCTAATTTAGCTTCCCACCATAGTCCCGTGTGACGTAAGTGGTGCTGCATACGCAGTCTAGGCTCTGCCGTTCTTTCAATAGATTGATACATTGTCTTTCGAGACCTAAGCACTCTCAACCATACGCGATATTGAACGTCGTCCTAGAAAAGGTAGTTCAAATCAGTGGCGCGCGAGAGAAACAGGCATGCTTCAAGGCAGCGTCAATCAGACCGCTAGCATAGACTGGCCGAGAATCAGATACCGTTTTTCGTCCGCCATTCAGCGGCACTGGATAGACTCGTGACGCCGCGGCTTCGGCGCCGTATGCCCCGGGAATGGCGGAAGAGTTGGCAGACGACGAGGAGAACGACGGGGATAAGAACGGAATACGACGAAACGAGATTAGAGGCACCTCAATGATAGTAACGGAATACGACAGGATTACGTTGACAGGTCCTGCTGGGTGAAACCTTCGATATAGGCTCGTCTAATTCCACTAACGCGATATTGATTCCTATCAGGTCTTACTACTTTTTACAGCTGAAGTGCGACGCCGGCGACTGAGGGAAAGGGGCTGGAAATAAGAAGCTGAACTCTTGCGCGACTAGAAGGACCCGCAGCGAGCGATTGCACAGGGAAACAGGCGAGCGGCGAGGGCGAAAGCAAGAAGATAACAGGGAAAGAGGGATACGAAGCTGATTGCGTGTCGCGTACAGATTGCGAATTGCACATTGCGGCTTGGCGAGAGGCAGCCTGGGAGGAGCCAGAAGAGCTGGGGTGCACCAGTGGGAAGCGGGCGCAAGAGAGGGTGTGCCTATACGGGCGCAAGAGAGCAGCAGCAGCAGCAGCAGCAGCAGAAGCAGCAGCAGGAGGAGGAGGAGGAGGAGGAGGAGGAGGAGGAGGAGGAGGAAGAGGAAGAGGAGGAACAGCAGCAGCAGCAGGAGTAAGGAAGGAGTAGATACAGTGGCAGTAGCAGGGAGAGGAACGGAGGGATCACAACAACAGCAGCAGCAGCAGCAGCAGCAGCAACAGCAGCAGCAGCAGCATGAGTTGCTGGGCGCCGTTGGCGCGGCTGGGGGCGTGCGCGCCGAGCAACGGCATTGTGGCGTGTCTGAACGCGTGCGACGGGCCCACCATCGACTGCTACGACTCCTGCTACGCCGACTCCGGCTGGCTCCCACCGCTCTCCACCGCTGAGCTCATCGCGTTCCCCATCTCCGCGTGCTGCCTGCTGGGCATGTCGCTCGTGATCTCCTGCATGATGTCGTCTACCCTCGGGCTTGACATGGCCACGTTGCAGGTAACCCCCGCTACTGGTAACCAGACCCCTCCCCTTCCCCCCCCCCCCAACCCCACAAACAACCCCCCCCTCGCCCTCCCCCCCTCCCCACCTTTTGGAGCAGGCGGCAATGGATGGCGTGGACGAGCGGCTGGGGTGGCTGCTGAGCCGACCCCGCCCACCTTCCCTCTCCCTCCCCCCCACACCCACCTCCCCCAACTTTCCCCCCACCTCCTCTCCCCCCCCTCCCTCCCTCCCAAACCCCCCCCCCCCCCCCCCTCTCTTTAGAGCAGGCGGCAATGGATGGCGTGGACGAGCGGCTGGGGTGGCTGCTGAGTCGACCCTAAAAGCACCTCCCACCCACCCCACCCGCTTCTCCCCCACCCACCTTCCCCAACCTCCCCCCTCTCCCCCTCCGCGAGCAGGCGGCAATGGATGGCGTGGACGAGCGGCTGAGGTGGCAGGCTGCCAAGGTGGCAGCGCTGCGCACACGTGGCAGCCTGCTGCTCACCACGCTATTGGTCGCCAGCACCAGTGTCAACGTCAGCTTCACGCTCTTTGTCTCAGGTGGGTCTCGATGGGTCTCAGATGGGTCTCAGGTGGGACCTTGGTGGGGCTGAGGTGGCATCAGGTGGGGTCAGGTGGCGTCAGGTGGGACGCTGGTGGGGTCAGATGGGTCTCAGGTGGGCTCAGGTGGGCTCAGGTCGGGTCAGGTCGGGTCAGGTGGGTTCAGGTGGGGTCATCCTCCTCTTCACATGCATCTCACCCCGGTCCACTGCTCCCCACCCCTCCCTACCACACTCCTCCCCTGCTCCACTCTCCACCCTCTGCGTGCTGCTCATCCTGCTCGTCGTGGAGACCAGCTATTTCATCCCTCCCACCCTCTTCCACCGCTCTCCACCCCACTACTCCCTCCCATCCCCTGCTCCATCCTGTTGTTCCTCCCAGGTGTGTTGGGCATGGTGATGGGATTCGTCCTCTGCGTGCTCCTCATCCTCCTCTTTGTGGGAATCGCTCCTCTCATTCATTTCACCCCACTTCACCCCTCCCTACTCCTCTCCACCCAACCCTTCCCGTTCCTCCCAGGTGTGTTGGGCATGGTGATGGGATTCGTCCTCTGCGTGCTCCTCATCCTCCTCTTCGTCGAAATCGCTCCCCCCGCCATCTGTGCGCGCCACTCCCTGCGCATCGCCTCCGCCACCGCGTGGCTCGCCCGCCTGCTGCTGCTGCTGCTCTCTCCAGTGGCTTACCCGGTCAGCCTGCTGCTGGACCGGTACTTGAACAATCAAGAAGATGAGGAAGAGAGCAGCTTGCGACGCGGGCTCCTGTGCGGGTGAGTGTGTGTGCTTCTGTGTGATTGGAAGAGGGCCTAATACAAAGGATCGTTCGAAAGAGAGGAATCAGTAAGTGCCACACTCCCTGCGCATCGCCTCCGCCACCGCATGGCTCGCCCGCCTGCTGCTGCTCCTACTGTCCCCGGTGGCTTACCTGGTCAGCCTGCTGCTGGTCCGGTATTTGAACAATCAAGAAGATGAGGAGGAGAGCAGCCTGAGACGCGGGCTCCTGTGCGGGTAAGTTTTCTTGTGTGTGGGTGTGAGTGTGTGGGAGTGAGTGAGAGGGAGAGGGAGTGGGAGAGGGAGAAGGAAAAGGAGAGGGAGAGGGAGTGGGAGAGGGAGGAGGGAGTGGGAGAGGGAGAAGGAAAAGGAGAGGGAGAAGGAAAAGGAGAGGGAGAAGGAGTGGGGAGAGGGAGAGGGAGTGGGAGAGGGAGAGGGAGTGGGGAGAGGGAGAGGGAGTGGGAGAGGGAGAAGGAGGGTCAGCCACACACCCTCCGTATCGCCTCTGCCACCGCATGGCCCGCCCGCCTGCTGCTGCTCCTACTGTCCCCGGTGGCATACCCGGTCAGCCTCCTGCTGGTTCGGTATTTGACTAATCAGGAGGACGAGGAGGAGAGCAGCTTGCGACGTGGGCTCCTGTGCGGGTGAGTGTGTGTGCGTGAGGGGGGTGTGAGCGAGTGAGTGTCTGAGGGAGAGAATGAGGGAGCGCATGGGTGAGTGAGGGTATGCGTTGACCTCCTTCCCATTATCCCTTCCCCCCCTCCTGTTTCCCCCCCTTTCTCCACCCCTCACCCCCTCCAACTTCGTTTCACCTACCGTTTCCGCTCCTCTCTCCCCCCCTTCTTCCCACCACAGAGGCTGCAGCTGCGCGGATCCCTACCGCATGAAGCACGGCGAGTCACAAAGCTGCTACCCTCCTTGACCCCACTCTCTGGCTGCTCCCCCCTCATTCTCTCTCCCCCACCACAGTGGCTCCAGCTGTGCGGATCCCTACTGCATGAAGCACGGCGGGGTCAGCGGGCTCCTCCCCTCGCATCTACATCACTAACCCCCTCGCCAACCCGCCCTCCCTCGAATTCCCCGACACCACTGCTTCTGCCCTCGACACTGGGAGTGCTTGCCCCTGCCGCTCCTCCCGCTGCTTCTGCTGGTGGCGCTGCTGCGGGTGGCGCTGCTGCTGGTGGCGCTGCTGCTGGTGCTGCAGCCATAGCCGTCGGCACAGCAGCAGCAGCAGCAGCAGCAGCGGGTGGTTCTGCTGCAGCAGCGCAGCCTACCTCTGCGTCCTTCTCATCCCGAGAAGCAGGGGGGGCTGGGGGGGGAAACAGGCGAGCAGACGGAACAGACGGAGGAGAGGGACGAGGAGGAGGAGGAAGAGGAGGAGAGTGCGGCGTTGTATTCAGAGGAGATGGATTCCAACACCCGCATGCACATGGCTGGATTCGGCGCCATGCCTCCCAGGTCAGTTCCTCCTCCTTGCCACCAGCCAGGTCAGCTCTTCCCTGCCTCCTCCTCCTCCTCCTCCTCCTCCTCCTCCTTGCCCCCAGCCAGGTCAGCTCTTTCTTGGTGTTGGAATTTCTCAGGAGCGACTCAGGTTCGGAAGTGGAGGAGGAGAGAGAGTGCAGGGTTGTGAGGCGTCTCATAGTTGTATTCAGAGGAGATGGATTCCAACACTCGCATGCACATGGCTGGATTCGGCGCCATGCCTCCCAGGTCAGTTCCTCCCTGCCATGCCACCCAGGTCAGTTCCTCCTTCTCGGGCTGCTGCTGCTGCTGCTGCTGGTGGTGTCCCCCCTTCCACCCCTGCTGCTGCCAGCACTGCTGGTGTTGGCCCCTCTACCCCCACTTCAGCTCCTTTCCTCACGTCTTCTCTACCCTCCCCTTTTTCCAGGTCTGGCCAGTATAATTCGAGTCGCTCCAAGCCCATCAGTGGCGGCACCGACTCTCCCCTCACTTCCACCTCTCTCCTTCTCCCCTCGCATCTTCCTTACCCACCACCCATCCTCCAGGTCCGGCCCGTACGATTCAAGTCGCTCCAAGCCTGTCAGTGGCGGCAGCGACTCGCCCCTGCGACGCCGCATCGAGCAGGCAGCTGATCGGGCTGCTGCTGCTGCTGGTGCCGGTCCCTCCACGCCTGCTGGTGCCAGCACTGGTGGGGGGGAGAGGGGGAGGAAAACGGAGAGCGGTGCAGTAGGAGAGAGCGGGGAGGAGGTGGTGATGGCGCTGCCTGTGGGGGAGAGTCAGGAGTATACGAGTGTGGAGGTCGGGGAGGAAGGGGAGGGGTACAGCACTCGGGAGGAGGAGAGTAGTGAGAAGGTGGGGAGGGGTGGGAGGGAGTGGAGAGGAGGGAGTGGGAGAGGAGGAGGGGAGGAGACGGCGGAGGAGTCGGATGAAGTGCCGATGGCACTGCCAACGTCTTCTGATGATGTTGATACGGAGTCAGACGACCAGAGGAGGAACCTTGGACGGGTGAGTTCAAGGTCTTGGACGGGTGAGTTTAAGGTCTTGGACGGGTGAGTTTAAGGTCTTGGACGGGTGAGTTACACTCATGTGGTTTTGAGTCGACTCGAACAACGGCAGAGGAGTCGGACGAAGTGCCGATGGCGCTGCCAACATCTGATGATGTTGATGTTGATACGGAGTCAGATGACCAGAGGAGGGAGGAAACCTTGGACGGGTGAGTTCAAGGTCTTGGACGGGTGAGTTTAAGGTCTTGGACGGGTGAGTTTAAGGTCTTGGACGGGTGAGTTACACTCATGTGGTTTTGGAGTCGACTCGAACAACGGCAGAGGAGTCGGACGAAGTGCCGATGGCGCTGCCAACATCTGATGATGTTGATGTTGATACGGAGTCAGATGACCAGAGGAGGGAGGAACCTTGGACGGGGTGAGTGACAGGCCTTGGAGGCTTGAGTTATAGAGAAGTGTTTAAGAACCATATGAGAGAGCAATGACAGTTGCTGGCTCCTCCAAAACTTGGAGGGGTGAGTTATAGGCGTTTTGTGACGATAACGACAATGCTTCACGCAAGTCACTCAGCTACTGCTTCAGTCATTCTCATTCTCATTCTCATCTCCCTGCCTCCTTTGTTTCCCTACCAACAGACTCCGCCCCAGCTTCCTCCCCCTCCACCCACGCCCGCCACTCCTGCTGCTGATTCCCCTGCTGCTGCTGGTGTAGCAGCAGGGGTTGCAGTGGGAGCGGCAGCAGGAGCAGCAGCAGGGGGGTTGAGAAGCCGACCGGTGATGCATGAAACGATAGTTGAGATAGGGTCTGAAGGGGAGGGCGAGGAGGAGAGTGAGGATGAGAGGAGCGAGGGTGATGATGATGAGTGTTGTAGAAGCAGAGGCTTATAGCGGGGATAGTGGTGCTGTGCAATCAGGGGCAGTCGGGAGGGGTAGCACCAGGAGCGGCAGGAGCACCAGCAGGAGGAGCAGGAGCCGCAGCAGCAGGAGGGGCAGCAGCAGGAGGAGCAGCAGTGGGGGGGGGCAGTGGGTGGTTTTGCTGCCAGTGGTGCTGCTGCTTCCACTTCAGCAGCGTTGACCCCACCACCTGCCATGGCAGCAGGAGCAGCGGAAGGAGGCAGGCACAGCAGGAGCAGCAGAAGCAGGAGGAGGAGCGGCAGGAGCGGGAGGGATGAGTGTGGCTGAGGGATTCGCAGCAGCAGCCGCAGGCTGTGGGTGCTTTCGCGCTCATGCCTTTCCGATGGGGACAGAAGCAGCCACAGCAAGAGCAGGAGCAGGAGAAGCAGCAGCAGCAGGAGAAGCAGCAGCAGCAGCAGCAGCAGCAGCAGGGCGAGAAGAAGGAACCGTCACCACCAGCATCCCATCAGGGCGGAATACAAGTGGTTGTGCACGGTACAGGGGGCCAGGAGGGGTAGGAGGACCCAGCAGCAGCAGCGGTGGCAGCTGGAGAGACAACAGCAAGGATGCTGATAGCAAGGGGGACTCTTTGCCAGGAGGACCTATGGGTCCATCCCCCCTCCCTCCCCCCACCCATTGACCCCCGCCTCTCCGCCCTTCCCCCTACCGCCCTCCCCCCTCCCCCTGGCCCCTCCGCCTCCCCCTCCTTCCCCCTCCGACCCACACCCGCGGCCCGCTCCTGCTGCTGCCTTCCCAATGTCCTCTGAAGCACCCTCCTTCCCCTCCGGCCGATTCCTGCTGGTGCTGGTGCCGCTGCTGGTGCTGCTATAGCCAGTGGCAGCGGTATTGGGGGGTGGGGGAGAAGGGGCGGAGGAGGGGAGGAGCATGGGGTTTGAGAGGGACGAGTCCTTGGGCCACAGCGCCTGAAGGGGGGAGAGTGTGAGGTTTGGGAGGGATGAGTCATATGCAACAGCATATGATAGTGAAGGGGGGTGATGGTGGTGGAGAGGGGGGTGAGGGTACCGGTGCTTCTCTGCCAGTGCTGCTGCAGCAGCAGGGGGTGGCAGGAGCGGCAGGGGCGGCAGGAGGAGGGGCAGGTTCGGCAAAGTGGTTGGGGTTCGCGCCGTCCGCCGCTAGGCCCGTGAGCCGTAGGTTCGGCAGGCACGCCTGCGGCCTTGGCTCGGGGCCCGGCCGACCAGTGCTAGCACCACTGCATCCCGGAGCTCTGCTGATTGGTCGAGCCCGGACGAGTCAGAGGTTGAGTCGAGAAAATACCGACACTTTGTTAAGTGCTGAGAGGAGTGTTACTCCTAGCGGGGATAGGATGATGGGGGGGTGCGGATGGAGGGGAAAGAGGCATGGGGGCAAATGATGCTTTGACTAGTGCAATCATGGCTTCGTCTATATCAGCTGCGGCTGCTGTTGAGATGGCACGGCAACGGCAGCAGCAGCAACGGCAGGAGGAGGAGGAGAGGCGGAAGCAGGAGGAAGCAGGCAGGAGGCGGTTTGCGACAGGAAGGAGGGAGAGGCAGAGGAGGGGAGGGGGAGGAGGGAGGGGAGTGAGAGAGAATGGTCGTTTGCATCGAGTGAGGAGGAGGAGGAGGAGGAGGATGATGTTCCTGTAGGTGAAGTGTTGACGTCAGGGGAGCAAACGAGTGGTCAATGCAGCAGCAGCAGCAGCAGCAGCAGCAGCAAATGGGAGTTGCTGCAGCGGGTGGTGGTAGGAGGAGGAAGGGAAGTGAGTTTTGACGAGGGGGTGTCGTCTGGCTCTGCTGTTTCGGGCTGCGGTGGTTTCGTCGTCTGCTTCGGGTGTTTATGGTGGCGCGGGATGGGGGGATGGTGAGGGGAATAGCGGCGTTGTGACTGCTGAGGTTATTGAGGAGGAGACTGAAGAGGAGGAGGATGAAGAGGAGGAGATGAGGAGGAGGATGAAGAGGAGGATGAGGAGGAGGAGGAGGATGAGGAGGAGGATGAGGAGGAGGAGGAAGAAGAGGAGGAGGATGAGGAGGAAGAGGAGGAAGAAGAGGAGGATGAGGATGAGGAGGAGGAAGAGGAAGAGGAGGAGATGAGGAGGAAGAGGAGGAAGAAGAGGAGGATGAGGAGGAGGAAGAGGAAGAACAGGAGGAAGAGGATGAGGAGTATACAGAGACAGAGGAGGGTACAGAAGAAGTTACGGAGGAGGTAACTGGGACAGAGGAGGTTACAGGGACCGAAGAAGTGACAGGGACGGAGGAGGTCACAGGGACAGAAGAGGTCACAGGGACAGAAGAAACGACGAAGGATTACGAGGAGGAAGAAGAGGAGGAGGAGGAGGAGGAGGAAGAGGAGGAGGAAGAGGAGGAGGGAACAGAAGTCACTGAAATGACAGAGGATTATGAGGAGGAAGGCGAGGGAGAGGATGAGGAGGAGGAGGAAGAGGAAGAGGAAGGGGGAGGAGGAGGAGGAGGAGGAGGAGGAGGAGGGAACAGAAAGTCACTGAAGTGACAGAGGATTATGAGGAGGAAGGCGAGGGAGAGGAGGAAGAGGAGGAGGAGGGACTGAGGAAACGGAAATGACTGAGGAATATGAGGAGGAAGAGGAAGAGGAGGAAGAAGAGGGGACGGAAGTGACTGAGGATTATGAGGAGGAAGAGGAAGAGGAGGAAGAGACAGTGGAGGGAACAGAGGAGGAAATAACCCAAGAGACAGAAGAGGAGGAATATGAGGAGGAGGAGGAGGAGGAAGGAGGAGGAGGAGGAGGAGGAGGAGGAGGAGGAGGAGAGGAGGAGGAGGAGGAGGAGGAGAGGAGGAGGAGGAGAGGAGGAGGAGGAAGAGGAGGAGGGAGAGGAGGAAGGGTATGGGACCGAAGAAGCAACAGAGGAAGGAACGGAGGTGACAGAAGAAGAGGTGACAGGGGAAGAGGTAACAGAAGAGGAGGTGACAGGGGAGGAGGTGACAGAAGAGGAGGTGACAGAAGAGGAGGTGACAGAAGAAGTGACAGGGGAAGAGGTGACTGAAGGGAAGACTGAAGATACTGAAGAGACAGAAGTGACTGAAGGAACAGGGGAGGGGGAGGAGGAGGAGGAAGAAGAGGAGGAGGAGGAAGAGGAGGAGGAGGAGGAGGAGGAGGAGGAAGAGGAGGAGGACGAAGAAGAGGAGGAGGAAGGGACAGAAGAGGATCAAGGGCGTCATACTATGGTGGGGAGGAGGAAGGGGGCGAGGGGGAGGTGACGGTTCACACTATAGGCGAGGAGCAAACGATTGATGATGATGTTACCTCTATGACTGAATCCCAACTTGCCTTGTATGATGAAGTGGGTCAGATGGTAACGGAGACAGAAGGAGAGACGGAGGAGAGTGAGGGGAGCTATGATGGGTTCCAGGTGCTGGGGAGGGTGGGGAGGGGTGGGTGGGAGAGGGAGAGGAAGAGACAGGAGGAGACAGGGAGAGGAGGAAGAGGAGAAACAGAGGAGGGGACAGAGGGGGAAGGGGAGGAAGAGGAGGAGGAGGAGGAGGAAGAAACAGAGGAGGGGACAGAAGGGGAAGGGGGGAAGAGGAGGAAGAGGAAGAAACAGAGGGAACAGAGGGGAAGGGGAGGAAGAAACAGAGGAGGGGAAGAGGAAGAAGAGGAAGAAACAGAGGAGGGAACAGAGGGGGAAGGGAGGAAGAGGAAGAAACAGAGGAGGAAGGGACAGAAGGTGAAGGGGAGGAAGAGGAAGAAGAGGAGGAAGTGACAGAGGAGGAAGGGGAGGAAGAGGAAGAAGAGGAGGAAGTGACAGAGGAGGAAGAGGAGGAAGAGGAGGAGGAGGAGGAGGAGGAGGAGGAGGAGGAGGAGAGGAGGAGGAGGAGGAGGAGGAGGAGGAGGAGGAGGAGGAGGAGGAGGAGGAGGAGGAGGAGGAGAGAGAGGAAGAGGAGGAAGAGGAGGAAGAGGAAGAGGACGAGGAGAAGAGGAGGACGAGGAGGAGGATGGATCGATCAGTGTGGTGCCCCTGAAGGAAGAGAGTAGCAGAGAGCAGGACACAGGCGAGGGAGGAGAACAGGGCTCGTCACAAGAAGAGACCGAGGGAGAGACGGAGGGAGAGACGGAGGCAGAGGGAAGCAGCACAGAGGGAGAGGAGGGAGGAGGGAGAGAGGCGGGGTACGCTG